TAGGTAGCAATTTTTACCAGAATAGGAGTTTGTTTTGGAATGCTTACCTTTCTGGATGCTTGACCCGGTCGATGGCAGACATAGAATGCTTCCAACCACACGGGGGTTAAACACAGAAGTAAACTTTAAAACATACAAAGGTGTGCACCAAGGCTAGTGCCGGGTTAGGTATTTCCTACCTGACATGCTTGAATGTGTATAACACAACTTAAAGAATAAACACTCACACCTACCCTAGGGGAAAATGTTCTTCTATCCTTACTAATGTAGGTTAAGTGAGAGTACTATCTTAGTGTACCAGGTCTTTGGTTTGGGACCACCTTCCCCCTCCGTTTCTAGAACGTTGTCGTCGGGATGGGGCTTGGTGAGCGGGTTGACCTCTCCATGGGATGCTCCTCCTCTGTCCTTTTGCAGCCTTATGCTCCTGCTGCTGTCTTCACTAATTGTGCTGGTTGCTATTCCTTATGCTTTATTTTTCCTCCCCCACTCTTCTCCTTGTTTCTTCCGCTGACCTTTTGCCGTTCTTGATTATTCTTTAGGACATCTTCTGTTCTGACGCCCGGGTGTTTGGGGAGGCGCACTCTCTCACCCGTGGAACTGTGCTACACGATGTTGTGATGTTGTTTTAGATTTAGCTACTCGGAACGAAATGTCCATGTAGCTCGGGCTATGGTGAGCCCGTAATTGAGTTTGGTTATTCGGGATAACCTTGTTACTCTGATATTTGGGACAAAGTTTTAAATGGAGGTGGGGTTTCCTCCTTTTTCCCTGTTTCTTTTTCGCTTCTGTTTTAGTCGTGTTTTAATAACATTTTCTTGGTGGCGGATGTAGGTGTAGAATGTTCATTAGTGAGTCCCATTCTTTAACGGCTTTTCTAATCATTGTAGTCGCTGTGGAATGTGCATCTAATGCAGCTGCTGTCGTTGGATTAATGTTGAGTTTAATGTGCAGGGCTTCAGTAGCTTCACATTCCAGTAAGTAATGCAATACTGGCGCCTCTGCTTCTGTTCCACAGATATGACACTCTTTAACTATTGGGTTTATTACCTCCCAGCAGCACTTGTAACCAAGTCTGAGTCTGTGTATGGCTACTGCAATGTCTTTGGATATATTTTTGTCAGGCTTGAAAGAGGAGTAACCAGTGGCTTGTTCGTACCATATCGCCGTAGATCTTCCTTCCGCTACTTTGGCTCTGTGGCGACTTTTGATACTTGGGAGTATTTTCTTCTTGATTTGCTCTTTAATCTGTGAAAAACTTGGAGGTATTTGAACTTGTACAACAGGTAGAGCAGTGGCAGGGCTTTCTAGTGAGTCTGCCTTTTTATTACCATCTATACCAATGTGACTTGGTATCCAATTTAGAGTGATTGATAGCCCTAGATTATGGGCTTCTTATCCTATATGTTGGATTTCTGTGAGGAGTTGTATATTATCTCTGTGTTGACTGGATAACAATGCCTGGAGCGAAGATTTAGAGTCGGTATGAATGATGACATCATGCAAATTATTCTCAATTCCCCTCACTCACAACGTTGTGAGTGAGGGGACGCTTTATTATCAATCCTCGCCCTCGTTGCTGAACCCGAACTCGACGGACTGACGGTTCTTAAGGCGGCAATTACGGGGCGTATACTCACGATGCATCCCTGGGGGGCCCTCCATCTTGTTGCGTGTCCTATCCTCTAATTGTGGTTGCATGGTGGGTATGGGGGCTTATTCGTGAATGAAATTATTACCTTCTCGTTTCTATGCCACTGAATGATCCTCCTAGGCCCGTGGGGTGGGCAGCCAGGCCCCCCGAGTCGGACTGTGTTGGAAGACCGGGATCTGTAGCCCCTGCTACATAGGGCCCAGACCAAGCTACTCCTTTCACCCTCCTGACTACCCCTCCCCCCTCCTCTGTGATAGGATTGAGCCCCAAGCCTCCAGTGGTGACCACCCCCATCACCTGTAGTGGCTACTTCTCTCATTGTGACAACTGTGCTTTCACTGGGGGTGTTCGACGCCGACCCCCCCCCCCCCCCACAGACGCACTTGCACGATTCCTTCCAGTGCTAATACGTTCCATGCCTTGTTTTGTCCTGATACATGGACTAAATACTTTGATCTCAGCCATCTGGATTCTACATGTCCTGACGATTTCTTCCTCCATACACACCTCGTTGATTCGGCGGATGACTGTTAATTTTAACCCCCACCAGTTTTGGTACACGTGTCATTGCTGCTCCTTCTCGGGATGCAGCTGCCTGTTTAGCTGCAGTGTTCAGCATTGGGGAGACCCCTGTTAGGGTCTCCAAAAATGCCCAGTTAAATGCCAGTATTGGCACTGTTCTCCTCCCACACCATGTTACAACTGGTGGTAGGGCCCAGAAAGACTGCCACGAGGATATAAAACATTGCCTTGCAGCGCAAGGGAATGTTTCAAGGAACAAGGAACGTATCAACCTGTGTTCCAGGTTGATACGTTCACTTGACTCCCTCATGGTCGTCGTCATTAGCCTCTTTGCATTGTGAAGATAACTTTTGATAGTAGGATCCTTTTGCCTTCTATAATTCTTGCTGGTGCCAGATGCTCTGTTCAGGAGTACATTCCCTGTCCTAGACTTTGTGAAAAATGCTGGAAATTTGGGCATTGTGCCCTCAACTGCACAAGTGTAGTGTCTCTTTGTCCCTTGTGTGCGGACTCGGGCCACTCTAAGATGGAGTGCTCTTCTTCACCTCAGTTGCGGTGACGTGCACCCTACCTTCTCCCGCACGTGTATACACTACAAATTTGAGGAAGCCATCCTCAATTTGAAGCACCGCGATCATTTGTCTTTTTCTGAGGTGGGACGCCAAAACTGCCATCTCTCCTGTTTCGATAGCATATCTTATGCTCATGTGTAGCGTTCCACCTGTCCTCGATTTTCCCTCTTTTCTCAGTCAACCGTTTCTAGGCCTTGGACCCGGACAAGGACACGCCCGTTGCCTCCTCCCCTGCTCCTTTATGTTCTGAGCCCAAGGGGTCCTCCTCCTCCTCCTGGTTCTCCATCTGGTGTTTCCCTCCTTCTTTCCCAGTCTGCCCTTTCTCCAGTGTCTTCTTTCCCGTTTTTCCCTAATCCTTCTTCCCAGCCCTCCCCCTGTCTCTTGACCCTCCACGCCCCCTTGTCTGTCCAAGCTGTTGTCCATCATCTTCCCAGCAATCTTCTTGTTGATCGCTTCCGTTCTCCTCCTGTCGCCCAGTACGTTGCTACAAGCACACCTGTCTCTTTCAATCAGAAACTTAAGCCTTTTGACAATGTTTATTCTTCAATGGAATATTCGTGGAATTTATGCCAACTTCCATGAACTCCAACTTCTGATAACACAGTTTTCACCACTTTGTGTTTGTCTCCAGGAGCCGATGACTGGTGCTCGTCCTGGTCACTTTCGTGGTTATGTCTTTCCGCCCCCTCCACCCCCCACCTCCTCCAGCTTTTGCTGGGGCCCATAACTCTACTGCTCTTTTGATACATACTTTGGGGGGAGGGCAGGGTGGTGAAGGGGGTGTGGGGGGGGAGGGCAGGGTGGTGAAGGGGGTGTAGGGGGGGTGAGGGCAGGGTGGTGAAGGGAGTGTGGGGGGGGGGGGGGTGAGGGCAGGGTGGTGAAGGGGGTGTGGGGGGGGGGGGTGAGGGCAGGGTGGTGAAGGGGGTGTGGGGGGGGGAGGGCAGGGTGGTGAAGGGGGTGTAGGGGGGTGAGGGCAGGGTGGTGAAGGGGGGGGGTGAGGTCAGGGTGGTGAAGGTGGGGAAGGGGGGGTGAGGTCAGGATGGTGAAGGGGGGGGAGGGTGAGATCAGGGTGGTGAAGGTGGGGGGGGGTCAGGGTGGTGAAGGGGGGGGTGGGGGGGGGTGAGGTCAGGGTGGTGAAGGTGTGTTTTCAGGCCCATTCCTCGCCTGGGAATTTATCGAGTGTTGAATATTAAACCAGCCAGGGGGTGGCATGGGCAGGAGTCAGAGACGACACATGATGCTTATTATACTGGGAACAACCTTGGTGAGGTGGTGTGCACCAGGCCAGGTGCTGGAGCCCAGGTTATTTACCAGTATCCACATTTGTTCACACTCACAAAGTGTTCGCCAGCATGACTCACAAGATTGCATTACTTGACTATATTTACCAGCATTCGTCGGTATTTACACACTGGAAGATATCAACACAAGCCCGCATGTTTCCCAAGGCCAGTGCTAGTCACCTTGGCTGTGTGTCCTCCGGGTATCAGTCAAGGCTGTCAAGTGGTGGTCAGTTCTGGCAGCTACTGAGGCCCACACCTGTAGTCTTGCATATACGTCAGGAGTTATTCTGCTGCTCTCTTTGTTTTTCTCACTTGCAGCATCGTATTTGTCAACTGGTGCAATATTTCGTACGTTATTATAATTGTTAGTTTTGTCGGGGACAGGAAAATAACTTGTGTATATACACACACACACACAGCCTAATATATATATAAATTAGGCTTGTGTAGAGATCCAGCCAAGGTCAAACTTCTGACCCTCCCCAGGATGCAACTGCACAGAGTAGAGTTCTCAGAGTAGTTAGTACCAGGAAGTGATGTGGTGGAGGCAGACTCCACACAGTTCCAAATGCAGATATGATAGAGCCCAGTAGGCTCAGGAATCTGTACACCAGTCAGTTTTCTCTTTAGTATGGGTGGTGATGGATCTCTCATGACCCTTACACAGAAGGTAGTATTGAGCTATAGAACACTAGTTTCTAGATGAGAGTAGCTAGTTTGTATCAAAGATTATTACATTTATATTGCAACAAATTTCCAGTGTATGATTCTGGCTTACTGTAAATAGCAACATTTAATTAACATTTTACATTAAGTAAACTTTATTCCCATTACAATATTTTGCTCTCGCCTCTGAAAAATCTGGTAGCCTTAATTGTCCGAACAATGGTACTGCACCAGATAAAGGATCATAAGGGAATTCACAAGTTTCCACTGCACAATTAACTGTGATTTGCTCTTTCACCCTCACAGCAGGGAGCAGCAGCCACCACCTACCCCACAGGTGGCACATGTGAAGAACCCACCCACTGAGGAGGGGGGCCAAAATAATCAGGATCTGATGTAATTTTATGGCATAGTCGGACAAGCCCCCTGCTCCCAATCACGACTAAGAAGTGTCACCTGGTAGCAGCCTATTTATCGGACTTCATGTGTTGAGGTAACATTGTAACTGCAGTTTTCCTTGGTGTAGGGTGTTTTGAGACCAGTGCTTCTCTAGCCTCGTAGGGAAACAAGATTCTGGTCACATTGATTTAGGTTTACAAAATTTACAAGATACCCGATTGTTGTGACTAAAGTTTTATGAGCCTATAGCTCTCAGAACTCAAGAGGTTAATAAAAGAAAAAGAAATGGTTAAACCAGTAGACATGTATAACCTGAATACTTTTAGGGATAAAAAACACTCATGCTAATCCTATTTATTGAATACTCAATTTCATGAAAATTTATTTTATTCACCAAAATGAAAAATTGCAAACTATTCTTTCCACTAAAAATATTAAGTTATTGCAAATATAAGAACTATTCTCAACATTCTATTCTTGGATCAATAAAACTCGCTCTCAGCATAATATCAATGTGTATTAGATGGCCTAATTTATCATTTTTATATCACATTTTCAAATTTCATGAATTAAGAAGTAAATCAATTTTATATATGCATGTTGTAATTTAAAGCATGGGTGAAAGTCTTTGCAAATATTACAGGTACTCTGATATGCAGCCAGATGCATTAAACCTTGGGAGGAAGGATGCTCTTATACATTAAAATAAAAATGCATATTTTAAATGCTTTTGACCAATTTAACATAGCCTACAGCAAGACATGAATAATCAATTGGATTAAAAATGAATGGTTAGGTCAATTGGGTATCAAAGATGCCGAATAACTTCTCATGACCTTGTTAATAACTTATGTCAGGGCATCTATTGGTGCGTTTCAAGAATATCTAGGGATTGTTTAATATTGTCACTTCTAGCATACTGACTCAATAATGTAATCCATATTGAATGGAAAGCATAAATTTTGAATATAGATTCCAGGATGTATTTCAAGTTCTGGTAAAGAGTATTAGCAAGTTCCAGCAGAATTACTCCCTTGATTTAAACTTAAAAGTAACACATTTTACAGTGAAAATTTAATGTCCTGTACAAGGTAAAATGTTAACTTACCAAGAAAGTTTTGTAATATGGTCCACAGAGCAGAGTAAGAAATTGGAATCTTACCGTAAGAATGAATGAAGTTCATAACATTAAACTTTACTTATAATACAAGTAGGTGTAAAAAAAAAAATCCATACCTACTAAACATGATCATTAAATCAAATGACTAATGAAAGCCCACTAAATATATTACAGCCACTTGCATTGGAAATAAAAATTTGGTAATAAATGATTCACCATCCTAACTTTAAATATTTCACCTATCACAATCGTCAAAGTCAAAGACATTTTTTTGTAGCAATGGTAAAAAATACATCTACAAAGAGTAAAGTTCAGCTTTTGGAAATGATGAGACATTTTTCCATTAATCTTAATTATTTAACTTAACTACATCATTTAATTTGTAGTAAATCTGTCATTACTCTAGGTAGTACAGTCTTGCTACTTTTATCAAGTTCACCGGTCCTGCTACACACACCACTAATTTATTGGTTTCCCCGACACTTTACAAATTTGTCTGATCGTGCTACTCACGATAAGTTTCTTTGGCAATGCTGTGGTCAACAAGTTTCTTTACTCGTGGTAACAGACCTTGCCATAAGATAACATTTCTCTAATCCAGTGTCTGATCCTACTATAGAATTTGTTAGGCATAACACTTTACTCAATAGTTTCAAAATTATAATAAGTCCTGCCTTTTTACCATCAAGATGTAAGGAAACACTCAAGTGGATACATATACATGAATACAAAGCTTTACAATTTTAGATTCACCAAAGCAACAACATATAAATACTGCAGTTATGAGAACTGAAGTTAGAATTATGAAAGAAGGAAAAATGCTGTATGACTGAATTACAATGAATTATCATTATGATTAAAATAAGATGACCCTGAGATTTTATGGTTGATAAGGACATCTGGATAAGAAGGGAACCCATGAAGGAAGAAGGGCCATGAGAGGGGTATAACACACAAATGACTGGCTAAGTAACAGTTTGTTAGTGTTCCACAGTGACTACCTTCCATGTGAGGGGAGAAACCTTAAACAAAACAGTTGCAGCTAATATGATTATAGTTAGTATAGAATATCTCCTAATATCTTACATTGAAACTCGCCTTACTCGGCTATTATTTTCATTTCACAACTGAATGTTGATCAAGGCAGCTTTTACACCATTATGTATCAGATAATGGAATTCTTTACTTAGTGCTGGCTCATTTTATATGGAAAAGTAAAGTCACAGCCCGAGACAACAGAACAGTCAATATAATGACTACATACTAACAACCACTCGATGCAATTTAACCATTTTTTCATTCTGCAACTTAATCTATCACATTGAATTTGTCTCACAAATATTATATTTGCAGTTTGACAATGAGGCCACTTAAACCCTATACTAAGAGTAGCTGTAATTCTTGTATCTAAGATGGTTGGACAATACTATAGCGTGAAGCATCAACTGCAAGTGTTCAGAGTAGAATAGGCACTAAATTACTTGCCACCTTTTAACCCCTGGCAATTACGATATCGTAAGTCATGAGAGAAAAGTTTTATATCCCACTCCGTGCTGCAACATAGAAGATACACAGAACTACAAAGAAAAATAGTTTAAAATAAATGTTAAATTGAATGTACACTACTTTGCAATATACAACAATTTCCTCTCATACAAGATACAAAAACTATTTCATTAATTATACGATATACTAGACAAAATAAATACACTTCATCTAAACACTAGAGAATTAGGCTATTACACAATTTAAAGCAAAGGAAAAATATTAAACACAAAACAGCTTTACTTTTTTTAATGCCTTCAAGTTATCCAATAGCAATTACAACAGCTAATACAAGATAAATAATAATCAGATAGTCATGATACCAAGCCCTCAAACATTCAAACATTAACATTCTTTAAGATTTTTACTTTTGAGGCACAACCTAAGCACCACTTGGCTTCCTTCTTAGAGTACATGCATTTTCATCTTTACACCTCAACAAATGAATCACTGACTATTATCCACAGTTTGGAGTAAGTGAATAGATATTATGGAATCCTAAGTACAATACAAGGAACTTGCCAAGAACCCAAAATGAGTATGCCTTGGTTAATAATAGTTCTGGGTATACATACATGCCTAAAGACATTCTTAAATTTAATATCCACAAAGAATCTTTGCATATATAAAACAAAGCTGTTCTCAACAAGGACTTTGAGGGTTCTTTGCACCCATTGCCAAGTGCCTTTAAAATCTTTTTCAAATTGACATCAACTCTTTCACAGTAGGTTTGAAAAATTAAGTTGTTCACTCAAAATACACTTCTAGTGCATGCTCACTCGTGAACTTAAGATTGAGTGACGCAGAAAAATTCAGTAGCATAAATAATTACAAGCTTCCTAAAATATGCACATTGAAAATTCACTTATCTTTCCTTATATGCTCTTCACTCTTGGGAAATTTTTCGGGAAGAAAGTCCTTATTATGATTGAGCCGTTCCCTGAGAGATGTTCGCATGTGACCAGCAAATGACTCTCCAAGTTGACTGGCTGCTTCACCCGCAACACTGTCCATAACTACACGGTTGACTCCTGCACCACGCATGCTGTGACGCAATGTTTCTGGTAGGATAAAATTATAGTAGTAAGCATTTAAGAATTATGAATTTTGTAAATATTTACATCAAACTAAATGCAAAAATTCATAAGAATAAATATAAATAATAATGCAAAACAGCAACAATATAATAATAATAATAAACATTACCTTTCTATATACAGTACCCTATTTTAAAAAATCTTGGGGGGGGGGGGGGCCTAGGGGGAGCTAAGGGGAGGGGGCCGGGGGGAGGGGGAGAGAGAAAATATCATAACCACTTGCCACATCTTAACACTAAATACTGTAGCATCAAACAGTTTTAAACTTTTAAATTATGTAGTGGTTTCAGACTTTCATCAATTTCTGATGTTTGTGAATTATTGCTCTTCCCATATTGGTCCCAGTTCTTTGTATATCTCTGACCCTCTCACAAGTAATGTTTAATCAACCCCTACCTGGATCTTACCTGAAGAGGGTTCTGGAAAGGAATGGTGCCCAACCACTTTGGCTCGATGGTAGAGCAAGTCTCGCTTCATGCAGGTTGGTGTTCAATCCCCAATCGTCCAAATGGTTGCGCGCCATTCCTTATCCCGATCCCATCCATGTGCTATATAGTCATAATGGCTTGGTGCTTTCTCCTGATGGTTCCTTTTACTTCCCCAAATCCAGTCTGGTTTGGTATATAAATCTGAACACCTTTTTTCCCCCAAAATACTGTAGAACTAACCTTGTACGACTGTTTGAACCGAACCATGGGGTTTATGCTGAGAAGCCAACTTCCGGCGTTTCAGGGGCATTCCACAGAGATAAGCATCACTTAAACTTGTGTCTGGCACCCGCCTTTGTCGGTCTACATCCCTTGTTATAACTGGAAGCCAATCCTGCAAAATAAAATTTATTTAATAATCAATTCCTAAATAATTATCTATAGAATAGAATGTGTGTCCGAAGGAGGCCACCACATGCTTGGGGATAATGTCACCCAACTCTGTCATGGGTGACTGAGGGGTCAACCATGCTTAAGAGAAATATCAGCATCTATTCCCCTCCCCCTACTTTCCCCTGCAATAAAATCAGGAGTTGTGGTTTTCCTTACCTTTGATGCTTACTCCTACTGTTTACTGGAGTAAAATAAGGGAAGAGGGGGTGGAGGTGGCAGAAAAGGGGAGGAGGATGAGGGGGGGGGGAGGTGAGCTTTGGCCCTTTGGTCCCCTTTTACCAAAGGGCCAAAGCTCAACCCCCACAAGCACAATTAGGCAAGGTGAGTACATTTCAGGATACAAACAAATTACAGTAATGAAAAGAATCTTTAAGAAAAATAATGTTTATCTGGTACAATGATCATGCCTTGCTGCAAGGAGGGGAGATGGTACATATCTAACACTGACTAATGGAGCATGGTCTACCCCTTTGTATGTGGTGCTCTTTATATTCTCAAGCTTTCTATATACAGTACGTCAGGTAAGCTCTTAAAAGTTATACATGGAAATAGTATCTACAGCTTATTTTAGAGCATCCCAATTTTTCTTCGACTCCTTTGCATTTCCAGCTTCACTTGCATACTTTATTTTCACGGTATACGTGGGGATGCCAAGCCCCAAAATCATAGCAAGGTAACTGCAAGGTTAGGTAATCAGTGTATAAAACTCCATCATAATTACACAATTTACCAAGTAAGGGGAGACATGATAACCACCTACAAAATTCTCAGGGGAATTGACAGGGTGGACAAAAACACTTCAGCCCGGGTAGAACACGAACAAGGGGACACAGGTGGAAACTTAGTACCCAGATGAGCCAGAGACATTAGAAAGAATTTTATCAGTGAGTAGTTAATAAATGGAATGCACTAAGAAGTGATGTGGTGGAGGCTGACTCCATACAGTTTCAAATATAGGTATGAGAGAGCCCAGTAAACTCTGGAACCTGTACACCAGTTGATTGACGGTCGAGTGGTGGGACCAAAGAGAAAGCTCAACCCCCGCAAGCACAACTAGGCGAGTACAACTAGGTGAACTAGGCGAGTACAATACGTATACCAATGATGTTCATACGTTTCTCACAACACTATGATTGTAATGAGATACCAGGTAAACCAATCAATCAAACCATTATCAGTGGGTGCCACACTGGTGGCTTACACCTTTGTTCCAATCCATTCACTCACCAGTTAGGCCATATGCTATCGCTCAGAGCCCAACACCATTGACTATTATGTTTATAGCCATTTCACTACTCTATACTGGTTGTAATAGAGTATACAAAGTAAACTATCAAATGAAGCATGTGAAATGCCAATCACCATAAGTAAATTATGCAATTTATCTATTCAACACGCATACTCTTGTAAATAAAGAAAAACAAATGATAAACAATCTGTAAAACATCTGAGGATAACACAGGAAGCGTCAATAAATTCAGACACCGGGTGTTGACAGGCGCTAGACACAGCGACCATGCAACCTTCCAGCGCCCCCGAGTGTAACGATAAATATTTTCTACCGTATTTCACTGATTTTCACGTTTTTCTTACATTTTGCCCACAAATTAATAATTCTATAATGAAAATGGAATTTTTTTTTGGTGCATTGACAGCAAGGTCTATCACAAGAGCCACCGTCCAAAGGTTAAATGCACCATTGGACCGATCACCGTAAATTATTGAATAACGCTAAAACTTGCTATTAACTGCTTGTGTTAATACAGTACTGTGCATTTTTCAGACTAATGTTGCTTTTATTAAATTATAACTATAAAGTTATATCACATTCTATCTAATCATATCTCATACTTCATGTTTCCTGGGATTACTTTGAAAGAATAGCCCTCAATAATTTAGCTACTAGACATTTTCATATACGTATTAATAATAACTAATGCAACATTTTGCAGTAATATAGAGATGCTATAAATTCCTTTATTGCCCAGAATACCAAATAAAGTTAACATTACATACAAAATAACAATTCTATTCATTACCTGTGGGACAGCCGAGTGCCAGGGCTGTGACCCTCCATTTATGATGATTGGTGATTCTTCTGCTAATGGATCTTCCTCATTATCCTCGTCAGGTTTCCCAGTTGCCCCTTCAACAGTTATTTCCAATTCGGACTCTAATCCTGTTGTGGTTACCTCTTCCATACATCCCACTTCTTCAACTTCCATAGGCTGAATCAAGAAAAAATAATGGTGCCTTTTGTTACAGACTGAACTACAATTTATTTTGTTTAACAGATTTCTACTTTTAAGTCCAGCTATAAATTTAAGCAAATAGGTATTGTGTTATATAAAATGGCGAAGTTAATGGAGCTATCTCTAAACTTTTGTTGAAAGAATACTTATGACATTTCAAAGTAATCTAACCTCAACAAGGATTAACCTGGCATTTTAAGGGTTTGTGAATGTTATCTTATGAAGTAGGGTTAACACTTTTCAAGTATAATGTGTCTAGATGAATCTTCCTTTAATTAAATTAAAATGCAACATTCTAAACAAGGTCCCCCTTAGTAGCTCTCCTATGCCTCTACATTGGACCCAGCCAAACACTTGATATCAGTGTTGCCACAGGCTTTGACCAACTTTACCCAAAGTTAACAAGTACATCTCTCTTGAACCTGGGGGATGGGGGGGGGGGGGTAAAGGACACATGTAATTTGTTTACCTCGCCATGTTCCAAGTTTCGATTTGGCACCTTTTGTCCCTTCTTGTCAGGATTAACAGGTTTTCTTTTATTCCTACTGCAGGTAAAGGTTTGTATCTCTGTTCTGGATCCTGCACTCTTAAAAGTATAGGTTCTCTGATACTTCAGCATTGTGTTAAAGTCCTTATGGGTGGCCATTTTTTGTGGTATACATGTATATCACGTCACTTTACCAGAAGACATTCCTTTAGATTCCCCCACCCATCTTTATTATTCTTGTTTCCTATTTCAGTCTTATTTTTCCACTGAATTTAGTAATTTACTTAGAAAACCTCACTAAGGATTTGACACACTCCTGTATTATACATACATGACAACAGCAGATAGGGCAAGTGATCACTTCAATTCCCAATTTTCTTTCTCACTTACCACCCTTTTGTTTTCATTCCTCTTGTTACAATGCTGCAATTCATCAAATCACATTTTTTCCCTATCAGTTATATGCACACTAAATAGATAAATGATAGCAACCAAAATTTATTTAAATTGCATTTGAAGATCACCCTCAGTACCACAATAAGCCACACGCAGTCTTAAGGCCACAGGTTCCCCACCCCTTGTCTATACAGTACACACCTATATTCACTCCCTCCTAACAGACCTCTTCCACCCAGCTTGTTCCTTACCATATTTATTTTTACATGTTTAAATTTAGGTTTCTGGACAAGTACTGCAACTCTTACCTTATTTAGAATAAAAGTTCTCAATATAAACTTCCACGAATCATTGAACAGTACATTCAGATCCACAATTACTTCTTGCTGCACAGAATGTGATGAAGAAATGGTGCCCAATTATCCCACCCTGCCCAGGATTTGTACCCAGGTTACCTTGCTGGTAGAGGCAAGTATGCTAACCACTACACAACCAGCTGCCCCCCCCCCCCCCATGTACACACCATTGTAAAGAAACCTAGCGTGCATGTATTATTTCAATTCACAATCAAATCTTAAGATTTATTGTTAAAATGGGTTCCAAAGATATTGAACTTACCTCAACTACAGGTCCATTGGCAGGTGCTACAGTGACAATGTTTTCAGGAGGAGTAGTTGGCTCAGTAGCAGCTGGTGGAGGAGCTGGTTGTGCAGCAAGAGAACTAGTCGCACGTTGCCTGCGATTACGCTCTTCTTCCATTCTTCGCCCTTCATCTGGGGATACCACATATCTTCTGATGTGATCATCTGTTATGGTCATTCGGTTCATCATGGATCTTAGCTGCATTATTGAAGTATTAACAGACCATGACTGTATAGCTGGACTCACTCCTGCCATTATGGAACGCTGAAAGTAAAAATGATCTTAGAACTGTATACATGTAATAAATTGGATTAACCCTTTGGCTGTGGCAAACAGGAACATTTGCTCCACAAAAAACAAGTACATTTTATCAAATGACTCAAAAGAAAAGCTATCTCAAGGTTATTTTGAGATAATTTCGGAGCTAAGGGTCCCCTTGGACCGGTCCTCGACCAGGCCTCCTTTATGTTACACATACCCAGGAAGCAGCCCATAACAGCTGTCTAACTCCCAGGTACCTATTTACTGCTAGGTAACAGAGGCATCAGGGTAAAAGAAACTGCCCATTTGTTTCTGCCTCCACTGGGGATCAAACCTGGAACATCAGGACTACGAATCCGAAGGGCTGTCCATTCAGCTGTCAGGCCCTACATCGTATAATATTTATCCAAACATCTGGCCATCAGAACAGAAATTTGGGCCCGATACCTGCTGCAATCTGCTGGTGAAAGATATCGGCAGACACTGTCGATCTAAATCCATCAGGAATATTTTATTTCTGCTCAAGACATTATCTTCATCATGACAGCTAGAATGCTCAATGTAAAGAGAACATTATTTTTTCTCATTAGAAATGTTCAATCACTCATTCATAATTTGTAACTAAAATACATCTTATTATACTCTTATTATTTGAAGTAGTATTATTTCTGGTACTTATGATTTCCTTTCTACCGTACTGTCAACCCTTGTTGCCCCTGTATTTATGTACTGGGATTATTTACAATATAATTAACACTTGAAATATATTTTTTTAAATTTTCTACTAGGTATCTTTAAAATATTTTTTAATGACTGCATGATACATATTTTTAAGATAATATTTTCTTATGAGAAATGTATGACCCCCTTTCCCAAAGAAGTTTATTATACACGTTTGTTATTTTCATAATGATGTTATACGTCTAACACCTATAGCCTGGTATTGGGATCATTTTCATTGAGAAATGGCCTCTTAAAATTTTATTTTACCTTGGTCACAATGGAAAAAATAATGATAGCTTTTTTTTAAATGGTACTATGAAAAGCATAGGTAATTCACTTACTTTTTTTCCCCCATTTAAACCCCAATGAATAATAGTATAGGGCTAAAGCAGAAATACCACAGCCAAAGGATTAAAATATTTGATAAATACATATAATACTTACTACAGTAGTATCTCATAACAAATAATACTTACTACAGTAGTATCTCATAACAAATAATACTTACTACAGTAGTATCTCATAACAAATTAACAAAGCTTCATGTCAGTGCAATAATTCATACAAATGCACCAATATATTTTTTCATTGTTACAATTCTCAACATGTATACTTTACAAGGAATGCTTTTGGCATTAACAAGCACTTGAATAAAAACCTCAACATTTACACGAGCTCCGTGGAGTCAATACCTAAATCGATGCAACCATTATGTAGGGAACAAGAATGCTTCAGTTCTGAGAGTAAATGCCATCCTTATTCTAATGTCTTTCTTTTAAATATGGTTTCTACAAAGAAATTGAATTATCATTAACACTTACGACTCTCTCTTGCAATACTCTCTCTAATCCTTGGGCTCCGTCTGTAAAACAGTGCAGCGAGAGCGCGATGAATTCTCCTAGTGCTCGTCGAACTAATGACACCAGTGACGGCCCAAATGATTCTGCATCAGCTGTTGGGTTAGGGAGGTTGAGGGGGATGAGAAAGTTAGATTTTTTTTTTTTAATTTATTTGTCAAATATAAAAGGAGCTTATCATTAGCCATCAACTAAGATTTGTATGGTGGGAACAAATAGGTAAAGTTACTTTGTTCAGTTTTCAGTTTATGTACAAGGAAGTAATTATGAACATAGGGATAGAATGTGAGAAACAAATGAAGCAAGAAATAACCAAATTAATGGTAGAGTTTTCATGATAAATTCCAAGTTGAGACCAAACATGCATGAGAAAAAGTCACTTGTTTTCACATTTTGTTGTATATTGCATTAATACTCCATGTTATTTGAAAATTTGAAACCAGTTTCAAATGTATATGAAACTTCAATAAGCTCTGGAACCTGTAACACCAGTAGATTGATGGTAGAGAGGCAGGACCAAAGAGCTGAAGCTCAACCCCAGCAAGCACAACTAGGTGAGTAAAGAAGCTATAGAGGGTGTGCACACCTAAGAGTGACTAAGGGGAAGCAACATTAGCTTTTTATGCCTTGCCTGCTAAACTTGGTATACCTGATGTATTATTTCTAAGAACATACAAATAAAGGAACCATTGTGAACGAATGATAAAAATCATTACAATTATTACTGCTATCTACAAGTCTTAACTTTTACACTGTACAACACATTGTACAGTGCAAAAATCCTCAGGGCTAAGAACAAAATTACAACGTGGGATCAAAGGGCACCCATGGACCTTCGACCAGAAACCCCCAAATCGCTGTAATCTTTCTCTACTGCAGAGGATAAGGCTAGAGAAAGGATCTACATACATTTTATAGCCCAGCTACACAACAGAGGAAATAGATAGGGAGTCAACCAGAATCCAGAAAGCCCAAAACTAAAGGCTCATCCTTGGATAATGTTCTTGTTGACCGAGAGGTGATAATGATCGAGGGATCAAATGTGCTCATCAGGAATTAGAGCAAAGAAATTAATAATGTTAGAGGCATGTGTGATGTTAGAAGAGCAGATAGAATACAAATTTCAAATATAATGGAAAGATATGGTATATATATATTGGTAAATGTTAAGATTGAAGAATTACAAAATGGTTTTGTAACATTCCAGTCAGGTACAGAAAACCTGTTAGGCTTATAAAACACTAGACCAACTATGTACTGACCTTTCCCAGGATGCAACCCACATCAAATGCCCAACTCCTGGTCACCTATATTTGCTGTTAGGTGAAACAGTGATTTAAAGAAAATGTGCCCAAATGTCTATCACGCAGAGGTACTGAACTCAGGACAACTTGGTTGTGACCCTTACGGGCTATTCATGCCTATGCCACATCTTGGGTGGCTTAATCTTCATCAATCGGTTGTGACCCCGACTACACTGACCAATGTACTATGACAGGCAGACGAAGTGTGCATGTGAGAGAACATGACAAAAGGTTGGGAAATAGTAATTCGTATACAACACTCGAAAAGAGCATTCAACAGTGGAGTATTGCTGTGGATGATTTATCAAAATATGGTGGTGCTAGTTTTCCACACTATGTAAGATAAGGAGAATGGTTGTATGTTATCTTAAAATCTTAAGGCATCTCTACCTTTACTGCTTCCCTATCTTCTATGAGCTGATGCCATCTTGTCTCATGAATATGGGAAATGGGTTAATAATCATGACAAGTAAAGCCATTACTAAAAACTATTTCTAGCTAAAAATAAACAAGTTTAATAAAACGCCACTTACGGTGATTCAACACCAGGTTGAAAACATCATGTAATCTATGTCGGATGAAGTTGTGAACTGTGTTAACATAATCAATTCCTTCATGCACTTGCGCATCTCCCTGAAAATGATTTAAACTGGCATTTAATTAACGACTTAAAAAATTCATAATCCTCTTCGTGCATTTTGAATTCCAAAAAGTTATGATAAATTATTTCCATAAAGAACAATTCTTAAAATTCAATAATATTTCTTTGTATGAAATATATTATCATATAAAAGTTCAAAACCTGCAACCACCTTAATCATGACTATGTAATGAAGCCCACAATGCAGGAGTGACAAAGCTACTCTATGTCAAAGTATTTAATGGTTTACAAAAAGATATAATTACTAATGCATTACTTTAACCCCACCACAAACAATTTTACATGTAGCTATACTTATACAACGACCTTTACCTAGCTTTAAAAAATCCATGAATAGGAAAACAGGAGACAGGCAAAATACATTTACAGAGAACTATTAATTAATGCAAACTAACATTAGGTCAAATTCAAATTTTAAATAAAATGCCAAGAAAAACTTAACTCACAGCAGTGAGGACAAGATGAGGATGAAGATCCCTAATAACATTATCAATGGCACGATCCAGGTTCTCCTCAGTCGGTTGACTTCCCTGAAGAGCTCTCTCCCTCACAAATCGCTGTAAAGGAGCACGCAGCTGATTCACAGTTGTTGCACGCCCAAAGAAAAGTTGAACAAGGTCCCCGATAGATAATGACAGAGCCTACGGAAAAGAAATTGAGAAATTTCACCCAAGGAAAAAATAGCCTGAAAATGAAACTAATGACGATATGTATAATATGTATCGTACAAGAGCTCATCAGCAGCAAATGCTTTTTAAAACATTTTCTTGCATCAATGTCACACAGTAACTGAATAATACACCAGACATATAGCTAAATGAGGAATGGTTGAGAGATGTATAACTGCTAAGGCATTTACACCAACTTATTTGACTGAAAGAAATATTCCTTAAATAACTCCAAAAAGCTTGTCATTTACATTAACACAGGTTAATACTCTTACTATATAGTATTAATGATTAATATAACATTCTTTGCATCTTGCTATTTATATTTAATTATTTTATGCAATACCCACTTATTTTAACAATCTGTTTTCCAGAGCTTTAACCTTACCGGGAGATTAGTCTCTTAATTTTATTATCACATGTTAATGATATCACTTTCTTTAATCAAGCAATATCAAAAGTTCTCAAACTAGCATTCATTGCAGTTATAATGTATTGAACAGTATCTCAATGACAGGTATAAAGTTGCACCTCAAAAATCAGGAAATCAAACAAACCATCATGATCACAATTGGAAAAGCTCCGATTTCATATTGGGGGCAAAATAAAAGTAGGGTAGTCATGCTCTAAATGAAGCCCAACAACAGGAAGATAACTCAAGAATAATCTTGCATCTTTTTTTTTCCTATTATTGCAAACACATCTAGCAATAAATCATAATATCCTATTTATTTGAATGTAAATTTACGCATAGATCTTTGTCTCCTGTCTACGATCCCTACTTGCATGACTTCGATATTTTTTTCACTCATATTTTGCAATTTCAACATTGTCCAGCTGATATCTGGGAACTATTATAGCTCAGAACCCACAATTTCATGTTCAACATTTAACTGCTTCTGCCAATTTTTATCCATTTTAAAAAGACTATTTAGATCATCTCGTAGTAAGTTTAAAATGACCGTGTGGAAACTATTTTAACGAATAACATTGTATTTCGCACAAACGAACATTGTACTAACAAAATACTGCGGAATGAATATTGGCACTGACTATATTCTATTCTTTTTCAGAAAAGCAGCCAAAAACCGATTTTCATCAGACTGGTGTACAAAGCCAACCATTATTCAGCTCTGATATATTGGTTACTTTTTGTTTTGGTCACCATGTCAAAATGCAAAAAGATAATCGAATTTATCGCAACACTCCAGTTGCCATTACTCAAGATTCAACATTCATATTAGTCAAGACGGTGCCAAAATATATGCTGCCATTCTGGTTTTTGCCATGCTGTCAAGACCGATTTCAGTGAATATAAACAACCACAAAGCTCATACCAATTTAAATGCTCAAATCTTTAATACAAATACAAATCTCTAATAAAAAGTAAATGCCTGCTGTATGGATTTTTTTTTAACCTACAAGGTGAAACCATAACCAAAAATTATCATCATTTAAATAATTCAAACGATACAAAGTATTTTAGGAAAAAAAGAAAAAGAGGATGGGAACAAGTAAATAACCCTGTGAATGTAGCGCATGCAAATAGATTCATAAAAACTGATGAAGACCATTCATCAAGACAGGTTTATTAGAATGAGTAAAAAGATAAAGTAAATGAGTTAAAGATAATCAGAAATACAGACAACCTCATTATGTATCATGGCATCTGATATGGTGAGCCTATGTTAAAACCTTCAAAGCAACAGATGTCAAAATATCACACCAATTAGGTTCAATTTCAAGCTCACACTTTTACTTTCCCTTCTGCAGACTCTCTGCAGATTACCCACCAAATATATATTCAAATCACAATGCCACACCTTTTTATAGTAAGGATTTTCAATTACTATTTGACACCCACTTACCACAGTGTTAAACAACTGATAAAAGAGCGAGTCTTCATATCCTTCAGCGAACATGCCACTATCAAAAGGTTGAAGGAACTCGTGAAGTGAAGTAGTAGATTGCTGACTGCTGCTGTCACCTTCGGCACTCAGTGTACCCGACACTTGTGAAATAACGCCCTGAAAAAAGTTTGATCACTTCTCATCAAGACCAAATAGTCAACCTTATCACAACAAAGTAAAATATAAAAAGCAGCATTGTAATTAGGCCAATACTCTAAAATCTTTGGAATTTTAATATTTTCTTGGGGGAGGGAAGGGGGGGTAGAGGAAGAAAGGGGGGGGGGGGGTAGAGGAAGAAAGGGGGCAAACTCTTCTACCTGGTTGAGACTATGGTGTGGTATGAACAGAATTTTAACTTTTTATGCCAATGTATACTGTTTGTATACATTGTATATGTTTGTATACTGAGGAATGTATACTGTTTTACATTTATATGCAAGATATTCCATTATTGTTCTAACTTTTATTAGTCTATCTTGATTGTCTTTGGAAATGGCATTACTGTTATGAATGTGAAAATACTTTGCAATGGTTACAAATTGTCTTGCCGTCATAAATGAAGGTACATGCCGCACTTTAGCCGTTTGCCAGTACATAGTCATTTCTGGCATCTTCACAATGCCCATCAACATTGTCAGTCCCAAATATCCAGCAAGCTATTTTACACTTACTTCATCCCACTCATTGTTTGTGTTGTTAGAAGCATTGGACATGCTTTGTGATGCATACAAGATGGTTTCATATACCATATATTTCAGCCAATCTCGTGTATATTGATAAAGAATTAAGTACCTACCTGCACTAACTGAGCAAACATCTGATCACTGATCTGAGGTTCATTGCTATCTGAGGCCGCTTGCTCCTCCTGTGGTTGTTCCTGCTGCGGTGCTGATGCTCCATGTCTCCCACTCAATGCTTCAGCCATGAAATTTGTAAAGAGTGCTATAGGATTAGCAGATGATGCTGTGGGCGAGACTCCAACCTGAGGACGAGTCTGAGCCGATTCTGAAGAATTGTTCTCCTGTGCCTGTGAATTGAAAAAATATAAATTCTTCCATAAAAAGGTAAAAATATGTACTGTACTGTACTCTAAATTTATAGGAGGCAGCGATCCAAAGCTGCTTCCTCGGTTGAAAAACAGGCCACCTGATACTATATTCTAAAAATTAGAGCAATCAAATCTACACTACAGAAACGGCATCAGAATTATTTTCCTCTAGGTTTTCCAAAATGCATAATAAATGCACAAGAAATAATAATATATTAAAAATAAAAAATACGTCAACCTCAAAGTAAATCACACGAATTTGAAACCCCATTAGTATAAAATACCATAAAATTGATCAATGCTGTTTTTCCACACAAGATGGACCCGGGAACTTGGAACTTCCACAATACAGCACCTCGTGTTTTGCTCAAGTATATCAGTGTAAAGCTTATATCAATGGCACAACATGAAGACATTTCAGGAGAGGAAATTATGATTCCCCACTTGGTAGGAGCCGACATACCAATGTGCTTCCCGTTGAACTTCTCTGCTGCCCCAGGCTGCCTCCATCTTGGGTCTGGTGAGAAGAGATGCCCAGGAGGCTTAGCCATCGCGTAATTAAGCAAACAGCAAGTACTAAAACTCAAAAAATGTTCCATCATCGGAACTAAAACTTCTACTGTTAGTTTTCCTGAGGACTTCATATTCAAGTTAAACAACACAGCCAAAGCATATTTATTTAAAAGTATTATCGACTTCAGGTTTGTGACATTAAACACTAATAAAAGAAAAAGAAAAAATTGTCTAACAAATATTTAAATACTGAATAAACTTCATGCAAGTAAAGAAATAAAAATCAACAATAAAGTTAAAAAATTAAGATTTTCCTTCATTTTGAAAATAGCCAGAAACAATACCCACACATACAATTAATTGACGACTCTTAATATCAGTGTAAGCAATCCTAAACATGCACAGTACTCTATATCAGTTTCAAATATAAACACATTTCATTTTTGTTTCAGTTCTAGAGCTTGTGACTTGTGTACAGCTCACACTCCCCCCTGGGCCTTCTTTGGACAAGATTTTGGCTTTCTATCCTTTCTTCAGTTCTTTGTTGACCCTTCAATTCGGGATTACATTAAAGATCATTTTTGTTGGCCTTCACTTCTAGTGGTTGAGTTGGGAAGCTACACATTCCTTCCAGGAACATTTTTGTTCTTTTGATCCGAGGGACAGTTTTCTTCATTTGCAGCATTCTCCTTTCCTGGCTAAGAATGAGAAAGCTAGTTCTCAGAGGGGCTCTTTAGTGATTGATTCTTGGTTGGTTCGGCCGAGGGGGCATCATTTGCTGTATCTGGTTGCAGCCATTACCCCAATGCTACTAATGGTGTGCAAGGGTACACCAGGGGGAACTGGTGTCCCCCTGTCCTTTGGTATAAGGCCATTTACCTCGGGTCATCTGCAGTGTCATCGTTTAACCAGCCTGGGCTCTACCCTTGGTCCCATATTAATAAAGTATTTCATTGGCAGCAGTTACAGTGCTTTGTAATAATACATTTTCTGAGAGAAGAGGGAGGGGAAAAAGGGGGAAGAGGCAAGGATAAGGGTAGAAAAATTGAAGGGGGGGGGGATGGAAGAGGGGAAGGGGTTAAGAGGAGAATAGGGGAAGGGGGAGAAGGGAAGAAGGGTAAGAGGGAAGGGGGGGTAGAAGGAAGATACCCAGGCACAACTGAGTACTCTTCCTAGCATTAAATATACAAAGAATAATGTTTAAGAAAATATGCACAAATTTTTTTTATTTTTCAGAAATTATGCATGAAAGTATATATATGTACATAAATTATATTTACAAATTATGTCCTCAACGATGGAAAATTGCCCACTAAGTGCCAGAGCCAGAAGGACTGACAAGCTGACCCATCCTTGGGTTCCATAACTATTACAAACAGATACAGGAATGCACCGTGCTATGACCATCGATACGCATCTGAAACTTTATTTACAAATGATTTGCTCAAACTGTAAATAAAATTCTTGCATATTGCAATAAGTAGATCTATTTAAATATTTAAAACTGTTAAAACATGTACCACATTTTATAATTTATGGTTAATATCGCATCAGCAAGAAATACAACACAACGAGATCCTACCTGTGGCTGTGCTTGATGTCTCCTCCTTGTAGCAGGACGTATGTGGTGGCTTTGACATGGAAGAAACGGGTCAAACTGGTTCATTCCCATTCCTGGCACATTAAGTGGGGTCACATGAACGTGAGGGCGATGTGTCACTCTGGTTTGTGTCACATTAGTTGTGCTGGTGCCACTGTTAGATAGGAATAATGCCTCTCAATCTTTCACTTGGGATGAGGAAAAACACAGCTTAATTTTTACAGGGCTTAAGTGATTTGGCCAAAATTTATCTTGTGTATTTTAGCAGAATTTTTAAAATGGCTAAATTTTTTAATAATAATACTAATTAATAATACTAAATAATAATAAAAGACGTTTAAAAGTTTTTATTCAGATGCCTAAGAATTCTTACGTGATTCCGGTAGTGAGTGGGAAAGGTTTTTGTGGGAATGTAACTTCAATAATTGGTGATGTTTTGCATCATAATATACTAAAATTGAAGTAGAAGTTGTTTTTGGGAGGGGAGGGAGGGGAGAAGATAGGAAAACATTTATTTCTTATATACTTCCAACTTTCACAAAGGCTGATCAAGTTACCGGAATCACAAATTTGCCATCTACATAATAATGCCCATGCAGTCAACTAACACAGGCACTTCCAAGTAGGTTGCCATGCACCAACTTCACTAGCTTCTAATGTTGATAATTTGTTATTTTGAAATTATTTTAAATCAAGGGAGAGATCATGTCCCCAAAAATTCCTGCAGCAATAAAATAAGTAGTACGGCCTTGAAAATCCACACCTCTAAATGGTCCCTCTAAATGATTGTCTAAATTAGTGCAATGGTTCTCTCCAAATAATGAATGCTGAAAAATTGTTCAGATCTTGGACGGCAGGCTGCAGTGATACCCAAATCATTAGATAATTTCCTGTGCATATATTTTTTTATCAGTGGCTGTATCAAATGTTATTCCAAAAAAGCTTATGAAGACCTAAATTCTAAATTATTAAAAAATGTTCAAGATATTCCAAAGGTGAACTATCAATGTTTATGGTAAGGGAAAAAAGTAGATGAACTTGGTTTGATAGAAGATCCTATGGCTAGTTTTCACTTTAACAGCAAAGAATTCTAAATATTAAGCTGCTTGATGGGATTCTGGGAGTTGTTCTACTCCCCAAGCCCGGCCTGAGTCCAGGCTTGACTTGTGAAAGTTTGGTCCACCAGGCTGTTGCTTTGAGTGGCCTGCAGGCCTACATACCCACCTCCATGGTGGGTATGTGACCTCATATGGATCACATATTGACCCATCTCCCCTCTATACTCCCACCGCTCTAATCGTCACATGAAAATTGTGTGTGTGCATGGCTCCAGTCCCAATGAGATTTGTCACCCGGCAATATTTTAATGTTTCGCTGGTTATATAAACCCCAGTGGAGACCTCTGGCAATCATTTATTTATCCTTATTGCCTTCCAGGGGTCATAGCAATGTGTGCGCACCATATCCAGAAAATAGTATTACAGCCAGCAAATAGTATTACAGCCAGCAAATAGTATTACAGCCAGCAAATAGTATTCCAGCCAGCAAATTAAAAATTGTAAGTACTATACTTTGAAGAACATGGTAGATCTTTGTGATAAAATATTTTATGAAGCAGTTTAATATTATCCATCAGAAGATGAAACGAGCTAACAGTACAGGAAATAAAATTGAGGATTGCGTATTTTGTTGGCAACCGACAACTATGCCCCCCCCCCACCCTCCACGCTACTCCCATTTAACTATATATGAGCATGCAAGACAGCCACAAACTCCTGAACCGTACTGTGCAACCAAGGCCAATGACCACCCTGGCCTGCTTGGTGAGTGCTGGCCACAAAGCCCCAACCCAGAGTGAGGCAACTGTGTGAAAACGTCAAGGGCAGAGTAAGGCGATGGCGAACCGAACCCCAAAAGTCAGTTTAAAGAAAAAAAAAAAAAAAAAAAAAAAAAAAAAAAAAAAAAAAAAAAGTTAAAATTGAAAAATTGGTTATATGCAATAAAATAATGTCTAATAGTTACTAAATGGAACTATCACATTAGACACATGGTACTGTACAAGTGGAGTGCTTCGGGGTCAGTTTTGCAACAAGTTTTGTTAGTAAAATACTGTAAATGACAAATCCCATATGCTGTACAATACATTATCTAAATCTGTAAATGAAAAATTAAATTAGGAAGCAAAGTTACAACATCAATATAAGAAGAGATTGTAAACCGACTTAAACATTTAACCTTAGCAAACCAATTGAATTAACGGCCGTTTAAATGTAATACTGATAAATGCATAATTAGAAACAAAGAGGAAGAGCAAACCACTAGATGAACAAGAGAGTTGATTAAAGTAAAGAGAGAGAGAGCGAGCCCTGGGTGTGACAGTGGCAAGTGATCTGCAGCCACATAAACAGTGTACCGATATTGGGAAGAAAGCCAATATAATACCTGTGTTAGGTTTCTTTGGGAGACCTTATGCGTTTTGATCAAAGGAAGTCGTTCACACTGTGCTCAGCACTAGAATGTCCCATACTGGAATGCTGCTTACAGTTTTCGTCATCAAACTCGAAAAAGTTAAAGAAAATTAAGCGTTCAGTGACAAGCAACAAATTTCATGCCATTAAACCACAAAGAGCCCACTAGTTAAATTTACGGTCTTGTAAGAAGTTAATTTAATATATGGTATGTATTTATGAGTAGTAAAGGGCATAACACTCTTGTTCCATAAAATTCTTGATTCTGCATTGTCTCATATCACCCAAAACAATGGCTTCAAATTAAAGGTAAATTAAACCAAGACGTCTTTCTTTAACCCTTAACATGTGGCTGTCATCAAAACTGTCCTTTCACCTATGCACAAAAAACAAAGAATTGTTTTAATAGAATGATGGGATTCATGGATCATTATAGAATGATGCATGCAAAAAATGTGTCTAATCACCTCACTCAGCGCCCATAAACTGGTTAACATGTTTGCTCCATCATGGTTAAAATACTGTCATACAATCCTTTTTTTTTTTTTTTTACTTTTCCGTGACCAGGGAACGCATTATAACAATATCTGGCAAGAAAAAATATTTTTGGAAATAATTTGTTTTCTTGCGTACCATGGGAGGTTCTTTCTAAAGGCTGCACAGTCTAAAAAAGTATGATTAAGAATAATATTTCTTGGAAAACTCACATGTGCTGCAGTATAGTGCACAAAGAAATCTGAAGAGTACATAATGAAACAACAGTAGCCACCATCAAAAATAACTCAGCAGAAAGTGTGTTTGTGTTTAGAGCTATACACAAGCAGCACAAACAAAAAATCTTGTAAAAAGACATTCGCAAAAAGAGCTGTTGGTTTACCAAAAGCCCCATTCTCTGGTCTCCTTACAAGATGGCAGAGTAGGTGGCAAATATTTGCAAAACATGTCCTCTAGAGTATGCCCGAGACTGACAGAGCATCACTTACCTGCACAGCTATGCTGTGGTTCTTGGTTCAATAGTGCATTGACCTCCAATTAAGGAACATTCTGTCAGGAGACAAGATTCAAGGCCAGCAGACAATGCCGAGATGAAGCAAGACAGTAGAATGTGTGAGGCACCCTAGATTGAATAGCCCAATCCTTAATGACAATACAGTGCTGACATCGTATTCGCACACCTCGGGGACAAGCCCTGTCGAATAGGTGGATTTGTGAATAAACAATCGTCTCTCCCCGAATAAAAGCAAATGGGGGAAAAAAAGGAATTTTGCTCAGCAAAATCAACAGTCATTCTGTTTAATGTCTTTACAAGTATTTTTCACTCAATATACTGTACTGTAATTTTTATAATCTTCCTCCTATAAAATCTAATAAAAGCTTGAAAAAGCATATGTAGTGGAAATAAAAAGTAAATACATGTATATGTACATGATTAAACTATTTTCTAAATCATGGCCAGGCCATACATCAACACACTTGACTAAATTAATGGCTGCCAGTCCGGTCACTAACAATTCACTCCTTCCCACAATCTTTGGTCGCCAAGCCCAGCCAACACCACAACCCATTCTCGTCTCACTCAATTTGTTTCATAATCAGCATCACAACATTTCCTCTGACCAGCTGTTTGCATACACCTTTCCTCTACTTGAGCCAACATACTTAAAGGACATGCATGAATGACTATACCAAGCTACATGTAATCAACAAGGAGGCTGGAAGACCACCACCTGGTACAACTAAGTCAAATGTGCACGAGTCCCTTCAGGGGCACACAATATGCAGTTAGCAGGAGAAATTAAACTTCTTGACTAGAGAGCACCCACCATAACAGTACTGTAAATTAACCCTTAGACATGGGCTATGGAGAAATGGTCATACCCTCAGATGCACACAAAAAATTATAGATTTATTAATTTGAATGCAAATATAAGAAAAACACGAAGATGAATAATTATTTATTGTTTCACTGGGTGGAGGCACTCTGCAAGGCTGTGCTGGCACTTGACATTGCTAACGCTTCCTGTTTTATCCTCAGATGCTTCACTAATTGTTTTATAATTTTTTTTTATTTACAGCCACAGAGAGCAATCATACCCATATTTGCATCATACATGTTAAACCCAGACAATAATCATTTAAATCATTGTATGACGATGACCACATTCCCTTGGTAACATTCATGACGATAACAGCATTTGTCCCACGAAATGGCAGCAGAATTTTTTTCCATGGGTCAAGGTGAACTTCCATTACATCCACTAGACCTAGTATATCCATATTTGCATCAACATGTAAAATCCAGACACTAATTGTTCAAATCTTCATAAGATGACCGCATTACTCTGTGAATTAACCGATTCACAGGGTAAGATACTGGAAGAGGGGAAACCTCTGTTAAGACGAATCTGCAGGCCTGAACTGCACATGGAAATGAATCGTAGGGCAGCAGAGGTCCAATCAAACTCATACCATTCGGGTGGTCAAGAAAACCCCTCTCCTGCGAGCATACGACCCTTCTCAGAATTAACAAAATACTAACTAGTCCCCGATGAAAACTAACTGGTCCCTGAATTGGTTAGTCATGAACTCATGGCTGATGGGAAGCCTGCCATGAAGGTCTCCCCACCAGTCCCTGGAGCCTGCCATGTAAAACTCCAGGGCAGAGCCAGTCATTGTCGCCTGGGAAGGAAAGGCATTCGCCAAGGAAGAAGGTATGGGAGGAAGCATGTGGCTGTGAAGGAGAAAACTAACTTTGGCAGGACTAGATGGCTCAAATACCTCCACACTTCTAAGAAAGGGGCAACGCTCAAGGGGCAACCTCAAGAATTTACCAAGCTGCACCCATAGTTAAACCCTGCATTAGGGGAAGGGAAGGAAGGAACTCAAGCAGTCAGATAAAAACCACAAATAGCACATTTCCCATGCTCTAGCCTCGAAACTTCATTTTCAAACGAAAGAGTTGGGCTTGTATTTGTGAACGAAAACCAAACCGGGAAAATCAAATTTAAAAGAACCATAGAATTTGATTTTAAATATGCTCAAGGGCTTTCCCAAGGCACAAACTCACTCTTAGAATGTTGTGTACATCAATGAAAATCATTAAAAATGTGTCTGGAGCCATATAGAGATACAATTCATACCCTAATATTTCCCACAATCTATGAGCTGACTATGATTTGACTATGGGAATATTTAATTTAAACTTAGATGATGATATGATGAGATAAACTTTAAAACTTTACACAGTATCATTTGCTACCGAGACTGCTGGAAGTATCACCCGACAGCAGAGTATGTGTATAAATTGTGATGCAGCTATTATTAGTTTTCTAAATAGTTCATGAACCCCCCCCCCATACCAAGTTCCAATTCCCACCAGGGGAATACACGATACAGTAACACGAAGGACCTTCTTTGCATCACTACACACACTTCTTTGATGTTGCAAGCTGACACACAGGAAGGTTCTCCTATTTGTTCATTCTCCATATGGTTTAGATACTGTACTGCAAATTTGGAGAAACAATCATCTTAACAAACCACGTAACCTGACCAGGAATAACTGACAATAACAACAATTACTGTAACCCTGCGATTATCCGGGATTCGAACATCCGGAAAACACCCTTATACGGCCAAAATTGTGACCGGATAAAGTTCTCAATATCCGGCCAAAATGGCCACAGGAACCGGATAAAAGCTGGTTTGGCCGGATAAAAATTCAGCTGTACTGTATTAATCCCAACTATGGTTCTAGATGCATGATGGAAGAGGGGGTGGGGTGGGTGGTGTCGGGAGGGTGGGAGGGGAGCGTCAGGAGGGACCACCTGGGAACAGGAATTACCATTAATTTTAGAACAATTAATCATAGCCCAAAACAAATGAAATAAGTACTAGTAATTATGTAATAACATAAATAAGTTTCCTAAAAGCAATGTGCACAGGCTGAAGTTTCCTTCAAAAATATTGTGAATTTTTTTCCTCCTCGCAGCCTACGTAACGTGCTATAGCTGCCCCAAGTGAACCCGTCCAACACTGGTCAACCCATGTGCTCCCCGTCCCTCGTGTTATACATAATGCTGCGCCATTAGTGAAATATTTTTTTAAATAACTTTTTTTATTTTCATAGTAACTTTGAACATTTTTGGCCAAGACTATGTCTGGTAGCAGTATCAATCGTTCTGGAGGTGTTAAGAGGAAGAAGGTTGTCCTAGCAATTAAAGACAAGTTACGTGTTGTTCAACCAGTGAGGCGTCACAGGCAGCCATAGGCCTTCAACAAGCGAGGTGCAAGCCAGCGCCTTCAACAAGTGAGGCGCAAGCCAGCGCCTTCAAGCGAGGCGTCACAGGCAGGCCAAGCGCCTTCATCAAGTGATGTGATGGGCCTTTAACAAGTGAGGCGCGCATACAAGCGCCTTCAACAAGTGAGGCCTCACAGGCAACCCAAATGCCTTCAACCAGTGAGGCTTCAGCAGCTGGCAGTCAAAACTAACTTTGCCTAATGAACTGTACAGTAATTTTAAGTGTTAATTTTAGTGTTGTGTTAGTATAGGTTACGTAAATTGTTAAGAATTCTCAACTTCAAGATGTGTGGCATCAATCAAGAAGACGAACACCAACAAGGTAAGTCGAGTTTTCTAGTTGAACATTTAATAATTATATGTGGCAAGGCAATTCAAATTATGTTGTTTGTAGTATAAAAATAGTTGGAAATGGTCACTTTTGGACTCTTAGGTGAAATAGTACCATTATCAGAAAAATGTGATAATCCGGCTGGGGGTCCTTCCCATATAGTCCGGATGATCGAGTGGAAACAGTATGATAATTAGTATCAACAGACAAGCTGTATTAAGATAACTAAACAAAAAATTAAATGCATGGGGAATGCGCTATAGATAATGTATATCCTGAAGTGGTATGAGCATGCAACTAAGAATGAGTGACAGTATTACAATCAATAATGTAAAAAAATACTAAAAATGCTGGAATAAGGGTTTTGAAAATGAAGTAAAAATAGCAAGCAGAGACGGGATGACTTAAGAGCTTCAGCTATTGTAACCATGCCCTAAAGGATAAATTTAAAGTTAAGAGATCAATGCAAAATAAAGGGAGAAAATATAGGTGAAAAAACCACAAGCAATGGTCAACATCTAAGTAACACAGTATATTCGTCTGCCCTCCAAAATCAGTCAAGCAGTGAACAGTTGTGTAAACAAAAAATCCTATCATCCTACTCAATATATGAAGATATAAGGCACAAGATTAATGGTGTTATAAAACTACAAAAGAAAGCATTTCAACCTTTTAAAGAGAAATTATTTACATTAAGAGATCAAGGGGAATTTGAGAATGTGCCTCTAATCACCGAGTACTTGTGTTAAGGTGAATGAAATATTATTTAAAGCGAGAGTGCACTTTTACCACGATAGCGCGCTCTTCCGTAAGGAACCAATATAAAAATTATTACCTTTAAATTAACAAGGAAATTTACAAAAGGGTCACTAAACTTAGTGTGGCTAGCAAGTGGATGGTTCCACAAGATACTTTGTTCACGCAAGATTCCCTAAGCTACAATCGTTTTCATACTAGCAGTCAAGAATACCATCAGCAAATTAAAAAATTATAACTCGATTCGATACTTTGCTCATACAATATATGAATATATATATATTTTGAATATACATTATGTGTATGTGTTTATATATATATATTTTTTTTAATGTGTGTGGGAGAGTATATATTATATATATAATACATATACACACACACACACAATATATATATATATAATATATATTATGTATATATACACATATATATACACAAAATATAATTGTGTGCCTTCAATATACAATGATGCATATTATGATTCATATGCTAAATTGAAGACTTTGTTTATACAAGAAAATATTTGTTTACATATCAAATCCCTTACTGCCAAAGCAAAATGTCTGCAGCCATGCTTACCAGGCGCCAAGATTTGCAGATTGTGAGCTAGCATGAAAATCAGAAGAAAAAAACAGCACGAAGAGTGCATTTAGATGGTGACTTAACCAGGTAAACAGTTCCCCCATCTCATCAATGGCATGGCAACCATCCACTACTGAACCTCCTGAATACATGGATGAGGATTAACAGAAAATAATGGTGCTTGTACTACAAAGGTTGTAGTTTATGGCAACATAAAATTATAATAAACACATTCCTTTAAAATGGGAAGCTGCCAAGAAAATGTGCAGGTATTAAAATTTGAGAAGCTTGACACCAGACATACCAGAAGAAATCTGAAAAATCTCATCCTTGTAGACCACAATGTCTAGTATGTAAGCAGGTAAGCTTCTTCACAATAGATTTAAAATAAGCTATTGACCAAGTTGTTATGTTTAATTCAAGAACTGCCTTTCCCTTCCCATATTATGATTACTGGACAGGCATGTATTAAACTAAAGCAACATCAGGCAGTTATTGCTGCCATACGTTTATATACATCAAACAATTTGGTAATAAAACAATTCTGACATTTACAATCAATACACATGCTACCATATTCAAGATATATTCCCACAACTGCCAATAAGAATTTACCAATTTCACTCAGCAGAGCAAGCAATATTATTTCTTTTTTTATATCAAATCCCTGAATTAGGCAATACTTAAATTTACACATCAATTTCTGTCACACCCAACTAGTCCTTACCACAACAAGGCTTCAGTTGCCCTTCAATATTCAATCCAAATCCAACAAAATGTTCAATAGAAATAATTAAAAAGATTAACATTCAACTCAAAAATACAATTTATGTACCTGCATATATTAGCCACAGAGACTGTTTTGAAATAAAGGTTTTACAAGACTTGATATGAAAAACTTAGTAATGGCATATTATAGCACCAGTGCCAAATATCCCAAATTCTAAGCATACGTAAAGCTGTGCAAGTATATTTAATGGGCAGAAATTTGAACACATCCAAAGGTTCTAAAACATTTATGAATAGTATAGTGTGGTTATCTTGAGATTTCATACATGCATATGCAGTATGCATACAGAAGCATTATACCTTGCATTAATTGTTGCATCAGATGAATTATCACAAACTTGCCTTCTTTAACCTTTCAAATAAATGTCAAACAGGGACAATTGTGCCGTATCTGACCACACTACACGAGTACACGAGTTAATGAGGGCCTATTTAAATTACCACACAAGATTTAAAAGTTCAAAGCAAGCACAGGACGTGCATCTACTTCCTCAGGCCTCCAGTAGAAGAGGAGAGAGAGACCTTCGTTGAACAGAACCATGGGCACCCCACCTGGGTGTGAACACCTCATTACTGAGAGTGACCACAGGTACAGTAATACATACTGAAGCAACTTACAGCACTGCCATACAGCTTGTGCCCAGAGCATCACTTAATAATGACAAAATAAACAACTGATTATGTTGCGATATGTCATAGAAGCAGCCGACAGTGATAAAGACTGTACAAGGCTGGGATATCAGTGAACACACTGCTGGTTATGAGGTACATAGCGCGAGGCAGACATCCACAGCACACAGCCGTGGTTTCGTGCATGTACACATCATGAAATGAGACTTCGTGTTCCTTCAGGAAACAAACTTGCAGAAAATTATTGAAATTTACAATTTAGTGAACAGGAATCTGACAAGCTCAGTGTTGTGGCTAGAGTTAGCAACGTGTCTAGCATAGCATATCACGAATCGTTTTGCTTTACCAGATGGCATTGTCTGCTGGTGTCATCTGCAGGTAGCGTGTGGTGCAATGTTGTGCTTGGATTTCATTACCACTCACCAGAATTTCTCACTGGTTTGTAATCATGTATGAAAATGTATATAGTTATATATATAAGGTGTGTATAGTGTAATAACAGCAAAAACAGTATGCATTATTGTTCTAAGCAAATAATATTGTGCGCATTATAGTGACACCAATATACTTGACCATTCTGATGTTCCACAAACTTCTCAAGACAAATACTGTTGAATAATATTACTACAAAAAACCTAGAGAAAAAATAAATCGGAATCCTTTCAATATAAATATCTTTGCAGCAACTTCGCCCCACCCCTTTCCTGGGGCAACCACCCAGGGGCGATCACTCGAATGTGTGTGAATCATGAAGTCAAGAGATTTCCAGGTTTTACTATGGCCAAAGTCACATACAATTCTCCCCCTCCCCCCCCTTTCCCTGGGATCTAGGAACACATTTTAACAATTAGAAAAACAAATTTGGAATTTTTTTCTTCTTGCACACTGGGGAATATGTCGGCTATAAAAATGGGGGTACAGTGTAGGGGTTGAATGACAAAGGCACATTTTCACATTAATTTAAATAAGCCATTTCATGCATATTTCACCTTCACAAAAGTTTTTTAATGCAAGCAAAGCAAAATTTAGAATGACATTTATATAAACGTCTTAATCATCACCCCTTCGACATGTTCTAGTTTCCAGAGCAGTTCCACACTTTTGATAGAGAGACTATCAAAAGTCTTTTTTTTTAGGTCTAAATAGACTCAGTCAACCCAACCACCTCTTTCCTGTAGTATCTCTACGGCTCTGTCAACAAAGCTAAATACATTTGCTTTACTCAGTTTTTATGACAGAGCCACAGAGATACTACAGGAAAGAGGTGGTTGGGTTGGCTGGGTCTGTCTGGACCTAAAGAAAGGCTTTTGATAGTCCCATATAAGAGACTGTTCTGGAAACGAACATACTGGAGGGGTAACAGGGAGACTTCTGATATAGATGAAAAAATTTCTGACAGACAGATGAGGGGCAGCAATCAGAGATAATGTATCTGACTGGAGAAGTATTACTAGTAGAGTACCGCAGGGTTCAGTTCGTGCACCAGTAATGTTCATCGTCTACATAAACAATCTACCAGAAGGAATAGATAATATGAACATGTTTGCAAATGATACCCAAGATACTGGGGAAGATAAGAGATGTACACAATGGTCATGCCCTTCAAATGTATCTTAGATAAAATAAGTGCTTGGACTGACATGTAGCAAATGGAATTCAATGTGAATATATGTCATGTTATGGAATGTGGAATCAGAGAAAATAGACCACACACAATTTAAAAATTATATGAAAAGGAATTAAATAACAAATAAAGAATGAGATCTAGGGACAGATTTGGAGAGTAAACTGTTACAAGAGGAACACAACGAAGCTGACGAGTCACAATAACGTAGCTGAAGATATGATGACCAAACCATACACCACTCTTGCCTTACTTATTGCCCATGCCTCCCTCTCTCCCCCATCACAATCAACTTCATAATGGTCCAGGACGGACTGAAATGTCATCGACCTCCTCATCTTCTGGTGTGTGGTTTGGTCATCGAACACACAAAAACACTGTTCGAGGAGCGAAGGTGTCACTTTCCAACTTCAGACTCTTAAATCCATGGATGGCAAAATACTAAAATAAACTTCATGACTTATTATACCAAAATTGGAACATGTAGTAGTTTGTATGATGCCCATATTTCAGCAGGCACATCAATAAACTGGAAAAGGTGCAAAGGCATGCTACAAAATGGCTTCTGGAAATGAAAAACAAAGAGTTACAAAGAGAGATAAGAGGCATTAAATATGTCAAAGCTAGAAGATAGAAGAAAGAGGTGATATGATCACCAGTTACAAAATAATAACAGGAATCAACGAAATTGACAAAGAGGAATTCCTGAAACCAGCAACTTCAACAAGAAGACACAGATTCAAGCTAAAGAAACAAAGGTGCCAAAATAGTATTAGAAAGTTTTCTTTTGCAAATAGTGGTAGATGGTTGGAACAGCTAAGCGAGAAGGTGGAGGAGACCAGAACAGTCAGTACAGTAGTTTCAAAGCGTTATATGACAAGGAATACCGAATCCAAAAATCCAAAAACATAGCTTTCATCCTTTACCCTCGCTTATGTAATTACATAGTTGGTATGCGAGGAGCCCACCACATGTATTTACAACATTTCTCATTCAGTTTTCCATTTGGAATGTGTTTTAATGGTAAAATCTCACTCTCACACACACAAAAAGGAATGTTTATCTAATGCACTAAGTGTTTTTATCCACTTTCCTACACATTTAGGTATGGTCTATAATAGATACCATTACGAAGTACATTATGAAGTACTACTTATTAAACAGTCCCTGTGGTAATCAGTCTTTATTTACCTTCAATAAATTAGCACTCGTTAAGCATCAAGTCAAGAAGTGGGAATTTATAATTTTTAACAATTGCCTAAATGAATTCTCTGGCTAAAGACAACATATTCGTTATAAATTTAAGGTTTAAGGTTATGTGAAAAGAAGGTAGTACTGTATATAGCAATGTCAGATACTTAAATGTTAACTGTAAGCTTTGTTGAACGAACCCAAATTTTAATTGTCCAATACTCAAAACTAAAAAAGATGTTTTAATGTATGCACATATACCCATATTACGACCCCAGATAATTGTAAACCAGTTTAATTTAGCAAATACCATAGATAGTCGCATTTCAAAATTTTAAATACATTACGAGTGATGAGAAACGTACCTGTTGCCAGCAGCCTGACTGTTGCGTCCTGGACCTGTACTCTGAACACCAGAGCTAGAGGTTGAGGCAGAAGAAACAGTAGTGGAGGAACTGGTGGTATTGGCTGTGGAGGAAGGGTTGGAAGCGGAATTGGAAGGAGGGGAACCTCCAAGACGAACACCTAGCTGGTTTGTAATTGAGGAAACTATGTTCTGAATGAGCTCTGGAGGGGGAGCCGATCCTCCTGAAAATTGAAGACGTTAGGGTCAAGTAAGAAATACTGATAAAATTTAAACCAAAACAATATTGAGAAATAAATTTTCCCCACATACAGACTAAAGAATTTGTGTTTAAATTAATCTAAGTGCTGCAAGTACATTACAAATATAAAGCACACTGATGCACAGCACACTGAACAGGTATACATGGTACTTGTACCGTGTATATTCCGGTCCGAGGCACAGAAAGAAAAAATATTTAACCATGTTGCAAGAATTAAATGGAGTAAATGAGAAATGGTTCAAATTAAATTTAAAGTTTAACTAATAAACAGGATGGATTTAAGAATTGAAAACCGTAGCAGTTGATAAACATGTTTAAATGTCCATTCTTGCATACACTCCAAATAGTGTATTGTCTATTTAAATTATGCGATGTCACAGATGACTACTTGCAGCATAATAATGTCTGTAGTGTCATAAGTTATTTTACAAGCATTTATTTTAAACCATTTTACCTGTCAAGATTAATCTCTCTCTTTTTGAAAACCATAAATTAGATTTTTTGGTATTTTGTAATTAATGGCCAGTCAAATATTTTGAAGTCCATTTTGGGGATGTTCCCAAGGCCTGATTTTGTCAGATTTTGGACAACTTATTATTCAACAACGATTCCCGAGGTGGTAACAATTTAGAAAGCTTCCTAGAAAATTTTGGTCAGGTTTAAGGCATACTTGCTCTAGACTTCCTCAACTAAAGGAGCTAGAAATTGGTGACAGCAACCAGGTACAATATTAATGACTTGAAAGGGCTGACATGACTTAATAGTGTAGTTATCTCAGTGCAGCTAGCAACAGGGAGTCACCATTTTTCCTTCTTAAAAATACCCAATACAAAATAATATACTAGTTGCTAACTATTATTACAAGATTTTCCTGCAAATAAAAAATAAAAATACTTAAAGTTGACCAATTTCATAAATAAAGCACAAAATGTAGCTAATAATCAAGGCTTCAACCCTTCAAATGCACATGTTAGAAAGGGATGTTAAAAAGAACTTTCATTGTCAATAGTTAACAGATGGAATGCATTAGGCAATGATGTGGTGGAGGCTGACTCCACACAGTTTCAAGTGTAGACATGATAGAGCTCAGTAGGCTCGGTAATCTTTATGCCAATTGATTGACAGTTGAGAAGCGGGATCAAAGAGCCAGAGCTCAACCCCCGCAAGCACAACTTGGCGAGTACATGTCAATCAGGGAAGATTGTGCCATTTCCCACCCCACAGTACCAATCAGTGAGAATGATGTAAAATACAGCTTAAGATTTAAAAGTCCCGCATGTACCTGGGACTCGCACTCGCTTCCTCTGGCCTCCAGGGGAGGGGAGGCGGTCGGCCGAACGGACAGCACGCTGGACTTGTGGATCCTGTGGTCCTGGGTTCGATCCCAGGCGCCGGCGAGAAACAATGGGCAGAGTTTCTTTCACCCTATGCCCCTGTTACCTAGCAGTAAAATAGGTATCTGGGTGTTAGTCAGCTGTCACGGGCTGCTTCCTGGGGGTAGAGGCCTGGTCGAGGACCGGGCCGCGGGGACACTAAAAGCCCCGAAATCATCTCAAGATAAGCTCAGTCAACAGACGCCACATTGGAAACAAATCGCAGGCACTCCTTTTGGGTTCAAGGGCCTCAGTATTGAGAGACCAATTATGAATAGCACATGCAGTATATTTAACATTTCATAATCATGTGTGCTAAATCACTAGAATTATATCCAATCTTGTCTTTCCAATTCATGCAGTTACCTTACCCTACAGTATAAATTGTTATCTATAACAATCATTCCTATATTCCCCCATTCCTATATTTAATACCTTATGCATACTAGGGTTAAAATCAGCCAGTTGTTTGTTCACTTCTGGGATTGTCAAGGTCCTTCTCGGTTTTTACATTCATTAGTTTTGGGTGGTATGCAAATGACATTTATATGGTCAATCCATTGGATATGTCATTTGTATAAATTGAGACCCAGTTGTAGTCCTAGAAACGAGCAAAAGGGTGCAACCCAAATCGTCACATTCCTCCTGCTCGCCAACCACTGCCTCTTTGCTGTGTGTATGTTAGGCATTAAGCTTGCCCAGTTCAACATCCTCCAATTATTCCAGCTTCTCCATCTTCTGCATGAGCCTATTCTGAAGTATCAAATGGTCTTTGACAGTAAAAATATAATCTACCCCAGCCTTCCTTTGTATCATATTTTTAAGCCATTGTCAGGGAACTCTCACAAGTGTTGTTGGATAGTCTTCCCCCTCTTCCTTTGTTCCTTCCCCCCCCCCCCCCATCTTCCCAACAACATTACCTGGTTAATAGTAAAGTGCTCCCTGTCAGTTTCCTTCCTTCAATGTTGTTGCAAATAAATTTCCAGGGTCTGACAAGTGTCTACATGTTACCCTATTACCTTGAGGTGCTTCCGGAGCTTAGCGTCCCCACGGCCTGGTCGTCGACCAGGCCTCCTGGTCAATATATGGTCAATCTGCGACACTTGTATAACTAACGTACTGTAATTATTTTAACATTTCCCTATTATAAACGTACAACCATTTACAAGTTTTGACTTTATTTGATTTAAACATTGGAACTACATTTTCCTCTGTTCCAGATTTTGTGAGCTCTCAAGACCAGTGTTCCTACTGCTTTTGCCATGTAATTCTTCAAAGTATTTGTTAATCTCTTAAGTTACAGTCCCACTTTAGAAGCAGAGAGGGGTGGTACTGAGGAGACAGCATTTTATTATCCTCACTGGTGATAACATCAAGGAATTACCCATGCCAAGTTCAGATACTTAATCTTGGAAAAAAAAATAGTAACAGTAGCTGCCATTGGGATTCAATGACAAAGGGAACCTACAATGGTGCATTCTTGGGATACTGAATTACAATCTGTAAGTAGAATTACAGTAAGAGAACCTGATAAACCCTCAAACTATCCCTAAAGAGGCCACCAAGAAATCCAATATATTCATAAACAATCTTCTAGAATATAGTCTTGTATTACTCAATAATATGTTTTTTCACAAACGTTTAATCATGAAATCACCAACTATCCTACACCTCAACCTTTGCATTATTTTGTTTTCTGTAGACTGGGAAAAAAATACAAATATTATAATTACATAAAAACTATGCATTACCCTACAAACACACTACGCAACAGTCCCTATGGTTTCCTTGTTACAACCTGTAATAAAGTTTTTACATCTTGTTATAGAATGTTTATGGCCATATTAGAACATTGTTATAACTTGCTATATTGGTCGTTACAACTGTTAGGTGTCAAGCCTCGTTTGAACGTTATAGTGACGTCATAGTTCCGTTGTGTGTTTGGCGGGTAACCTTTCTCTAAAATACGAATCAGTATCAGAGAAATCATGAACACAAATGCATACCTGCACCACTACCTTCAGCAGAAACAGAGTCAATGGTGATTCCATGAGGCCCCACTTCCATTAATACTAAGTCACCTCCATCCATAGGAAATCCTTGCATGGATCCTAGATTTAGTAAAGAGGCCAAACTGCGGGCTTGTGCAGATGCAGCTTGACTCATATTACTAGTAGATGTAGTGGAGCCTGGATTTGCAGCAGTTGTTGAAGGAGAGGCAGATGATGCACCCGAGACAGGTAGGGTAATACTTGCACCACCTGGCCCCGGAATGGTAAAAAAACGAGTAGATGATGACATTGAGGATGCGGCAGGTGGTGGTGGTGTCGCATCTGCCGAGGTGGTACTAGGTGTGGCATTGCTGGATGGCGACTGGGTATTGGCAGTACTAGGACGACTCCCACCCCTTACACTCACACTCGTGCGTCCCGGATCTGAACTGGTCGTTACATTGATCTGAGCCTAGAAAAGAATTCAGCATTTTGCAACACTATACAGTAATTAAATTAATTATAAGAAAAATGGAGCTCCATTTCTTTAAGTATACGATGAGATAAACAAATTTAGTACAGTGAATCTTAGTCAAATAACAAAAATTTATACTGTATATAGTTCTATTCTAAACAACAACAAAGAAAAAGACTAATTTTGAGCATACCTGTACAAGAGCTGGTTGCTGAATTATAATTGGTCGAGCCCTTAACTGTCTTGGGGGTGGACGCCGAAGGTCTACCATTATATCACTGATGGCATGCATGGCATGAGAGACAAAATGAAGTACCTCAGATACCCGCCACAAAAGCCATTGCTCTTGCTGCAACGAGGCTGTCTCCTAAAAATAAAAATACACGGTACCAAATTTATACAAGCTTCCATATCACTGTCAAAGCATCTTCCAACACATGGATGTACTCTATTTTTACCAAATCTGTGATCAATGGTATGTAATCTTTTGTCAAATCTGTAAAAAAGAAAGCTTTGAATATGGTAAAACATCTTTCTTAATCATTAAGTTTAATAATCCATTGTCACAGGGTAGAATTCTGCATGATTTATAAGGGGCAACACAGTGGTACCAGGACACGAGGGCAACTCATCTGAACCAACTAGAGCAGCAGCTGGGAAATTGAATTCTTGATGCAATGCAGCACAGATCAAGTGTTAGGAAATGGCTTATTAGAGAAGACACGACTGGAAAGCTGCCAGATAATACTAATGAAGTGATCGGGCAGAGAGAGTCGTCCCCCAGAGAGTAACAACCAAGCTTTAACCCTGGCAATCAAGTGATTTCAGCTCATCCTCTTAAAATGATAGCACTGTATCTAAGCCAACTACTGTATTTGCTCCAACATACAAAATGGATTGCTGGGCCAAAAATAGTTCATATTTTATAATTAATTTAGCTCGAATAGCATACTAAAAATGAAAAGTAAAAAACCTAACAACCTGTCCAACCTGTCAATTGACCCGCCACTTCTGACTCGAGTATTTGAAAGATGGCCGGGTGTTAACTCGAGAGTTCTGTGATCAACTGTCTAAGAATCAAGTAATGTTAGATGTCCAAAATACTACAATAAATCTCTAAATAAAGAGTAAAGGAACACTGCCAAGGCATGACCTACTTAGAACAGTCCATCCCCATATACAAAAGTTGAAAAATGTACTCTTTGCATATTAGCACAGATTAACCAGCATGTCCCTGGTAGATATTCCAATGCACTGAATTTGGCCATGTAGGTTCACATGGTTAAACCATTTACATGCTCGACTACAACACAACCCAGATCTATAGGAAGATTCAATGATTTGTAAATACTGTACTGAACACATTACTGCGGGCAACGCTAACAAGCAAAGCCTCTGTGCACATGGTATCAAGATCCAAACAGTGAAAATCCTGCCAATCGCTAACATAAAAAATCCAATCAACACAAGAAAGCCAGGACAATCTTAAGATGGTTCTCTTGAGGTTATTTTGAGATAAGGGCTGCCCCTTCGTCAGGAAACCCAGTGAGGGTCTTTATGCTGACAGCACCTGGTGGCGATTAAGTGTAGGTGACTAGATACACCAACAAGGTGGTGAGCAAGAGCCCTCTTTCGGTACAATTAAATAATCTCCAGTATTCCGTAGCTCTTATAAGAACTCTGTAGGGACTACTTGAAAATTTCCATAGCCTCAGTACCCGTGTCACCTTGCCTGCAGCATCATCCAGTCTTTTGACACAGTGGATCTTTATTTTAAGCATAGAAAATGTGATGCTCAGAAACACCCCAGTTACAGCCCCGCTCCTGTGCCACAAAGTCCACTACGGGCTTACCAAAGCCTGTGCTACTTGGATCTTTTTTCCCCGAGAAGCTGAATCTAAAAACAATAAATATAAAACAAAATGATGTTATCAATTGTCAACTATTATACATGCTCAACATATGCCAGAGAGGCTTTAATATCTATACAGTAGACAGACATAAGGCTCTAAAATCCTAATTTAACAATGCTTAACAATAAATCAGAGAATCCATTCAACAACACTGGTAATAAACATGAAAGTAATAGGGTTAGGTATTCCATTAAACAATTATCCACAAACCTCACTACTGTACACAGGGTCATTAGCCATAGCTAGACGATAGCGAACCAGGTATGGTTCAAGACGGCGTTGGATCTGATTAAACTGGTCCAGAACTTCCACCATCACAGCACAGCGCGGGTGTTCCAGACGCACACTACCTAGGCCTCCATCACTACTGCTGCCCTCATCTGCTAACATGAAAAGAATTAGCAAATAATTTTACCTTTACAATATGTTTAAAGCCTTTTTCAGAGTTTCTTGCCCTCTAAGGAATACTGCAATTTTTTTCTCAAAATCTGCCTTAAGCAGATTTTTCCTGCAAATAATTAAAATTCCTTCAGAATTGAAAACTTGAAATATGAAATATTTTCCAACATATCACATGTCAGTTTATCTATCAATGGTGTGAAAATGCTCCAACTTCCTTGCTGTTAGAAGCAAATGTGCATAAAGAAAAAAATTGTCTTCGCAATAGCAGCGCTCGTCTACCAAAACCAAGGATCTCCAAATCACTTGAAAACCCTAGAACATACTATTACACTTACGTGCATTATTTACATTATTTTACTACTAAACAATTTTGCATATATTTTCAAGTTAAAATTAGCTTCATTTTTCCAAACGTCCATTGTACTGTATAAAAATTACCAAAATTTTCCAATAACCATTCTTGATCTAAAGCCCATCTGGGTAATCTATAATATATATTAATGTTGAATTTCACATTTGTTACCTGCTGTGCTAGATGATGTAGCACCAGTACCACTGGAACTACTCTGGCTTTGGGCTTCGGAGCTATTCCTATTGCTGTCTGCTTCTGCTGTGCTTGAAGTGGCAGCAGTGCCACTGCCACTAGAGGACGAAGCAGATGTACTACCTCCTTGCAGGTTCATTTCTGCTACCGTTGATCGAGGATCTAAGCAAAAAAAACAAAAAAAAGTAAGGCTATTAATTACAAGGATAAAAAGTATGACAATATATTAAGTAAGATTACCTTAACTTCTTAATTGTAAACTTAATTTTTTTTGTATTTATTCTAAATTTGACCCAAACGTGACTCCCAGAGTTGCCTCGGAGTTACCGGTATCTACCTACTGCTATATCATCATGTGGCTATCTAGTTTGTTCGCGCATGTGCTTCCGTCCACAGCTAAGAAACAAAAAGTGATGAAAAATTAAACATCAAGAGGTAATTTGTGTACCATATACAGTACATATAAATGGCTAGAAAGAGTAAAAGTAATCATCAAAAGAAGGCACCAAGTCAGGAAGACCAAGTAGAAGAAGGAATAGCATAAAGAGGTAGATTTCACTCGTCCAGTCACCGATAGGTGAGCACCTTTTCATCCAAATCATTCCAATCATCCACAAATATGTTTACGAGAGAATTTTAGCATATTTTCTGGCACTCATGTTTCGTAGCTTTAACCTATGGCCTCTTGGGCTTTAAGTTGCAGGTTTGACAAAACCCTTATCAAGTGTGTTTATTCCTGTTACTATTTTCTATGTGATACCAATTTTTTCCCCTTTTATTATCTAGCTTCAGCATATTTAATACCACTAGCCTCTCTTCATAGCTCATTTCTTCATTCTGGAAGCCATTTAATATCACGTCCTTTCACTACTGCCCTAGTGAGGGCAGTAGCACTCCAGATTGCAATTCTTTTAACCATGTCGTGGCACAGTTGACTAAGGTGCAGCTGGGAACATCCCGTGCGTAGGTTCGAACCCTCGTCAAGGCCCTTGTGGATTTGTTCATTTGACATGTCACACTATTGTGATTTCTGTGTGTATTATTGCAGTTGTTCAATCATAATGAAATACAAATTCTTTAATGACGATGAGAAACTAAAAACATGCTATTTATGAAAAGCAAAAGAAGAGTGTGATGTGACTGGGGTAATATTCTAGCCTTACTTGTAATTCTGACAGTTAGTGTGCGAACACTACCCTGGGGAAAGCCACGAAGGGGGCCACCACCGCTGCCACCCCCACCACCACCACCACCACCGCCGCCAGTTGTGGTGCCGCTGTTGCTGCTGCTACTACTACTGCTGCTGCTCGTTGTCGAGGTTGTAGCAGACGGGTTTGTTGTAGAATCAGTAGTTGAATTGGTCGCAGAGCTAGCAGCGGCACTAACAGTTGGTCTAGACGAAGTACGAGTAACAGGGCTGCCAGTCCCAGCTCCTCCTCGAGTAAGGGATGAAAGGGCTGAAGCAACTGCTGCAGATGCTGCCTGTGCCAGACCACCTGCCAAACTACCATTGATTGCACCCATCATCTGGGTTGGTGCAGGAGCTGGGATTAATGTTGCTGGATCCATGCTAAAAGAAAAAGAAAATTGCATTTATAACACAGTATTAAGAATTTATTCATCAAAATTTTAAATGTACAAGTTAATTTGCATATTAACCATAATACTATTGAGTTATAGCCAATCTTTGTATACCTCAGATGCCATTTTTTCCCCAGTTACATACATCATTATCCAGTTTCCACCCAGACTGGAAACGTCATCCAAGAAAAGAGCAGTGCAAATGTTCATACGCAAGCTTGACAGGAATAACAGTAGCTTGGGAAGATACCGAGTGAGCCCTCCTTTAAACAAAAACTTCAAGGATTCAAGACAGATTTCCTCAGAAAAAGCATCCAAGTCAAAAGACTAAAAATAATAATGGCAGAAGATTTAATGTTCAGAGCAAACAGCAACAGCCTGGAAAGTGATCAGGTGGATAATAAGAACATTCAAAACAAGAAATGCCACGCCTATAATGGTACACTTGAAAGCATCATTGCTACTTTGTGTGGAACAGTGTCTTTCAAGAAAGGAAAGGAAAGGTAAGAGCTAGGAGTACCATGTACTAACTAGGAAGAGCCCACGTCATGCGTGTGCGCCACATTGGTGGTCTGCACCTTTCTTTCAAACTATACTCTCACCTATATGGTGCCAATTATGCCATATGTCATCTTCCAGAGCCTAACACTATTGTATATTATGTTCATAACCTTTTCACTACTCCCTATGGTTGTAATGGAGTATTATCAGGTAAACCCAATCATCAACCGAAACATGCGTTAAACAGTTGTGTTACGTGAATTATGTGATTTATCAAGTTAAACACACGTACTCTTGAAAATGAAGAAAAACAAGTGATAGAGAAACGGTGAAACATCAAGGAAAATGCAATTAGTACCAAAAAGAGTCAGACAGTTGTGCATAGGGCTATGACCATTTCTCCATAGCCACTGTAAGGAATTAACAACAAAGTTTTCATAAGCTGGCACCGTGCGCCTCCAGAGTGACCCAGGATGCTTTTTCGATTCCACACTGTTCCAAAGACTTTCTCAGATTTATCATGTTATCACGTCTAGCATAATTGTTGTCTCCTTTCATTGTGCATGAAAACATATTACAAAACACTTTTGCAATGAGTGGTTGATAGATGGCCTAAATTAGAAAAGAGGGTACAAGAACCACCCCCCATTGGAAGCTTCAAAATGCTATACAGTAGAGAACACTACGAAGACTAAACACCTGGAGCTTGGTGCTCTTCCTCAGATTATACACAACTATAGTATTTAACTATATTAAAGTATTGTACAATATTTAAATGCTTTGATTTGAAAAAAAGAATTAAAGCTGCAGATGGAAAGATGTGGTGTGCAGAAGTCAATAAACCTCAAGATTAAGTAGAACATACCAAGATGATTTGGGCATTTGAATGAATGGAGGACTATAAACTGGCGCAGAGTGTAATCCCAGTGCATTTGAGGATAGGAAGAGAAGAGGAAGGCCAGAAAGAAGGTGGGCAGACATGGCTGGCAAGTGTGTGAGAAAGAGGGAAGACTATGGACATCCTATGGCATATGGCAAGGGACCGATTGGATGCAAGCTGTTTGTAAAATATTTAATTTATTTGTATGCAAAGAATGGCAATTCGTGAGCACACTACACTAGTAGCAATAGGTTACTGCTGTGGATGACTGCTGGAGTGTTATAGCTTCTTTATCTGTGAAGTTTTTATTATTTAAGAGCAATAACCTCTCCACTTTCCTGCATGTTGATGGCTACCCAGCCCATGAAAATGGGAATGGGATAACGAATGTGTATAGCAAACAAAAAATGTAAATGAAATAAAATTCAAAACAATTTTAAAACATACTTATTGAGAGCATCCATTTCAGAGTACAATGCTTCCATCTCATCAACAGGAGGGGTCGCTGCACTTCCTGCTGTTGTAGCACCCTCATCTAATGATGCATTATCTGGTCTACTCGCACTAGCAGATTCCGTTTCCATCATGCCTGCATCCGCATCTCTTACCGTTTCGGATACCTGCAAGTTTAAATATCTGGAACTTAGAAATTAAATCTTATCTGGATCCTTAATAATCATAAGACATTATCCAATTTTTCAGTGTACCTATGTACAAGTACCTCTTTTCAACAATAAAACCCTATTTACATATTAATCCAATTTTTACCCTCATGTTTCCTTTGTGACAAACCAAGCCAAGCCATGTGACAATATGTCGCATACTATCATATTGCGACAATACGTCACATACTATCATTGTGACAATATGTCACTGAATATCTAATAATGCTACTCTGCCTACACCATTCATTTATGAAAACTGCATCTTATCTACAGTAATGTAGGGTTCAACACCAGCTCCAAATTTTACCCAAACATTAATTAAATAAAAAGAAGTTACGTAAATAATAGCCAACTTTGCTTACACTAGCAGCCTGGTCACTATCAGGCGTTGACTCTGTAGATGGAATCGTCTCCTCCCCCAAACGAAGTCTTTGGTCTAGTTGGTCAAGGACCGCAGAGGCACGATCCAACATTGTTCGTGCTTGATGCAAACGGACACCAGATGAACTGGGCCCTTGTGTTGGGGGAACTTGAAAAGGAAAATGTTGTTAAAACCATGCAAAATATCAAATATCAAGCATTAAATATTGATGTACATATGTACAGTGCATCATTTAAGGAAAAGCTAATTTACAATAAAATGAGAAGGCAGTTATCAAAACGTTCAGGGCTTGACCCAATCTTTTGTTGCAATAACAAACATAACAGCATACATTTTTTGTTTTATCTTTCTTGCTTGACTAATGAACAATAAAAGTCATTATCTGGTCAAGACAATAAAGCATAACATTTAATAATTAAATTCATTACTATAATTAAGCTACTTTCTCTACCAACTATACCATAAATTTAGAAATAAACTCTACAGCTAAACTAACAATCAACTTTAATCAATAACTGGTCACAACAGAATACATTAAGCAGGATGACTTCTATGGCTAAATCGGGTTTAACAAGTGGCAAAACATGGATTTGGGTGTTTGTCCCCATTTTCCTCAAAGGGGAAGGTGGTGGCAGCATTAAGTAGTTTTAAGCTAACTTTAAGTCAAGTCATAACTCGTAACAACTCACTTGGTGGTAATAGCCAGGTGGGTTGTGTTATAAATGATGAAATAACTTTATAAATATATGGAAGAAAAGCAAAATGTTATATATAGTGATAAATACACAGTCACTATTCTATTATGCTGGCAAACATTTACATACCAGACTTTTCCCCAAAGAGTACGCCATCACCATAAGTTTCTATTCATCAGTCAACATGCAAACAACTTTAGCAGGAAATAAAGGTCTTAGAAAGTGATGAATGGTTAATTAACCGTTCAAATTAAGGCAACAGCAGCTAAAGGGTTAAAGAGCCAAGGATTATAATTACACAAAACTAACAAGCATAACTTTTTATGCTACAGAAGCCTTTTTATGACCACTTTGACTTGCTCTTTGAGAATTTATCAACACAGTATACACACCTAAAGGTTCATTATCTTCTGGGACAACAAATGACCCAAGGAGAACTTGAGCACCCTCTGGGGGTTGTTGGCGGCGGTGGTGGTGATGGTGGTGGTGGTGATGGTGGTGGTGGTGGTGGTGTCCATTAGGTGATCCACTGCCTGAGGAGCTTGCACCTCCATTGTTACCTCGACTGTTAGCCTGAGGAGGTGCTCGCATCACCAAATGCACCACCTTATCGTGTACATCTGCAAAAATATAACATTCATAAAAAACAATAAATAGTATTTGTAAATAAGACTAGTTTTAAATTAATCTCAAGGCACTATATTATCTAAAGACAAACTTTTACTAGTTTGTGACATCAATTAACGATCACCTATTAAGTAGATACCGAATTGTACATAAAAAATTGACATGTTATATGGCAGCTTACAAATGTTTGCAAAATTAACTTTATCCACAACATTTTTATGCCAATCTAGTATCGTCCTAGGGATTGTGTCTTTCCTGAATGTGGGTACCAGTTTACAGTTTTATAGATTTACAGGCGACCTCCATTTGCTAACACATCATAGACTAGAATATTTTTAAAAATCTAGAAGAGTAGAGGTGAGGGGCAAGGTTTTCAAATGATTAAAAAAATCTGCCATGAAGTTACTACTAGTCACAATGCCATATATATGCTCCTTACACCACCGTACATAAGACTTGGGGGTTTCAAGCCAATGTGAAAGTGTTCTCTAATATTGAACAGATACCATATATTTGAAAAACAAAAATTAAATGAAAATTGTGATGCATATTTTCAGTGAATGTCTGAATGCCTAATGATATAGTACAACACGATCTTACTATAATCTGCAAGCTTCTTGTCATCTTGCAAGACACGCCCACAGTGGATTAGTCTTTGCTTGTCAGCTGGGATGTTTACAGATGATGATATCCTCTCCTTGAATTGCTTAACAGTAATCTGAGGATTTTAAGATACAAGCAGCATAATTTAAAATGTAGCATTTTAATATTGTGGGCTAAAACACTGTAGCAGGATGTTTAGAATACTCAGCCTTCTTTATTCAATTATGTGAGCAGAAATACAAAACATGACATCACTGACTGAAGTTAATGATGAACAGAATAACATACTGTGTAGTTAACTATGCAAAGTAGTATGATAAATATAAAAGATATTGGTTATTAAAAAAATTCAAAGTTACTCTTACAGAATATTGGTACTTACATCATCTGGAACAGAATAATGATGATTCTGAGAATCCAGTGTTTTCACTGTGACATCAATCATCTTGGCTGCTACAGATTCCTAAAAAAAAAAATCAGATGTGGATTACTATATAGAATTAGCTAGGTCTTGTAATGAATATATTATTATCGATACAATGCTGCACAAAGTCAAGTGAACGATGCAGAATACATAAGCCCACTTGAATCAATTTCAGTACTGGTATGCTTTTACCACAGAGCTTGAATATAAACTGTTTAGTACATGAAAGCAAAATGTAAATACTGTACTGTAATAAATTCTTAACATAAAATTTGAAGACAAAACTTAATATCATATCAAGTAAAACCTATAAACCATACAGCACTACAATTTTATTATTAAAACAACTGAAGTACTGTAGAACCATCAAGAAAACCTGAGAGAGGGCTAATTTCCAGAATACCATATTGCAAGGAGAAAAATATTAACATTTCAATAATTTAGACAAATATTAAATTGAATACCTAAAGTAATTTTGGGTGGCTACCAAGATTTTTACATGATCACTTTTTATTAAAAAAGTAGCGCTAATAACCGTTATAAAAATATCACATCAAGCAAATAGGCAATAGCTAAACCAATTATAAACAGATTGTTGGTTAGGTTCATAATGCCAAAATTGTGATGAATTTGAAAATGAAATCTACCAGACATTCCAGCCACTTGCCTATGCTTGGGTAATTGGGTCCCTTTGATTTTATTAACACTTTCATGTTCCATGACACTAAAATGCATTATCTGTACTCCAACAGTAAACATTCCGATGACATTTAGCTATTCATTACTGTTGAACATATATAATCTATTATAAATACACTTCTGATTTTGCATCTGTTCTCTAGAGCATCAGTTCCTCAACCTAGGTTCTGCAGAGCCCAAAGCTAATTCTAATTATATGAAATGTATTTTTGAATTATTTTTGTGTTTAGTTTTTTCTTTTAAACCAGTATCAGGAGCAAAGACAAATTGTCTCATTTCAGATGACAAATCTATGTGTTTATTTAAAGAGTATAAAGGTTGAGAAATACTGCTCAAGAGCATCTGCAAACTTTTTGACATCAAATTTAAATACAGTACAGAAAGAAATCATGCTAACATGATACACATCAACGAGATAATCAATTGGGGCACTGAGGTGACACGAACTAGCAATCAGTATACGGTTGATGAACTACTTTAACTACACCACCGTGCACGAGGGTTATGTGTTCTATGGAAAGGTGAAGCATAACGGGTGCTGCAATGTTGACCAAGCCACACACTAGAAGATGAAGATGACGAATGCAATGGGTACTGCAATGGTCTGACATAGTCGGCTAATAACTGTAGGTCTTGGGATCGATTCCCACAGGTGAACAGATAATTGGGCATATTTTCTTTTACCTGAAGCTTTTGTTTACCTAGCAGTGACCATGACTCGGGCAATTGTTGTAGGTTGCATCATAGGAAAGGTCAGTAGTTGCCTAGTAGGACCTCAATTATCTTAAGCACAGACTGTCCCCAACAAAGAGAAATGATTAACAGTGTGTTAAATATACCAATATAAAAACTTCACATGGGCCAATCAGCAGGTGGTTTATAGTAGATCCAAAGCAGCTATTATTTACACCCAATTTAGTTCTCATATATGCAGTAAAGTTTATCATCTTAAAAGTGCTTTTGTAAATACTGTACAATAATTGTTTTGAAGCCGGGCTGTAGGTTTATGATAAAGGTTACTAACATGTATTATGTTAGGAACCTGTAACATGTCAAATTGATAGATTGTTTTCAAGTGTTATTTTGGACTCTGTATTCAACTTCCTCAGGTCAACAAAGATAATTATCAGGTGAAAGTACCAAGCCAAAATATAGCACTTGGAAGGAGTATGAGAATAGATCTACAGCTGGAATATAACAATGCAGTGAGCAAAGGCATTAGATGAAAAGAAACGTACCCAACCATTCTTGTCCTGCCCAGGAATTGAACTCTGAATCCACAATTATGAGTCGAGAATGAAGCCAACTGTACTAAGAGACCCTATGTATATTTATCTCATTATTCCATTTGTTAAACCTTTTCATCCATGTTACCCCTTACTATTCACCTTGGTAGATAATGCAAATTAAGCTTTCTTAATCTATTCACAAGGGTGGTTTATAATTTCTAGAATTAATTCATCCTTCTCTGTACACATTTGAGTGAATTTAAATATCCATTCTAGCAATGTGACCAAAAATTTAAATGCATAATTTAAATATGACCCAACAAACAAGGAAATTATTAAAATAATATAAATATTGAAGCTCAATTCCTCAAGTCAAGTGAGAATTTGCCAAGGTTCTTGATATATGCAAGGATACATTTAATGAAACCATGTCTTGAATAATTAAATTCATGACAGAATCATGGATGGTTGCAAATGTGGTGCCGAATTTTAAAAAGAGTAAAAGACCCCATGCATTAAACTATTAGGAAATTAGCTTGACATTTCTTGGAAAAAATAGCTTGAATTTATAATCTCAAAATCCATTCATATTCATCTTGAAAACCTTCATGAAAATTGCAGGTATCATTAAGAACGAGAAAATACACACCTAGAAAAATAATCATGTGGAGTAAAGAATTCATAACATGGGTTTGTTTACAAAGGATCCCTGTACTTAAAATATCCGTTTGAAAAAGTTTTGAAACAGGTGAGTGGTAAAAGATTGCAACAAAGTATACCTTTACTTCAGTAAAGTCTTTGATACTTTGGTTCGTGAAAGACATTAGGAAGAGTGACACACAGTATAGAGGGTCATCTTATATTGGATTAGGGCATAGTTATTTTATTGAACATTGAAAGTAGAGTGCCCCTGGGCTCTGTCCTGGGACCTCTGTTAACCATATATACATATTCTGTATACATGGTAAACCTACCCCTCATATACTGTATGCATGGTAAACCTACCCCTTATATACTGTATACAGTATATGTATACAATTTAAGAACACAAGAATAAAGGAATGTGCTGATAGCTTATTGATCTCTGCAAAGCAATCCCAATTTAATTCATTCATATATGCTGTATGTCTAACCCTCACTTGAAAGAATCTAGCAATCCCACATATGTTTCCCCCATTCATTTTTGTCCATAAATCATCCACTCAGTAATTGTAAACAATCTAGATAAAAACTAGTCAAGAATTTTGACCAGTTGATTTATGGATAAAATTACCAGATAATTTATGTCATCACTGGATTGTTGCATAAGTTTGTTTGGATATTAATAGAAGCAACCTTACATGGGCTAATAGGCATTCTGCAGTTTCATCAAAGTTCTTATCATTTAATGGCCATTTCACCAAATATTAGAGTATTAGTGAAATAAATATTTCACTAACATACAAATATGCATATATTTTTTTTACCAATAGTATGACTATTCTTATTTAGATGATAATTCACTAAGTTTAGCGAGGCCGTGATGGCCAGGAAAGGAAAAAAAAATGTTGATAAGTATGCAATATTGCCGTAGGAGTTTGTCAACCATATTACCTCACCCCCACCACACCTCTGGCCCACCACACTGGCACCTGGCAGCCACACAGGTGCCAAGAGTGGCACTGTAGCCCACCTACCAGTACCCCCGCACCTACATCAACCACCCCTGAGTCGTGTGACCTCCAGGGGAAGGTAATTTGGTGGAATATAACGTTGTGAGCGGGGAGGACGCTGATGTAAGGTGGCCCCGTGCGGCTCCACGACACACACAGCTTCCTGGCCCTTCACAGCCTCCTGGTGGCCTCCCTCGGCGCCTCCTTCACTACCACAGCCGCCACCAGGACCTCCTCCAGCCACCCCACCAGTACCACTCACCTAGGCTCCTCGAGGACTCATGAATGGTGTCATGTATGGGAGGAGGATGATGGACCAGCTGAGGGCTGGCTGGGTGTGAGTGTTGCGTGTCCCTCACCAAGTGAGCATCTGCACGCGCGTGCCCCCCTCCCCACCTCTGCCTCTCCTATACCCTCTACACCCCTCACCCCCCCCCCCCCCACACACACACACACACACACACACACACACACACACACACACACACACACACACACACAACACCACTTCTCATCAAGACTGTAACTTGTTTACCTAAATGAATTATGGAGTTCAGTCCCCGAGGCTATTATGTGCTTCTGTAACTTTTTCCTCTACTGCCCACAGGATGGGTATGGGGTGCATAATAAATGAACTAAATTACACTAACTACTCCATTTACACACTCTTGTAGTCTAGTTCTTCAACCACTTCTGCTCTAAAAGACTAATTACAATTAATTAAATAATAAGCTTATCAGATTGTAACTTGTTTAAGTTCAATTTCTTTATTATACATCCCATACCCATCCCGTGGGTGGTGGTGGAAAGGGTTACAGAGGCACTCATAATAGGTTCAGGAACTGAACAACATAGTTCATTTAGCTAAGCAAGTGACACTCTTTTGACGCTAGTTACACAATTGTTAATGTGTACTGAACTATATTCGATCCTATCTTAGTGACACACCAATATGTAGCCATCAATGATATAAACGCTATGTTCGGTTATGCCCGAAACGCTTTGCGTAATAGTGGCTTTAGGCATTGTATGTACTAGCTCTACCTATAAGTCAAACAATCCTTGTAAATATTTATTGTATGTATGTGCCTTACCTAAATAAAATTGTATTTGTATTTGTATAAACCTACCCCACGCTACCATTAACCGTAGGAGTGCCACAGGGCAGCATCCTAAGATCTCTCATTTTTCTTATATATACATCAATGATTTACACGGATTTACCTAGTGTCTCTTTCTTAAACATTCTTAAACCTATACTATTTGCTAACGATGCTACCTTCTACTCGGACCCAAACCTACACACACACTATACAATGTTGTAAATATCGAATTTTAAAAAATAATCTCATGGATGTCAATGTCGCATTGTATTGCCAGAATTAGTCCGAAGTGTCAATTCCTTTGGTGGGTGGTTAGAGGCAATGATCAGTTCTATAATGGTGATCAATCCAATTGTAAACTATGTGAGCAAAAGCTAAGACACTCTCTCCAACACTTTATCTGTAACCGCCCTGTTATTTATGGTTTCAACCCAAATGGTATGAAATACTTTGAGCTCTGTAACTAATTCTTTGTAACTCGAATATTGAAAGATATTCTGGTGATCTATCTCAAGTTTGCTAGTGCAGGCTAATAGACTAAACTCACATCTGATATTTTTCTCCGAATCCATATATAACTATTGTGTAAGGTGGAGATATTGGTTATTACACAAACTTTTAATTCATACTCTGTAATCTCACATTTAGAACAGCTGGGCTCAGAGCCTACTCAATTAAGATTGAGTAGGCTCTGAGTTTAGGCAATACAACAAGTTATTTTCATACATAGACTATATTTTTTTATTCTGCCAGAAGCAAAATTTGGTGACCATGCAAGAATCTTATCATTAACAATATTAAAGTGATGTGCCATTTCAAGTTGTTAGTTTCAATGTTAGTTTTGATTAATCTCTGGACATGCTTAGAGTGCTTATTTGCCAGGAGAGAGACGGAAGAGGAAGACAGGAGTAGGAGAAGATGGGGAGTGGGGTGGGAAGAGAGGGAGGGGGATGAGGTGGGAGAGGGGAGGGGAGATGAACTGAAGGATGAACTCAAGGTTAAATGTGAACGAGAAAACATCAACCTCTCCCACGTTCCCGCCTGTCATGGGATAATTATTCTTAAATATGTAACGTGGTTATCTGAGGGGAACGACTTGAGAGAGAGAGAGAGAGAGAGAGAGAGAGAGAGAGAGAGAGAGAGAGAGAGAGAGAGAGAGAGAGAGAGAGAGAGAGAGAGAGAGAGCGAGAGCGAGAGCGAGAGAGAGAGCGAGAGAGAGAGCGAGAGAGAGAGCGAGAGAGAGAGCGAGAGAGAGAGCGAGAGAGAGAGCGAGAGAGAGAGCGAGCGAGAGAGCTAGAGAGAGAGCGAGCGAGAGAGCTAGAGAGAGAGCCAGAGAGAGAGGTGACATTTACGGCTTGGTCCGACAGGGCAAATCCCATTGAAACTTTTAAAATACTGAACAAATTAGAGGTTGTTGATCCGGACATTTTCTTCAAAAGGTCAGATGTGACACAAACAAGGAGCAACGGGTTCAAGCTCAACAAGCTACAATGTAGGACTGAGAACAACTGCTTATTCACCCAGAGTTAACCAATGGAACTGCCTACCCGATGAAGCCGTAACTGACAAAACTGTGTTGACTTTTAAAATATACCTGGAAAAGATCATCAAGGCAAATGGGGGACCTTCGACAAGCCACCGGCTTCCTGTCCTCGTCGAGGCCACTAGGGTTAGTGGATATTAGGTAAATCAGGTAAATACTAATGTTACAGTATCTAGGTGCATTAGTGTTCTCACAGGGAGCTACATAGTAGACTCTGTTGTGATAGGTTCTGTAGTATATCCCTCCTTTATTTTACTATATAAATTTATTTAATTATTAATTTAACATGGTTCTGCTTAAAATCCCAATATAATTCCAAGATATGACATGTGCGTGGGTATTATTAATTAATACAATTATATACCTTGTTTCTATACACATAAAAACCTTTAATTATAAGAATTTTGTAGCGTGGAGCACTATCATTCGAAAAATAATGTAACCAAAATACTAATTTTGAGACAATTTATTTTGTATATTTCCTTAGTTAACCATGTTATTGTTTTCTATAAATCCTAAAAGAAAAGAAAATGTAAAATTAAAGGGTAACTTTCTATCTAAATGTCAGGACCTGACGTCTAGATAAGATTTTTGTTCAGGTAAAGGTACATACATTGAAAATGAGTTACAAACATAATGTTGGATTTATAGATAGAGCATAATACATACAATGTTTGACGCCACTAATACGCACAGCGTTTCGGGCAAGTTGTAGAGAAAAACTTAGACTAAAACTTAATACTAATTCAGATTAAAATAATAATCTTATTATTAAGATTCTAATAAGATTGTTAAATAATCGACTAGTTGTCTCATATGAGGTAATCGACTGGCTGCCTCATATGAGATAATAGACCAGTTGCCTCATATGAGATAATAGACCAGTTGCCTCATGAGATAATCGACTAGTTGCCTCATATGAGGTAATCGACTAGTATCCTTGCATGTAAGTTAATCGACATGCAGTTGCTTCACCTGTCAGTACTTTCGACCCTTAGTCTTATTTGTCAGGTCTCTAGGCCAGCAGCCTCAGAGGTCACGACCTCTCCATAGGGTGCAGTCGCACCTCCACAGATCTCCAGTATCAAATAATGATAGTAATGGCTCCAAAGGGCCACCACTTACGGGCTATTCATGCCCGTGCCACCTTTTGGGTGACTTAATCTTCATCAATCAATCAGCCAGCAGCCTCACTTGTCAGGGCCCCTTTACCAGCAGTCTATCCCAGAAGAGAAGTATGCCATAGCCTAATCAGTGTCCCCCCCCCCCCACTCATTCTGCCCGAAACGCTATGCATAATAGTGGCTTTAGGTATTGTATATACTAGCTCTATCTTTAAATGCAATATAATGTTTGTAACTCATCATCTATGTATGTATTCAAGTTCAAGTATGTTTATTGAGACAAGAAAAAAATACATCTCAAAGGGATAGAGTAGCTTGGCTATTTCTACCCTCAAGTATGTATGTAAAAGTATGTACTTTTCCTGAATAAAAATTTGATTTGATTTGATTTAATGTTTTATGTAAAATATAAATAGACTAAATTGAATATGTATTTGTAGTTTTTCAGTATATAATTTATGTGGAACATGTATACCGAAAAAGACCTCATATATAGTCACCCTGGACACTCCCAGGCAACGTCCTCCGAGGCGGACTTCTGACCCATTTCGACGCAGACTTCTGAACTTGGCCCTCAACGATCGACCGAGCCAGGTTGAAGGGCCTTGAGCAACGGCGGGCAACTGGAACGCGTCCGTGAGGAGGAAGACATCCAACACAGGCAAAAGGGCAAGAAAAAGTGTTGGGTGGAGGTAGAAGGACACTAATTCCACTACTGCAGTGATTCCAGATTCTTCATTAGTCACCATGGCAATGAGGACGTGGTAAAGCAAGAGGAAGTTGTTAAAAGTGAGTCACGGGGATAACAAAAAACACTACAACAAAAGAAAATTCAGAGCAAGAACGCTGTAGGAGTCACTGCCGTTATTACAGACTTTTTGGGCGCGCGACAATAAAAGAAAACAAAAGGTTGCTCCAGTAAATGTGACATAAGATCCTACGGCATAAGGCAAAAGCACCCAGTTATTGCTATTCCTTCAGGAGCCACAGTCGTAAGTGTTGCTGTTCCTTCAGGAGCCACGGTCGTAAGAGGAAGGTAAACAAAACGTGAAGGTCAACTGAGAAAGCGTCACAAAGAAGTTATCAAGTATAAGCGATGCGAGAAACTGAGACAAAGACAATTTCAACTGGACAAGGAAAGACATGGGTATAAGAGGGCTTGAGAACGCCTGGCCAACCTTCAGATTTAAGTATATTGAATTCTTGCGGCTTTCACTTGACCAAGTCTCCATAACAAAGCCTCTGGAGGAAAGAGCACCCAAGGTCCTTCCATTAATATATGAAGTATTTAATATTTCTGGAGGATTTGAGATAATTAGTTGTTTTTATATGAGCATTAAGGGCCGGAAGCACGCGTTGCCTGATATCTGAGACATACGAATTAGAGAACGATAGAAAAAACATAACAAGCAAGAACTTATGTCAGAGTACTTTCTTGAAAACCTGATTTCAAATGAACGTACGATGAAGACAACTGAACACGTTGCACAGTAACTGGTAGAGATCTGAAAACAGTCATACATCTTTCACGAGGGATGAAGTATTTAAGAATATTACAAAGCTCTAAAATTGTATCTAGATAGCGCACGTTAATGATCCAAACATCCAATCCATCTCTCTGAAACGTATCCGTAGGCGAACATTTCCGTCAGACGTATTCCGTGGTTATATCACACGTTCCCGAGACCTCTCGTGGACGGTCATGAGGCAAGGAAAAACTAAAACTTGGTGGGCGGCGTCGCGACTCCGGAAGCCCATCCCTGGTGCGTCTTGCAGAGCGGGAAGTCACACAGGAACACCCACGAGGTAGTCAGTGTTTTGTGACGACCGTGAACACCCTCGTGTAGCTTGAGGGTGGGGGTGTCTTGAGTGGGAGTAAACTGTAAACTATGTGCATGGGTGTGCTGAAGAACGGTGCGGACTCATTTAATTGGTGTGAGTGTTCCAAGACCAAGTCCATTGCCGCTGGATGGAATGGACTTGATCTGGGGACGGGTAGCATGTTATGTCTAGCTCCCTAGCAAGGCTCGTGAAGTAGAACTTTCCCCTCATAAATCAGTGAACCTCCTAGCCTCAAATATGCAAGTTCAAAATGTCTAGGTTTGAGTTAAAGTCTAAGTAAAATCCACCAGTTTACTGGGGCGAACTTATCTACACGACACAGCTTATTTACAATATCTATATACATATACCCACAACTAAGTAACAATCAAGTTAATACAAGTCACAAGTCATAGCTAGCAGATAGATGTCACTAAGCAAAGATCACCTAGTAACATTGGTACACTAGACACCTTAAGACTGGCTGGTTGTGAACATGATGGTTATGTACATACATGTACATGTTACGTATATGGTTATGTACGTTACATAACTAGAGTGGGGGGGGGTAATGTTTCAGCATGGACTTTAAGATTATGGCTCTTGAAGGAAAGAAGAACCAGACAAATCCTCATCTGCTACGTAACATTGCACAGATGCATATAGAAGCAAACATGGCATCCGACAGCTTCACTTACTTCACAGATGGGTCAGTAGACCAGCAGGGACAGGAAACCGGAGCTGCAGTTAAAGCAGGAAACTCTGTAAATAGTTGGAGGCTCTCAAATGGGTGTTCGACTTTACAAACAGAGATGCTAGCCATTCAAAAGGCTTTGGAACATGCTCTTGCTGAACACCGACAACATGTTATCATACATACAGATTCGAGAACCGCCATTGAAACCTTGCAACAAGAACACATATGTGATAACATCCATCTGATCACAAATGTCTTATCATTCATGCAAACACTCAAACGACAAGGCCGACGGGTACTTATCAACTGGGTGCCAAGTCATGTGGGAATAATAGGAAATGACATTGCAGACGAAGCTGCAAAACTTGCTACTAAGAGGAGAAATGTAGACATTTACATACCACAGAGTCTATCACAGATTAAGAAAGTAATTAGAAACAGAGCAATGCAAAAGATGTACAGTGACCACAACACAGCAGTTGCAACATCAGGATCTGCGGGTTGGTACAAGAATTCAACCAACTGCGAACCACTTAGTTTGATGAAAGGGAGCAGTAGAACAACAGAAGTGCACTTACATCGCATCAGGCTTGGATACCCATGTGCATGGGAAATAGGCTTACAGGTTCCGGAAGATGAGAGGAAATGTCAACACTGTGGAGAAATGCCCGACAGACCACTGGAACATTATCTAACACAGTGCACAGTTACAAACCCATTAAGATTTCAACTTAGATTCAACAGAGCAGAAGAAGTTGTTAAACACATATGGCAAAATCTTACTGAAGCGACCATACGAGTCATAAATACTCATACTCCGCCCATGTAAAACAGAAACAAGCAACACTTAGTGGGCCAGCCAGAGGCTTAGGACCCGCGCAGGAATATCCCTGAAAAAAAAAAATGAACAATAAACACAAGTCAGTGAACTATAACTTTGCCTTCAGAAAAACTAAGTTCCAACTGGACTAGCAAATGGCAAAGTCGGAAAATTCTTCTCAAAAGTCAGAGTCCACAATGACTAACAAATGGCAAAGTTGACAATGCCTGAAAAATATGGCAGAGTTCGAGTAATTGTCGGGCTGCATCCTGGGAAGTGTCAGTAATTATACACCCTCGGTATAAGCCTAATACATGTATATATAAACTGGTTACCTGTCCCCCAACACAATGAATTATTAATTTAATTATTTTGAAAGATATTTAACCAAATATACATTTAAATAAATAATATTAACATTTAAGATTGAGAGTTAAAGTGGGAATAATTCTAGACATCTGTATTGACAAGAGACTATATAAGCCTAATTCAACACTTGAATATAATACATATCCCAAAAACATGCAAACAGTTAGCATAATATGAAGAATCACATACTATGTCTTCCCACTGCTCCTCTTATACTCTCACTTGGCAATTTATCCCAATGTAACTTACAGTATCTGTGCATGGGGCTCAACCACCGCTAACTACCTTAAACCCATCATCATGCAGCAAAAAGCAGCTCTCAGAAATATAGCAAAGTCTGGCTTCATACAACATATACTGTACCATACACAGCCTCACGCCCAACATACACTTCCCGTACATTCTCTTCCAACACGGATGTAATAAAACATTACAAAACCTTACACACAAAATTAGCTCGACATTCTACGAGTGCGACTAAATCTATACAAACACGCCATGTAAATAGAGACCTAAAAAGTTAAACACGTTCTTAATTTAAAGTTAACGGAGAAGTATAGGGAAAAAGCATCTAATATCCTTACAATGGTATCCTAATTATTTTGTTTTCACTCCTTGTTGTTGCCATTCTTACTCTGGTTATGTCAGCATCAGCCAGTGAGCCATGGATCGTGTGATGCTACTCAGGATTACGTAGTCTCCAGTCACTGATCCGCAACATTGATGAATTTGACTGTTCCTGCCAACCGCGGCTAGTTTATTGTGCACCCCATACTCATCCTGTGAGCGGTAGTTTATTGTGCACCCCATACTCATCCTGTGAGCGGTAGTTTATTGTGCATCCCATACTCATCCTGTGAGCGGTAGTTTATTGTGCACCCCATACTCAGAGATTGTATATAAACTATGTGCATAACTTAATTATAATATTTGCACCATTTTGAGGGCTGTATACTACCGCAGTTCTGGGAGGCTTTGAGTCTGTCTTTACAATGCAGCTCTAATTTATGAATCAGAGTTAATGTACAAGAGACCAGGGCAGACGAAAAAGGAGACAGTCAATAGGTATATTAGCAATGTTTAATTTTCTTGATCCACATTCTCGTTTACTGACTTGTCCGTTGAACACCTTAATTTTTCAGTGAAGATTAAAAGAGCATGGCTTTCACAATCTGTGTGTGTGTACAGTTTAAAATGGTTTGCGTCTCAGGGTAGATTTAGGTCAACTTAGCAAATACACTGTACCAATGTTTTGGGGGACTAGTTGAGATACTTTTGTTAGGTATTTATAGGTAAATCGAATAAGGTGAGGCTTAAGACTCCATCTTGAGGACTGTCTAGTTGCATTAATTTAGTTTCACTCTTGTAGCCGTCAAACAGTGCTGTTGGAGAGATAACCTTGTATCCATTCTAGCAGTTGAGCGCCTATAGATTCAAGTGGGTACAGGTTCCCTCAGTACCTAATATACTAGTAGCCTACCATTTCCTAACGTACTCGCCAGTTATACACGTGTAGCCTAGTATTAAAGGAGGCTTAACCGATTGAAAAAATAACAATACTAAATTAATTTATTATATCAGTTCTAGAGTTAGGGTTTAACTGCGCCGAAATACAACAAAAGGTGTTTGAGTGTAGTGTGTCCCTCAGTGATATTACTATTGAACTCTGTCTTATATTAGAGAGGGAGCGAGGCCAGGGGGTGAGAGGCAGAGGAAGGGTGCAGGGAATGGCCTCTCGTAAAATATATTGCAGTAATTAACTATTTTGCTGTGAATAATTATAACAGAGGGGACGGCCCGGAGGGAGGAAGGGGGGGGGGGTTGCGAAGGAAGAAGATTAGGGAGGAAACAAAGAGGAGGAGGAAAGAATGGTCCACTTAATTAATCACCAATATCTGTATTTTGACCCATTGTACCTCTTTATGTGTGTGTATGTGTGTGTGTGTGTGTGTGTGTGTGTGTGTGTGTGTGTGTGTGTGTGTGTGTGTGTGTGTGTGTGTGTGTGTGTGTGTGTACACATCAATAAAAGGTTATTGTACTGAAGAAATGGGTGACTAAGAAGTGATAATGCAAGGAGCTATTATGATGGGAGGGGAGAGGAAAGGGGGGAATTGGGTGTAGTGGAGAGGAGGAGGGTGATGGGGAAGAGGAAGAAAGAGGGTGTTAGTATGTGTTGGAGGTTGCTCCTCCCTGGGAGGGGAGGGTGCCTGTGGCAGCTACATAAAGGGAGGGTGTTATTCACGCCAGCATCACTTTCCGTCGGTACTTCACCCTCGCCACACCTCCCTCACACCCACCATGGACGCCCACAAGGTATGTTACTGGTGTCATTTCTGAGTCATGTTTTCAGATTCAGAAGATGCCTAATACGGTACTGACAGATAAGAAACGAGGTAAGCCAATGCCAGTGAACTACAGACCAGTATCACTAACAAGTATACCCAGTAAGGTATTAAAGAGACTGCTTAGAACGAAACTCGTAGAACACATAAGACATGTGAATTTTGTTTTCAAACATTAACATGGATTCAGGTAAGAGAACTCTTGCTTAACCACCTCGTTAGAGTTCCACAAGATGACAACGATCAAAGAGACGAGGGAGGGCGAGATGTTGAAGATATTGGCCATTCAAGATCATTCATCTTCTTGAATGGCCAGAAAACTACAACGCTGCTCCTCACAACCAATCCCTATGCATATTAGTGAATCAGAAAGGTATATCGGGATGAATGCTAAGGTGGCTGATGGAGTATGTTTCACGAAAGAAGTTCAGGACCACTTGATAATGAATGGATAGACCGAATAGGTCCAGGATAGACCGAAACGTCGTTGTTTCATCATTGTGTGATGTGATGTTTGGTTATCAAGGCTAAGACCACATTGAGAAAGGTGATATGAGAAAGGATTGAGAGGTAATAAATGGAGTACCTCATGGGTCAGTTCTAGGGCCCATATTAATTTTAAAATACGTAAACGATCTAACATAGGAAATAAGTTACCGGTAATTCGTATCAACATTTCCTGACGATGAGAAGTGCAATACATTGCAAAATGTACTAGACTGTCGCCAGAAGTGGTATGAGAAAAGGCTACTGGATTTTAACTCAGACAAATGCAAAATAATCAGGATTCGAATAGGAACGAGAAGACGTCAAATACAGTGAAAAATGAAGGGGACATAAGAACATAAGAACAAAGGCAACTGCAGAATGCCCATTGGCCCATACGAGGCAGCTCCTATCTAAAACCATCCAATCCCACTCATATACATGTCCAACCCGTGCTTGAAACTACAAATACGCAACTATCCACTTCAGAAGAAAAAAAAGACAGGTTTGGCGAACATCAGCAGCATAACGTCGGCATCATACTTACACATGTCCAGATGAACTTGAGGAACTCTGACAAAGGAGCCTTCCGAACAGTATAAACAACCTTTGTGATTCCCACTTGTGAGTATGCTGCCCCGGAACACCTACCAAAAAATAAAAAATCCTAAGATATGCAACAAAGCTCAATCCTGAGGTAAGGGGACAGAGCTATAATGATAGACTCAGGAATCTGAGTGACCTGGAACTAAACTTATATATTAATGATACCGACGTTCATGACTAAGTGGAATTAACTAAATAGGTATAAAAAACAATGTTTAAAGCAAGAAACAGTAGCATGAGAGGTCATGAATCCAAACTATAGACTCAAATGAGTCAGATGTCAAAAAGAACTCCTTCAACGTAAGGGTCGAAAATAAACAAAATAAATTAGATGCGGAAGTTGTCAATACTAATTCAAAACAGATTTAAACGTAAATATGATGCGAATAAAGAGGGAAAATATTCATAACACCGAATTAAAAATAAAAAACGTTCTGGCGTGTAAGCACATTAACTGGGGTGAATACAGTACATGGATCATATTGCGTGTGCTGTCCGCGGCTTCCGGGAATTACATGTGATCAAAACCGGATATAAGAGTGTTTATGCTATTCATTATTTAACCTATTAAGGAAGGAAGAATATGGCAGGAAAATATTACTCAAAAGTGCATTCCTTATATAGAGTATAACATAGAGGACTTATAGGAAGAATTCAACCGGTCTATATAAAACAAACATTTTGCTGTGTCCAAAGAATTGCTCATTTCAATATGAGGATCATTCAGGCTCTCCCGCCCGCTCAGATGTGGTGAGGTGCCACGCTAGCTAGCCAGCCCAGCGTGGCACTCTCTGGTGGGTGCCAGCAGCAGCTACTGCTGCCTACTCCCTCGGCTTTATATATATATATATATACCAAGCTAACAATGCACAATAAATGCAGGTAATAAATTCCATATCTACAAACGACTGCGGGTAATTCCAAGGGAAAACGATTATAGATTCACTATCATTGGCTGAGATGAATCTGCTAAGTAGGATTTAATTAATAAGAACATAGAATGTTAGCAGCATTTCGTTTTGCCCTGTCCTCAGACCACAGGGCAGTGAGTTACAGAACACTCAACAACAAAACATGACTGAAAATATTTAACATTGGAGAATTACGATGCTAAACATCAGACACAAATTCTCGTCTGTCTTACCTGAGCAGAGCTGTAAGGCAACGTTAGGTGAGGAGACATGTGCAGGACATCCCACTCAACATCACTCCCTTCTATCCTGCAGGTACTGTTGATGACAGTGACGCTGACTGTGATGCTGTCTTCTGCTGTCCTCGCTGTACCTCAGCTCTTAGACCACCATGCCACCGTAGTGAGTACTCATCCCTAGTTCTTTCTTCAGGGTATATATGGCACGAGGACAACTTTTGGCCATCGTCATCCATTCACACATTTCATTATTCCTCTACTTTGTTGAGCCAAAATATTTCCCTATATCTTTGTGTTCAGCCAAAATATTTCCCTATATCTTTGGGTTGAGCCAAAATATTTCCCTATATCTTTGTGTTGAGCCAAAATATTTCCCTATATCTTTGGGTTCAGCCAAAATATTTCCCTATATCTTTGGGTTCAGCCAAAATATTTCCCTATATCTTTGGGTTCAGCCAAAATATTTCCCTATATCTTTGGGTTCAGCCAAAATATTTCCCTATATCTTTGGGTTCAGCCAAAATATTTCCCTATATCTTTGGGTTCAGCCAAAATATTTCCCTATATTTTTGTGTTCAGCCAAAATATTTCCCTATATCTTTGGGTTGAGCCTAGCTATCCCTCCCTCTCTTTGTGTTGAGCCTATCTGTCCCCCTGTAGTTCTGTTGAGCCTATCTGTCCCTCTGTAACTCTGTTGAGCCTCTGCCCCCCCCCTGTAGCTCTGTTGAGCTTTCTGTTCCCCTGTAACTTTGTTGAGCCTATCTGTCCCTCTTGTAGCTGTGTTGTGTTTAGCTCAGCCCAGCTACTCCCAACCAGGACATTGATCCTAGGGACCAACTGAAGGTAACCGAAAAGTCGGGTACCCCTCTCTATGTTGCAGTGAATTGTGACTCTCATTGTCCCATTTTTATGAGTCGTAGCCATTCTCTCTTTTATGAGTCTGTTCCTCTCTCTTTTATGAGTCTGTTCCTCTCTCTATTATGAGACTGTCCCCTCTCTATTATGAGCCTGTCCCTCCCAGAGACTACACCCAAAATTGTTTCTTTGCTAAGCAAGTTACAGTATTGATGAGCTTGTTAACCAACAAGCAACCTTTGTTCATCAGCAAAGAATATACACTGTCACTGAGCCTGACTTCAGAGGGACTCAAACCTGTATAACAGACTAAGAACCTCCTTATGACCCTCACGACTTGCTTCTACCTCCTCAGCCCCGCTACGAGTTCGGCTACGAGGTCAATGCGCCAGACTACGGTAACGACTTCGCGCACGCCGAGCGTCGGGACGGACCGGATACCTCCGGCGAGTACCGCGTCCTCCTGCCCGATGGCCGCGTGCAGGTTGTCTCCTACACCGTCAGTGGAGACTCTGGCTACGTTGCCCAGGTCTCCTACCAGTGACCTGCCACACTCCACACTCTCATACACCCAATTGTTTCCATTTGTGTGGAAACCAGAATCCCTCTACTTGTAAGATCTTAATTATCAATAATATTTATGTAAAATAAGAAACACATGACAACCCTTATTTTAATTTGGTCTTTACATGGCCAAGTCTTCTTAGCTAATTCCACTATATTCTAGCATCGTCTGTATACTTTTACCCCCTGCCTTCTGAATTTTATCCTCCCTTTGTACTTGTATCCCCTCTCTCATACTTTATCCCTGCTTTCTTATACACTATGCCTCCCCTCTTATATACTATGCTTCCCCCTCATATATACTCTCCCTCCTCTCTTATGCCCTATTCCTTCACTCTTATATACTATCCCTTCCCCCTTATGTACTATTCTTCACATTTTTTACACTATTCTTCATCTCATATACACAATCCGTCTCCTGTTATTCACTACAGTATCTCTAACCTCTTATACACTATCCAGTCCCCTTATTCACTATTCTTCACCACTTTTACTCTATTCCTCATCTCTTATACACTATCCCTCCCCTTTTATGCACTATCTTTCCCCTCTTATGCATTATCCCTTCCCCTTATGCACTATTCTTCACATCTTTACACTATTCCTTCCCCTTATGCACTATCCTTCACAGCTTTTACACTATTCCTCATCTCTTATACACAATCGCTCTACTGTTATGCACTACAGTATCTCTAACCTCTTATATATTATGCCCTCTCCTCATATACACTATTTCTTCCCATTATACACTATCCCTCTCCCCCTTTATACACTATTCCTCTCCACTTATATATATTATCCCATCCCTCATGTATGCTATATTCCGCCTCTTATACACTATCCCTCTCCTCTGATACTCTTCCCTCTCTTCTGATACTCTCCCCTCTCTTCTGATACTCTCCCCTCTCTTCTGATACTCTCCCCTCTCCTCTGATACTCTCCCCTCTCTTCTGATACTCTCCCCTCTCACATATAATCTCTCTCATCAAATCATGCCACTCTGCTCTAGCCAACACTATTAAATTACTTAAAATTATACCATGTAATTTTTGGTCTATATATCATCATTTTTGTTAAACAACTCAGTATATTTGCAAGAGTCTAGTCATCAGTATTACACTGAAAGCAGACAGATGCTCTTTATAATTTAGGATAACTTTTTTTATATTTTTTCATATAATTTTCAGATTTTTTTTTAATTTACTCATTATACAGTATATGAAAAAAATCTGTGTCTATACATGCAGTCTAAATTATTACTAAGAAAAATATTGTTTTTAACACATAAATTATATTTTGTGAAACATTATTTAATAACATTCATTTATAGTTATAATATATTTTTGATTTTAAGAAATTGCATGAGGGCTGGTTCATTTATAGTGCCATTCCACACCAATGTACAGCATTTAAACTATTTCAACAATTTCTTAATATTTAAATTGTGAACCTTATATTAATTAAAAAATTACTCTATTTACTCTATTTAAAAACATAAAAAAATTTATGTATATACTTGAATATTTTTAACAACTCTAACGAGGAAATAGCCTTAAAGTTTAGGCAAGAATTTTTGTAAAAGATAAAATAAAGAATGATCACTTCAATTCTACATCACTAATTCCTAAGTTATAAGTGTCTCATATTAAGAAATAACCACCCTTTTCTTCTCTGGCTCTAAGGTGCTATGGATGCCATATATAGTATATCTTTACATGGTTCTCTATGTTAGTTTAATTTGATAATTTAATGTTCACCCCATGAGCTGTAGTACACAGTACCCCATTGCATGAGTAATAGTGGACCCCCATACCCATCCTGTGAGTGGAAAAGGTTGCACACACACACCCACATAATGGGCTCAGGAACTGAACCCTCAAAATCATTTAGCAAAGAGGCCCCTAGATTTATTTTTAATACATAATGCAATGAAGACTAGAAAATTTAGTTACATTTTGAGGAAAACTGAACAATTCTTAGGTATTCTATTTTAAATTTTAAGTCCTTGATAACAACACAAAAAATGGTAGCAACAATGGCGAATTGCCAAGTAATACTTTCTGAATTTACCAGAGAGCTCCCATGTCTCCAGTGGCCTTGATGAGGACAGGAAGCTGGCAGCTTGTCAAGGGTCCCCAACCCCATTAGTCCTGATTATTTTATCGAGCTCAATTTTGAATTGCAGAAATATTTTGGCATTTATTGCTTCAACCTGTAGGTTTTATAGGTTTATAAACCTATGGGTAAAAAAGCATCAGGTACCACAATCCAGCCCATCCTCACATACAAAGCTCCAAGCTCGTTAATCCAGCCGCCAAATCCCCTGTTTATGAATGAAAAGTGGTTTACACACAACTCACAACTGATGACGTCTGAACACTTCCAGAACAAGTGCTTTACTCATATCATCTGTTCGAATCACAATTCTATAAATGCTTCACCCACTTACTTCAAATAAAATACTCACCAACAGAACCTGAACACCTAACCTAACCTACGCCTAACTACAGTATACATAGAATTTTTATGTATAATACTATTAATTTATATACAAAAACAAACCAATGTTTAATACACAGAATGTTAAAATTGACGAATGCGTCTGGGGAGGACGGGTGCTGCTTTAAACAGCCTAGTGTGAGGACGGGTTGCACAATCTTAAGTTTTGAGATACCTGCCCAGACTCTTGTGCAGGTAGTGTCTATGGTGGTTTCTTCGGCTGGATCTCTCTATATTAACCTAGGTGAACAGATATGTGGTATAAATGGATGCATCAGAAATTTACTATGAATCCACCTGTCACTATGTGAAGCAAGTATTTGCGAGTTACTAGTTCTCTAAAAGTCACAACAGTTCCTCAGTATTCTTCACCTAGGAATATCACATTGGTGTGGTTATCTTGACCTCTGACTGATATCTGGCTATGACTGTTGAGATGTATGTTCTCCATCACCTATAAGCCAGCAATTTACAAGTCCATTCCACTTCAGCAAACATCTATATCCACTGGAATCACATTGAGCAACCTAGCCTCCTGTCTCTGCTCCCCCAAGCTGTGATAACTAATTCAACTTTCCAAATGCCAGAAATTGCCTCTCTTTCTTACCAATCACAACGTGCCCTTGGTCAGATATTTGGGCATGCTGTTGTTATTTTAGATTTAGCTACTCAGAACGAAATGTCCATGTAGTATGGGCTATAGTGAGCCTATAATTTGTTCATGCTCTGCGGGGTAGCGTATATACCCTGTATCTGCCTCACTGAAGATATAGACATTCTTATTGGCCTGTCAATCCAGCTTAAATATTACTGGTGTAGGCATTTTCACTTTGATCTTACAACACAATACTTGACTTTAATTTTGTTGCAGATATATGCCTGCTAAAACTTAAATAACATCACAACATCCACTGCTTGCCATCTTCCAGACAATTTAGGAAAACTGAAGGAATAAAAGCACATATCACTCGAAGTTAGAAGTGCTAGGAGAGATGTGAATTTCAAACAGAATTCTCATGGAAATAGACTAATCATACAAGGACAAACTATTTGGAGTGAGTGGTATACGATGGAGGGAACACAGGTGGAAGTTAAGTACAGCACCCAAGTGAACCCTACAGACTTGCGGTTCTCAATCTTTTTAGAAATGGCCCTATTTTCTAATACTCAAAAGACCCCCCAATAGGGTCACCGTTGGGAATCACTGACATTGACAACCCATCCTCCTGAAAGAATAACTTATTTAATAATAATATAAATATAAATAGTAACTTATTATTAATAGTAATCCTCCTATTTATAGTAACTATTTGGTGGAAAATACCCCTACAGATCTGTACCCATACAGAGCTATAATCTCAACTCCTGTATCTCAGCCAAGTTAGGGCTAAGTGAACAAATTAAAACAGTAGGGTTTTTATATTATTATTTTTTATGTGAACTTGGCATCAAAATATATGCAAAAATGTATTTTACATTTTTTGACAGTAAATTTATTTGTACAGCATTATCTCTATGAAAATAGTGAAAAATTAAGTCTCTGAACATTGGAACACTTGCCCAACCTTGCTTCATGCAGGTCGGCGTTCAATCCCCGACCATTCAAGTCGTTGGGCACCATTCCTTCCCCCCCCCCCCATCTCATCCCAAATCCTTATCCTGACCCCTTCCAAGTGCTATACAGTGGTACCTCAGCTTACAAATTTAGTCCGTTCCCAGAGATGGATCGTAAGCAGAATACAGTACTCATATTTGTAAACTGAAGTGAATTTCCCCATAAGAAATAATGGAAATTGAATTAATCCGTTTCAGATTCCCACAAAATATTATTTCAAAGTAAATTTTATACTTAATTCACCCAAATCATCAGTACTAAAGTATGTATAAGTTATTACTTACCTTTACTGATGACTCTTGTTGGCGTATGGAAGATGGTGAGGAAGGGAGGGAGGAGGAGAGGTGTCACTGTTTGGAAGGGGAGTCCCCTTCCATTACAGTATAACATCAGGCAGTGATGACTTCTCTGGGGTACTCTCTGGCACATTTTGCCTGCATACCACTAGGACCTGCTTGAGCTCACTGCTTGCTTCTCTTACTAAGAAACTGTCTAATAACACTTGTTTTTCCCTACATTTTAACACTTGTCTGTAGTAAGACATCACATTGTCATTTAAAAGGTCAATGCAACGGCCTGCTACAGATTTATCTGGGTGAGTTTTTACAACAAAACTTTGCAGTTCTTCCCATACTTCACACATTTTCTTAACGAGGAAGGGACATCCTCTACTGCCTCTACTCACAACTATTTTCTTAGGTTGAACCTTACCAATGACTTTCTTGGGACCCATGACAAGATATATAATAATGACTTCTATGTTCAAATACCCAAAAATCCAAAAACACTGAATTTTTTTACAAAGAATTCAGGCGCGATTGTCACTAGGTGGGAGCCACTGGTAAACTGAGGCACGACCGCCGTGCCACCATGCACTGGGTCGGCCATATGCGTATCAACAAACTCGTTTCCCAAGGGAAAGCTCATAACCCAATTCAAATTTTCAGAAGAAATTGGGCTCATAACCCAAAAATGTCGTAAATAGGGGCATTCGTAAGCCGAGGTGTCACTGTATAGTCGTAATGGCTTGGCTCTTTCCCCTAATAATTCCCTCCCCTTCCACCTAATGGAAATGGTCAAGCCCCAACTAATCCATTGGAGGAGACGTGTTTATATACATGTATTTCAAACAATAATCAGTTTCTTAAGAAATATCAATTCCCCGAGCACCATCAATATGCAAGTGCTGCAGTTGTGCACTAGCATCATCAGTCTCACGGAGACTGACTGGTACTCTCTCTTGCTCACATTGTTCACTTTTATCATTTTCAATTTCCTTTGTGGTGACACTTTCACTTTCTTGGGTAGAGTCAGCAGATATAGTTGAAGATGGATGCTGTTGACGCTTCATGGCGACTGCAGTAGTGTAGGCTGGGTTGATAGGCGGCTGTGTTGGAGGGCGATACTCATATGGCTGTCCTTCACCCAACTGATGAAACATTTGGAGACAGATGAGGTATAAGGCAAGAGACAACAGAAACTGCATGAATATGAACAGAAAATTATTTAGGGATACAAAACCAAGAATAGTGGAACCTTAATTTAGTGAATCTCCGGTTGGAACACACTTTCCAGGTGGGATTTACTCGCCTGATTCAACGAACAGAGTTCGCTTAAGCTGGGGATGTGTGGATTTGCTTAGGATGTTGGAACAAAGTTCAAAGATGCAGGCAACATTACAAGAAACAGTTGGGGACTTGGGAAAGCCATTGAGCATATTTAAAATAAAATATTATGGTTCATTTTTATTTCCTGTTGCAGAGGTTTTCATTCAGTAAAATATGGGCCATTTTTCCTTTGAAAATGAGATTCTGAGGCTAGGACATGGCAAATATGCTAGAGTGGTTAAATCTCTTTACAGAAAGGTTCTCCTGGTAGTTGTCATTTATATGACAGGTTGAAATTAAAATTTCATTCAGTGATCATCCCATAGTGCAGTAAATATTTGGAATGGCAACTCTCTTGCTATGACTCCAATCACGTTTTTAATGATTTCGTTTATATGAACACAATATTACAGGAAACAGTCAGGGCCTTGAGAAAGCTATTGAACATATTTCAAACCAAATTCTATGGTTAATTTCATTTTGAGATTCCTTGGTTTTCGTTCATAAATATAGGTCGTTTTTTCTTTGAAAATGAGGTTTCCAGGCTAGGACATGAGGAAATATGCTAGATGTTGCAGGCGATGAGTCACAATAACGTGGCTGAAGTATGTTGACCAAACCACACACTAGAAGGTGAAGGGACGACGACGTTTTGATCATCCTGGACCATTCTCAAGTCGACAATCGACTTGAGAATGGTCCAGGATGGACCGAAACGTCGTCGTCCCTTCACCTTCTAGTGTGTTTGGTCTGGTCAACATGCTAGATGTTGTTAAGTCTCTTTACAGACAAGTTCTCTTGGTAGTTGTCCTTCATATGATATGTTGAAATTTAAATTTTGCTCAGTAAAATCAGCCCATAAGCATGGGAAATATTAGGGCATGAATGGTAACACCCTTAATATGGCTCCAATCGTGTTTTTAATGATTTTTGTAGATGGACACATTCCAAATTACAGTTGGAGGCTTGGGAAGGCTATTGAAAATATTGACAAATAAAATTCCATGATTTGTTTTTGTTTTGAGTTGCCAAGGTTTTTGTTCACTCAGGTATGGCCCTGCTACCTTTTAAAAATGAGTTCTGAGGCTGGGGGGACACCAGAAACAAGCTAGATGTGATTAAATTTCTTTACAGACACATTCACTGGTTGTTGTCAATCATATTACTGTATAGGTTAAAATTAAAATTTCGATAAGAGAAATTAGCGCATAGGGCATACGAAATGTGTTCTGGAGGCATCTCCAGTTGCAAGAAATCTCTCACTGCAATCAATTGGGATTGGTCCCATATAGTTCATTGAATCAAGGTTGTACTGTAATCATTATGTCCTCCCGAATAATATATATCATATTTTGATGACAAACTCCCCAACATCAAAATATAGTACTGTATCGTGTAATCACAGTATCTCACAAAATTGATGGGCTGTTACGATTTCTATTCTTGAGTCCATCGGTTAGGTTAGGTTCGGGCAATTTAGTATTTCATTTTTCTGAGGTGGCAACTCAAAAGGATAGACAGTATCCTTTAGACAAAGGTTTGTACAGTATACAAACAAAATATAAGGCAAGAAAGAAATTATAAGGAAATGTATTAGGAAAATGATTATAATTATTATGACAAGACACACACCACAGATTGTCCTCCCACTGCTCACAACACTTGTTTCTTTCGAAGATTTCTATAGATATCTCTCCAAACTGAACCCCATATAGTCTCATGATGTAGACCCTGCCCCAAAGTAAGAGTTATTCCTCACTTGGTCCTACAGAAGATCCAGAGGAATGATTTAATACAAGCAACCATCGTTGGATATCACTGAAGAGAAATAAGGGCAAATATAAGCAACTTTATGGAAACAAGATAAGATGTCGACAGTAAGTGACGTGCTGTGTGCAAAGATGACATTATTGCTGGAAGCGTGACGTGTGTGGAGGGCTTGCAACGTCAATTGCTAATGTCGAGGCCAGAGGGGTAACTCCTACGGAATCGCTCAAGTGGTAAGATGATATTTTGACGTTTTGGAGAGGAATCTACAAAAATCTTCGAAAGAAACAAGTGTTGTGATCAGTGGGAGGACAATTTATGGCATGTGTCTCATATAGTGGCAACAAGGAGGGCGACCTGAAGCCTGTGGGGTGGTTGTTCTCTAATGGTCCACTGTGGTAGGCCCACGAAGAGGCCTGTGTATCCTTGATGTTGTGTATCTGTTGGCAGGTAAGTGTGAGCATAGTGTGAAGAGGTAAATTGAAAATTAAATACCATGTATTAAAATAGAAAACACTAGTCATGCTTAATTAAATACAATTATTGTGTTACCTGCAGAGGGTAAGTCATATCCGAGTCATAGGCAGATAAGTCTCCACATGCTAAAAATGGTACAATTACACGGTTTATTCCTTCAAGTTCCTGCCACGACCCTTCGTAGCTAAGGTCAAGTAGTGGGTTTACCATAGTTGGGGTGTAGCCAGGCGGTGGTGAGTAATCTTCACAAACAACAAAGGCTTCTGAAACATTTTAATAAGTGGACTATGAGTTATTTAAAACATAACTGGAAAATTAAAATGATTCCATCCTATTTGTATCTAAAAATGTCATATTCCTAGAGAAGACTCGCACAATTCTACTTCTGCTAACCCGAGTACTGTTAATTCTTTGTCCTTCCACTGAGTAATTTACCTCGGTTGCCCTAATTATCACATTTGTACGTAGCATGTGCAAGCTTTAACACAGCATAATGTTTTATTAAATTGAATGCTGCCTTCACAATTTTAAATATCCATTTATTCACAGATTAATTCCACAATCTAAAGAAAATACTGTAGTTGTATTTAACTAAATTAATTATTTGAAGCCAAGCAATCAACAGACACTGCAACAAATAATACCACACCATTATCATAATTTCTTTCTTTTTATTTCCTTAGATGGACTACAAGTGCACCCATAGGAGGCCTGGTCGAGGACCGGGCCGCGGGGACGCTAAGTCCCAAAATCATCACAAGGTAACCGTAAGGTATTCTCCTTAAACCTTTAAAATTACATCCTAAAATATGTACAAAATGAGCTGCTTAAACAACAAAATTTTGGTTGTTAGTAATTTAAATAAGTTTTAAATTCTGTTTGCCAGTACTGTATTTTACAGTAGCTCTTATTTATATTAAAATTTGACTAACTTATACAATAGCCCAATTTCACGGCAAGGCCCCTTGGTAGTTGCCCTATATCACAGCACTGAACCCTCCCAGGATGCTGTTGGATCATCAGGCTTTGAGTGACTTTTACCCACAGTAGGACAAGTACTTAAAAAAAAAAAAAAATAAGAAATTCCAGCTTCCTCTGTTGAGGTACAATTGTGAGTTAGGTTGAGGAGCTACTGAGGGAGAGGCCTTGCCAGAAATCAAGCACTGAATGCAATGAAATACCCTTTCCTAGTAGGCCATCAGTAGCTTCCCCATCCATGTACTGTACTATTTCCTTCTTTCTTGTGGAGTGTTGAGGGCTCCAGTTGAGGCGGCTCATGAGTCAGGAGCTGGCCGGGGACACCCGGACTGGCTGGGGTCCAGGGTCACCACCCAGTGGTGATCAGGCTAATCAAAGTTAGGGTTTTGTTGCATCAATCCTTTCTGCTGGATTTTATCAGCTGTGGGTTCATCTCTGATCCTGATTCTTGCAGATTCTCCCTTTTTTATTTCTCGCTCCTACTTATTCTACCTACCTGTGAATTACCTATGGACAATTTCAAGAGTTTTTCTACTACTGCAGCCTGGTGATTACCTGAATTGTGACTTTGTAGCCCATGGGGCCACATGGCTCTCAAAATAAAGCTGATCTGGTAACTTCAGCAGAAACTTATCAAGTTATCTCTTGAAAGCTTCCACTTATGATCCAGCGATATTTTGTATATTTGTTGGTAGAAGGTTGAACAGTTGTCGGCCTCAGATTTTAACTTGTGTTCTCTAATTGTGCTTATGGTATTTCAGTGGAATGGAATCTCTCTCACTCCACCAGTATGTCCCAATTTTATTTTGCTGGTTTAGAGCCAAGCCTTCCAAAACTTTCCAAGTGAATATTATGAGATATCTCTCCCTTTTCTCCACTTCGAGAAGCACAAATTGAGTGCTTTGGGCACAATTCCAGTAGATTAAGTGCTTAATTGATCTTGTGCAGGCAGTAAAGGATCTTAACATTTTTTCTAAACTGAATATTTTGCCAGCCTTGAAGGTGATGTGAGGACCATACAGTAATCCATGAGATAACGCCAGAGTTTTGAAGAGTACAGGCATACCTCAGTTTAAGAGTTTAATTGGTTCATGGAGACGCCTCGTATTCCGAAAACTCGCATTCCGAAGCTAATTTCCCCATAAGAAATAAAGGGAAATGAATTAATCCGTTCCTGACTACCCCAAAAACCCCACATCAAACTAAATTTTTATACCTAATTCATCTAAATAAACCTACAAAACTATATTCCAGTTATTACTTACCTTGCTGTCGAGTGCTGTAGGCGTATGGAAGATGGTGAGGAGGGGGGAGGAGGAGAGGAGTTACTGTTTGGAAGGGGAGTCCCCTTCCATTATCACATCAGGCAGTGAGGACCTTTCTGGTGTGCTCTCCCTGGGACGTTTTATCTGAGTGCCACTAGGTCCTGGTTGAGGCTCACTGCTCGATTTCCTCACCACAAATCTGTCCATGGAAGCTTGCTTTTCCCTTCTTCGCAAGCTCTCTCTGTAGTAAGGCATCACATTGTCATTGAAAAGATTAAGACAACGGCCTACTACAGCTTTCTCTGGGTGAGTCTTTTCAACAATTGTTTGAATCTCTTCCCACATCTGACACACCTTCTTAATTACTGCAGAAGGGACATTCGCTGCTGCTACTGCCACCACCTCCTCCACTGCAGAATCATCCGCTGCTGCGTTGGCTTGCTGTTCCTGTTGAAGGGCTAGGAGTTCTTCGGTGGTTAGTTCTTCGTTGTGTTCTTCCACCAACTCCTCTACATCATCACCATCCAATTCCAAGCCCATTTGCTGGCCTAGACTAACAATTTCCTCAACAATAGGCGCATCATTTATAGGCTCAAACCCCTCAAAGTCTAGTTCTCTCACACATTCAGGCCACAATTTTCTCCAGTCAGAGATCAGGGTTCTTTGAGTCACTTCTTGCCAGGCTTTGTCAACGACTTTTAAAGTACTACAAATGTTAAAATGCTGTTTCCAGAACTCTTTGAGGGTGAGGTTTGTGGCTTCAATCACTTCAAAACATTTCCGGAAAAGTGCCCTTTCATAAAGTTTCTTAAAATTCGCTATGATTTTCTGGTCCATAGGCTGAATTAGAGGAGTGGTGTTAGGAGGAAGGAATTTAACTGTGAGGAATTTATTGTATCTGGGCAACAAATCATCTTCCAAGCCTGGAGGATGAGCAGGAGCATTGTCGAGGAGAAGCACGGCTTTGAGTGGCAAATGTTTCTCCTGCAGATATTTTTCTATGGCAGGGCACAGCACTTCATTCACCCACTCCGAAAAAATAAGCCTAATCACCCATGCTTTTTTATTAGACTTCCACATCACACACAAATGGGTTTTCTGCACTTTATACTGTTTGAAAACCCTTGGATTTTCAGAATGATACACAAGCAAGGGTTTAATTTTCAAATCGCCACTCGCATTTGAACACAGCACAAGCGTAAACCTATCTTTCATAGGCTTGTGTCCAGGCAAGGATTTTTCCTCCTTGGTAATGTATGTCCTCTTAGGCATTCTTTTCCAAAACAGTCCTGCTTCGTCACAATTAAACACTTGTTGCGGTAGGTATCCCTCAGCCTCTGCAAACTCTTTAAATTCGTCAATAAATCGTCCAGCGGCTGGTTTGTCTGAGCTGGCTGCCTCCCCATGCCTTGTAACACTATGGATACCACTTCTCTTTCTAAATTTTTCAAACCAGCCCCTGCTTGCCTTAAACTCTTTCGTATCTGCATCACTCGTTGCAGGGGTATTCTTTAGAAGGTTTTCGTGCCACACCCTGGCTTTCTCACAAATAATGGCCTCCGAAACACTATCACCCCTTAACTCCTTGTCGTGTATCCAAATTAATAACAACTTTTCCACTTCTTCAAGTATTTGTGGTCTTTGTTTCGTTATTGTTCTTACTCCTTTTGCCACTTTAGCACCCATAATCTCATTTTTCTTCTTAAGTATAGTGCATATTGTTGATGTGGCTTTGTTGTACTGCCTACAAAGTTCAACAACACGTGTACCGTTCTCATGCTTCCGAATGATCTCGTTTCTCCTCTATTGTCATCCTCACATGAGCTTTCTGGCCTTTATCCTTACCACTGGCTTTCTTGGGACCCATGGCGAGTTATATAATAACAAATTGTATAGACAAATCACTAAAAATCCAACAAAACACTGAAAATCCGCGAGAAGAATTGATGTGGGGGTAGTCACTGAGCGCGAGACAATGGTAAACTGAGGGGCGGCGGGGCAGAGGGGCGACGATCGCCGAACCACCACGCGCTAGGTCGGCCTGTACGCATATCAACAAACTCGCGTCCCGAGGTAACCCTCGCCTTCCGAGACATATTTTTTGAGGAAATCCTGCTCGTCTTCCGAAAAACTCGCATACAGGGACACTCGCATTCCGAGGTACCACTGTACTATAATTGTGTGGCATCCCTTTACTAGAATGTTAACATTATCCACCTTAAAACTTTCCTGTCTCAGTCAGATTTTCTAATATCATTTTCCAAATACAATACAGTACTGTAATATTAATTAGACGCCAAATACTTTAACACTACTGTACTCTCAATATGGTACTCATTAATAATTTATATTTACTTACCAATACTTGAATTACGAGAAGACCGAGGTTTGGTTACACTGACACGCCTGAAGAAGATCTTGAGTTGAGCATACAGGAGCGTAACATCTTTACCACGAAAGATCTTAGCAACAAAGGTCCCTCCATTTGCCAAGACATGAGTAGTAATATTAAGGGCTGCCAACAACAATTGGGCTTGTACATACTCATCAAGATCATGAAGGCCAGTCACTGAAAAATATAAACAGTGTTGAATGTAATGGAATATACTGTATCTTTCTGGGCAGCATCTCGGTAGCTTCCTTAGTTTGTGCTATCAAATATCCTCAAGCCACTGAGATCATGTTAAGAATTCGATCCTTTTTCTACACTGGAAAAATACATCAATGACATAGAATCAACACTTCAGGAAGCACAATAGGAAACTTGAGAGGGTACAGTAGTTTAAAACTAAACTAGTACCAGAGTTATGAGGGCTCAGCTATGAGGACAAGCTCAGGAAATAGACAGGATGGAAAAGGACAGGCTAAATTGAAAGAAGAAAAGACAAGGGAACATTGGAAGGAGCTAGACACACAAGTGAATTGCAGAAATATAAGGAAATTCTCATAATCTGTACTCTACCTTATAAAACAATACTGCAAGAGTTTGGTAATCTGAATTGTAGTAGCCCAAATGAATTTCCGTTCATTTTCAAGTAAATGACGGGAAATGCATGAGTAAATGAAAGGAATGCATGAGTAAGTGTTGAATATGTCTGGGTAACGGTGGGAGTAACAGGGTTGGGGTATAAAAAACTTGCAGTTTTTTTTATTACACATCTGGTAAGAAATTGTGCTAGGTCGAATGGGAGTGGGAACCATAAGATTTGGATTACCAAGCTCAGACAGTAATGTTAATAATAATGATATTATTTATTAATAACGAAAAATATAAACTGATTACATTTTATTATATTAATACAATGGTATAGCATTGCTAATTTTTTATCAAGACTGCTAATTATGAAAAATTAAAAATTAAAACTAACACCTGGGCAAATCCCAAACTTTAATATAAACACTTGAATTTACTACATATTTTTAATGCCAAAGTGTTTACAGAGTGGAATATAATACTGTATTATCATTAACATTATACATGAATAGTATGTATAACATTATACATGCTCCATAGGTGGTACATTGTGGGTTGCTCATATGATGACCTCTTGTGGTACACAATGACCCTAATGGATACTTTTTCTTTCCAGCCATCACATACCGCTGATGGTTACTAATGAATCTTGTGCAAAAGAGCACAGTGACTTCAATATCATTTCAGATAATTAAAAATAAAAATAAAAATGTCATCCTTACTAAAAACCAGCATTGAATGTAATTAAACACCTCTTTCTGGTAGAGCCCTGTTGGCTCCCTGAAGCTCTCTAGCTGCACTGGCTTCCTGCTGCTGAGTCACATCAGTCGCAGGAGACCAGAACCTGGCCCCACTTCCTCGCTTACAGAGGTGCAGAGAGCTAGGGTCTATTATCACCTTTCCATCGACAAAGCATACAGAAAGTCAGAAAAGCATTACAAACAAATGTAAGGCTCATAGAAAATGAAGCATTGAAACAGCCAAACTACTCTGCAAACAATTCATTCAAAACAACTGGGTCACTGGAAACTGGCTCGAACCCTTAGATGGCTGCCTCTAGGCAGCCCAGAGCTCCAGGCCAATGACCAGATTCTGGTCCTGACTACCTGGTAAGTCAGCATGGGCCTTGGAGCCTGATGCTACTAAAGGGCATCACAGAAATACACCATGGTGAGGGCCAGAGGAGATATTCATTATGTATCTTTGGTTGAGAAATTTATAACTAATTCTCAAGAGAGTAATGATACTTAATTTTGTTAGTCATCTCAAGCAGATTCAACATTTGTATGGTATGTAATTTGGCTTATATATTTGAGTTCTGGATGGGGTGTTGACTGATGGCTGACCACATTTCTGTCTGATAGTTTATTCCCTGAACCACAACAACTGTCATAAAATTGTGATACAGTCTCCATAACGAAGGATACCTTTATTTCCTGAACAAGGATTCACTTTTCATACAGAATGAGCTAGTCATGGGGTTACCTTGTTTCCTTATGACCTTATGACCCAGGTGTTCACTTTACCTTATGACCCAGGTGTTTCTGGGGCTTAGCGTCCCCGCGGCCCGGTCGTCGATCAGGCCGACCAGGGGTGTAAGTTATTAAAGAACAGTTTTTTTAAATACCTGTATATTCTTTGATAGCATTTTACAAATCTAATTATTGCATAAGAATTTAAAGCTGCCTTTAAATATTATTCATTTGTAATCCTGCCTAAGATCTATTCCAATTATTATAAAGAGTGTGTAGATTACTTTTGATAATATTTAGAGGTAGAGTTAGCACGATATTTTTGGGTATGTACAGTACTTACCATCTGGAGCCCCATCACACACCACCAGCTGGGCAGTTTCACCTTGAAAATGACTAATGATGGCTTCTGCTGTGCTTACTTTTGTTATGTCACCCTGGAGCTGAACAACTCCTGGCAGGGGTGCCATTGCTTGAAGATCAACAGCCACTATTTTCACTAATGATGGATCCGATGCTGCACCTCTGCAGTAACACAATATAGGCAGCCATTATATATTTTTACAACATGAAACTTTTAAAATACATTCATAATACTGTACTGCATTCAGCATTTTATTTAATTTAGTACAAAATTTTATTGTCTTACATAAAGAAAGGTTACCTAGAACTGGACTGCACTTTACTCACCTAAGAGTCCGTGACAGCACCTGACTCCAGCTTCCAGGAGCAGCACACAAGTCTACAACTCGAGTTACACCTAGAAAATCAGGTTTAATCAGTGAAGTATATCAACTTATTTCACACATAGTTATAACTTAATTGTACAAAATTATAGTCACCCATGATAACATGTTCAAATTATGAGGCAAAAACTTTGGCAGGAGCCAAAGGTTAATTGATAAGACACCAGACACACAAACAAAAGGACATAAATGACATTCATAAACCCATATTGTTTACAGTAATTCATTTTGCTTAGCAATCTACTATCATAAGTGCACAACATACCAGATATTGGACAACAACAACCTGGTAGCAACTGAGACTTATGACCCATAAATGCCTACCGGGAATCTGGCCCAATCAAAGAGGCAAAGAACACCAAAACTTGGCAGAGCCAACAGAAAGCTAAAGCACTCCAAAACATTAACTGCTTGGATAAATTTGTAACCCTGATGAAAACTATCCATAAATTTGTTATTGCAGCAAAATTACCACCTAGATACATTCGTCTGCCACATGTGGTAACCCAGGGGACCTGGGATCTTGGTAAGCCAGATTATTCATGAACCACCTACAACCATCCCCTCTAACTCCACAGGAAAGGAGGGCAATGGATGGAGATGAAAAGTTACTGAGTGACCCGTCAGAAACATGTTGGAAATTTGATGAAATATTAATGTTGATAAAGGTAATTAGCACACCAGGTATAAATGGTTAGGGGGCAAAATATCTCACTTTCCCATATTTACAGATAGGTAAGCACTGATAGTTAAGTACAAGCACCAGGCTGAAACTGTTTACTCTAAGGGAGGGGAGACATGGCATGTCTGTGTACCAGCACTACATGACCCTTCTGTGCCAAAACTAGGGAGTGATAAGTGTTCCTAATCCCCAGCAGACTGCAAATTCCTTCTTCCCAATTGGTCCAGCTTGAAAGAAATTTGTTGTATCTAGGGAGAGGACGAGAGAGCCACCTGGAGGCTGACCAAGCAATATCAGCACTAACTGCCCTTGGAACCAAAGCTCTCTTCATGACAGAGGAAAGCTGCAGTTGCCTTTAGTTAGTTACATGTCATGTTAACTACAGGGAGAAAATTTATCACAGAAGTTACATGAATGTCATTAAGAATCAGCATTTGTTTAGCTCCATTGATATATCAAGTTAATTATCTTGAGATGAGTTATCTTGAGATGATTTCGGGGCTTTTTAGTGTCCCCGCGGCCCGGTCCTCGACCAGGCCTCCACCCCCAGGAAGCAGCCCGTGACAGCTGACTAACACCCAGGTACCTATTTTACTGCTAGGTAACAGGGGCATAGAGTGAAAGAAACTTTGCCCATTGTTTCTCGCCGGCGACTGGGATCGAACCCAGGACCACAGGATCACAAGTCCAGCGTGCTGTCCGCTCGGCCGACCGGCTTCCTAAATAAATAATAGCATTATAGAGTGATCAAAATATTGTTGTTTAGCCAAACTTTGGGACAGTGATAGTTTTAGTATGTTCAAAAGGTTAATTGAATAACCATATCTTGTCAACTCACTGACTGGTAATCAAAGGTAAACCTTCCTGCCGATAATATGTGAGCTTAAGGGAGAATAAACAGGTCTCCCACCTTCACCGAAGATTGCTGCATTTTGTCTGGCCACATGTTTGGAGAAGAGGCCTCCATGTGTTGAATAATAGTACTGTAACATAATAGTGACTGTGTGCTTGGAGAAAAAGTCTTGCCTTGGGGGAAACATTAGCTATTGGGTGTGTGTGTTCATGTGTTTGTAAAAATAAATAATAAATAAATATATACCCGATATGTTATGAGAACTATTTTAGTTCAATTGAACTGATAGACTTTATAATATGATGTGTTCACACTGGCAGGAGAAGTTTTTATTTAGTCCAGATGATGTGTATCACAACTGCACTTCAAACAATATAGTTTTCACTTCATAGCATTATCATATGGTTTCTGCCATGCCCAATAGCCAATATAAGAAAAGTACAAACTGCACAAATGAATACTTTCTAACAGGTAGCAACATAACTTCAAACGAGTGCCAAAATACCTTCAAAAATGTTGAATTCTTCGTTGATCTGTATGAGCTTGAAGGCGCTTCTTGCCCGCCAGCCTTCCTCCTTGGCCAGCCTGTAATATACATCTCTCTTGTCCTTGGAGCTCCGACCCATTTTTATCCCACTGCCTGAATTTAGGTCTTACACTAAAATCTTCCTTCTAATTGCTTGAAAGAAGGGAGATAACAAGCCAACCACGTGCTTGTTGACGTATGAATGGCTGAACCAGCTGTACTGTTGTTGTTGTGGAGGGGTCAGGGGCAGCTACAGCACAGGATGGAGGGGTTAGGGGCAGCTACAGTGTTGCCAGCTCCAAATTCCTGAAAGTAGCGAATTTGTAATTAGAGTAGCCCAATTTTTTGTTTAGTGACTGATATGGGTTTCAAAGTAATATATTTTGATATATAGAGTACACTACACGATGTTAATTATTTTATTAATATTATTTCTGCACACACACACACATATATATATATATATATATATATATATATATATATATATATATATATATATATATATATATATATATTTATATAAATATATATAATTTTTTTTAACCTAAAAAGGGGTACCACCTCTGGTGCAAGAGTAGGGACCCTTAGCCTCGGAGAAGAAAATAAAGAGTACCCAGAGAAGACCTTGTGGATCCTCACTGAACACTTTGATATTTTCTTCTCCTACCACCCCTATTCTTTTAGTATGTGTGTATATATATCTAACTTTATTTTAAAACTTTATTTTAAAATTTCATTACACAAAGAGGGTAATGCACAACTTGAAGTGACACGTACCCCTGGAACCCGACCTATTGCGTAACAGGAGCCCAACCAGTTGTGTAACCGGACCCCGACCAGTTGTGTAACCGGACCCCGACCAGTTGTGTAACCGGACCCCGACCAGTTGTGTAACCGGACCCCGACCAGTTGTGTAACCGGACCCCGACCAGTTGTGTAACTGGACCCCGACCAGTTGTGTAACTGGACCCCGACCAGTTGTGTAACCGCAAGCCTAGCATGAATGAATCGAACAAACAACATTCGAAGCACAAACACAAATCGAAGTCCGACTATGCACAACCCGAAGCCCAAGTGACACCCCCGAAACCCGACCAGTTTTGTAACCAGACCCCGACCATTTGTGTAACCATAAGCCTAGCAAGTATACATCTCATCCAACCCCCACCAAGCTAAACAGTCCCAGAGCACAACGAAACTCCAGTCCTAGCTCGACCAAACAAAAATCACCTTAGCCCTACCTAAAATCCTCCACTTGCCCTAGACACCAATTATTGACCCATAGCAAACAATTGAACTATATACAAAAAAGAAACCCAGATTTCTAACATATAAACATAGAGCCTTAGCAAACAAACCTGGAGCACTAGTACACAAACAACCGCTGAAGCACAACAATGCATGAATCATAAGCCAATTACCGTTGGAGTGCCACAGGGCAGCATCTTAGGACCTCTTCTATTTCTTATATATATAAACGATCTGCCTAATGTCTCTAATATTCTCAAACCTATATTGTTTGCTGACGATACTACCCTTATCTACTCAAACCTCAACCCACATACACTAAATAATGTTGTGAATAATGAATTAAAAAAAGTCCACTTATGGATGTCAACGAACAAACTAACATTAAACATCGAAAAGACTTACTACATCTTATTTGGAAGCAAATCATCAAATGCAATTCAGCTACAGATAGACAACATTAACATCAGTAATAAAAATGATGGCAAGTTTCTTGGCCTATTCCTAGACAAGAGACTCAACTTCAGCACCCACATTCAACACATAACTAAGAAAGTCTCTAAGACAGTTGGTATACTCTCCAAAATCAGATATTATGTTCCTAACTCTGCTCTCCTCTCACTATATTATGCACTAATCTACCCATATCTTAATTATGGTATCTGTGCATGGGGGTCTACCACTGCAAACCACCTTAAGCCCATCATCACACAGCAAAAATCTGCTATCAGAATAATAACTAACTCTGCTTTCAGACAACACTCAGCTCCCTTGTTTAAATCTCTAAACTTGCTAAATATTAACTCCCTCCACACATTCTCTTGTGTCAACTACATTTACAAAACCCTGTTCTTAAATGCAAACCATGCTCTGAAACTCTCCCTGGACAGATGTAATAGGACCCATTATCACCACACCAGAAATAAATATCTCTTTGATATCCCCAGGGTCAAACTTAATCTGTGTAAACACTCTATGCAAATTAAGGGACCTAGTCTATGGAACTCACTCCCTAGTGAATTGAAAAACTGTAAAACTTTTGCCTTATTTAAAAGCAAAACCAAAAAGTACCTAACTTCATCTATTTAGTTTCCTACACTGAGCTTTAAATTTGCTCTGTACCTAGTGGTACCCAATCTCCTAATTTTTATGTAATATCAAACAACCTTATCATTGTGTTCATTGCTGTCTTCTTTTATGTGCTAGCCATATGCTGTATTGTGACTACCAATTTTTGTCAACTACCATTCAAGCTGTCATTGCAATCAATCTTATATTGTTTCTGCTGTATTGTGCCTACCAATTTGTTGTCAACTACCATTTTAAGCTGTCATTGCAATCAATCATAGCTACCTATGTGCTTTAATATACTGTACCTATAATTTTCTCTCATCTTTTTTTTTTTTCATTCCATGTAATCTGTTATCATTTTTTTGTCTATAAATTTTGCAAGTATTTACCTCCTTAAAATTTTCTTAGATTAAGGACCTGCCCGAAACGCTGCGCGTGCTAGTGGCTTTACAAGACTGTAATTACCATAATTGTATCCTCACATTCCTTATGTACATTCTTGTATATGCATAAATAAATAAATAAATAAATAAATAAATCGAAGCCTGACCATGCACAACCCAAAGCCCAAGTGACACCCCCGGAGCCCGACCAGTTATTTAACCGGAGCCCGACCAGTTATTTAACCGGAGCCCGACCAGTTATTTAACCGGAGCCCGACCAGTTATTTAACCGGAGCCCGACCAGTTATTTAACCGGAGCCCGACCAGTTGTGTAACCGAAGCTTGACCTGTTGTGTAACCAGACCCCGACCAGTTGTGCAACCATAAGGCTAGCAAGTATACATCTCATCCAACCCCCACCATGCTAAACAGTCCCAAAGCACAACCAAACTCCATTCCTAGCTCAACCAAACAAAAATCTTCTTAGTGCTACCTAAAACCCTCCACTTGCCCTAGAAACCAACTATGGAGCCATATCAAACAATTGAACTATATACAAAAAAAAAACTCGAATTTCTAGGAAACATATAGCAGAGCCCTTGCAAACAAACCTGGAGCACTAGTACACAAACAACCACTGGAGCACAACCATGTACGAATCGGAGCACAACCATGCACAACCCAAAGCCCAACAAGTCACACCCCTGTTGTTATGTAATCGGAACCCGACAAGTTGTGAAACTGGAGCCCAACCAGTTGTCTAACCGCAAGCCTAGCATGAACGAACCAAACAAACAACCTCTGGATTACAACCATGCACGAACGGAAGCCCGATCATGCACAACCCAAAGCCTAAGTGACAACCCCGGAGCCCGACCAGTTATTTAACCGGAGCCCGACCAGTTATTTAACCAGAGCCCGACCAGTTGTGTAACCGGAGCCCGACCAGTTATTTAACCGGAGCCCGACCAGTTATTTAACCGGAGCCCGACCAGTTGTGTAACCAGAGCCCGACCAGTTGTGTAACCGAAGCCCAACCAGTTGTGTAACCGGACCCCGACCAGTTGTGTAACCGCAAGCCTAGCATGAACGAACCAAACAACCTCTGGATCACAACCATGCATGAACCAAAGCCCGACTATGCACAACCCGAAGCTCAAGTGACACCCCCGGAGCCCGACCAGTTATGTAACCGGAGCACGACCAGTTGTGTAACCGAACCTCGACCAGTTGTGTAACCGAAGCTCGACTAGTTGTGTAACCGGACCCTGACCAGTTGTGTAACCGTAAGTCTAGCAAGTATACATCTCATCCAACCCCACAGAGCTAAACAGTCCCAGAGCACAACCAAACTCCATTCCTAGCTCGACCAAACAAAAATCCCCTTAGCCCTACCTAAAACCCTCCACTTGCCCTAGACACCAACTCTTGACCCATAGCAAACAATTGAACTATATACAAAAAAAAAAGAAACCTGGATTTCTAGCAAACATATAAACAGAGCCTTAGCAAACAACCTTGGAGCACTAGTACACAAACAACCACTGAAGCACAACCATGCACGAACCGAAGTTTGACCATGCACAACCCAAAACTCAAGTGACACCCCCGGAGCCCGACCAGTTATTTAACCGGAGCCCGACCAGTTATTTAACCGGAGCCCGACCAGTTATTTAACCGGAGCCCGACCAGTTGTGTAACCGAAGCTTGACCTGTTGTGTAACCAGACCCCGACCAGTTGTGCAACCATAAGCCTAGCAAGTATACATCTCATCCAACCCCCACCAAGCTAAACAGTCCCAGAGCACAACCAAACTCCATTCCTAGCTCAACCAAACAAAAATCTCCTCAGTGCTACCTAAAACTCTCCACTTGCCCTAGAAATCATCTATGGAGCCATATCAAACAATTGAACTATATACAAAAAAAAAAGAAACCAGAATTTCTAGCAAACATATAAACATAGAGCCCTCGCAAACAAACCTGGAGCACTAGTACACAAACAACCACTGGAGCACAACCATGGACAACCCAAAGCCCAACAAGTCACACCCCTGGAGTAATGTAATCGGAACCCGACAAGTTGTGTAACCGGAGCCCGACCAGTTGTGTAACCGAAGCTCGACCAGTTGTGTAACCGGACCCCGACCAGTTGTGTAACCGCACGCCTAAGTCTACTTAGACTGAAGCTGGTGCGCGCCCACATGAATTATTGCATCCAGGCATGGAGACCTCATCTTCAGAAAGACACAGCTGCTCTGGAGTCATGTCTTACCTGAGCTATGCAGCTATGTCTTACCAGAGCTATGGAGCTATGTCTTACGACAAAAATCATACCAGAGCTTAGTCATCTGTTGTATCAGGAACGGTTGAGGGCCACAGGGCTAACAACACCACAAACAGGGCGGACTTCATAGAAACCTTTAAAATACTAAACAACTTGGAGGATGTCGATCAGGACAATGTCTTCAAAAGGTCAGATGTTACACGAACAAGGAGCAACTGGTTCACACTCAACAAGCCAGAATGTTGGACAGGAAATAGGAGATGCTTTTTCACCCACAGGGTTGTAAACCAGTGGAACCGCTTACCCGCCGAAGTAGTAAACGCCAAACCTCTGCTTGGTTTTAAAATACAGCTGGAAAAGATCATCAGGACAAATGGGGGGACCTTTGACAAGCCGCCGGCTTACTGCCCTCATCGAGGCCACTAGTGTTAGTGGCCCTCAGGTAAATTCAGTTCCCGGAGGGGTGTCCCCGCTCCTTCCTGTTGGGAAGTTCATCTATTGTAGTATCATACTATCATGCAAGAGGAGCCACACATCTATGGATCATCCAATAATATCAGCAGACTTCTAGATGTTACTACTGCTCGGCTTAGACTCGGTTACAAGTATCTCTGGGAATTCTCCTTATCTGCTGATGTAGACCTGACCAAATGTAAACTGTGTATCAAGATTGTAACTTTCTTAGCTTAATGAATTGTGGGGTTCAGTCTCTGAGCCCATTATGTGCCTCTGTAACCCTTTCCACTATCACCCACAAGATGGGTATGGGGTGCATAATAAATGAACTAAACTAAACTATTGCAGTATTTGTACATTGAACTGTCGCTTGTCACTAAACTTAGTTGTTAACTATTAACTTGATGAAATAATATTACTTTATACGCGAGAATAATTCTGAATACACAGCGATAAAATTGATGAACGCGGCTTTGGGTCGGGCGGCCACGGAGGCGAGCCTGGCCTGAGGACAGGCAACTGTAAATGCTTCACCCTTCATATACTTCAAGTGAAAATAATTGCCAACAGAACCTTAATACCGAACCTACTATACGCCTAATTAAACACTGAATATAAAATTAATTTATACACGATAAAAACTATTTTTAATACACAATACATGAAAGTCGATGATAAATGCGTCTTGGGATATGGGGGAGACGACCGCCGCGTTAACGAGCCTAGCCTAAAGACGGGGTAGTTTAACACTATGGGGAAGTGTATTCTACATAATATCCTACCCATATAATGTTGGCAAATCATGATCCTCAAAATCTTCCACAATATCCGAGAGAGAACAGACTATTTAGCATTAGTGGAATACAAACATTTGAATACTACACAACCCGGATGAAAAAAAATACGAAAACAATGACCTTCGAGACATTACAAAACTCAATGTTATAATAGCGAACAAATGTATAATGCATTAAGCATTGTAGGTGGAGGTAGACTATATATTCACGCGTACCTCCCAACTGCTCAGATATATATGCAAAAAAAAAAAAAATCTTAGCCTTACCTACACGAGAGCGACACACCGCACACCACCGCTGCTTCTTGACGACTGGCGGGTCGGGGTCAATGACCCGGTCCACCAACCGACCCAGAGACCCCCTGCCTAAAATTATTTGAACGCCATATTCAAATTCCTAGTGTATAGCGCCAGGAATGCGTAAATTAATATTTATATGCATTATAGGCCTTTCTAAAATAATTTATAGATCCGAATATCATATATTGGCTAACAAACGAATTATTCAAGTTTAGATTTTATGCCAAATACAAGTCTCATCGCACACAAGATGATTCATCGGCGGATTTATTTTTTTATTATTTATTTATATATATAAAAAAAGAGTTTTTAAATTCTTGTAAAGTCACTATAGTATGCATAGAGTTTCGAGTAGGTCCTTAATCCTAATTTTTTTCCCCGGAGTATGACCCGCCAAATCGTTTAACAACCTATTCACTGCTGGGTGAACAGTTAAGGATTGTCGCCCGGTCAGGTCAAAGGGCTGGCGAAGAGCCGGGCGCGTGCTTTACCACTGCGCCACAGAGACTGCTCGATCCGTGGCATAGTGGAATTTTGAAACCTGACTAACATAGCTAAACCCAACCTAACGTAACCCAAATCAAACCAATCTAATCCAACCGAGCCCAATGCAGCCTAACCTTAATAACATAACCTAATACAGCTTAGCATAACAATACATCAGGATTTAAAACAGAAAATAATGAGTTTAGCCGAATCGTCTCGTGTCGTAGTGTAACCAGAACCCGACCAGTTGTGTACCTACTGACCTAGCAAACAAACACCTGCAGACGAGGAGTCTCAATAACGTGGCTGAAATATGTTGACCAAACCACACACTAGAAAGTGAAGGGACGACGACATTTCGATCCGTCCTGGACCATTCTCAAGTCGATTGTGAGAATGTACAATCGACTTGAGAATGGTCCAGGTCGGACCGAAACGTCGTCGTCCCTTCACTTTCTAGTGTGTGGTTTGGTCAACAAACACCTCACCTAACCAGACAAACACCCTCCTAACTCTACCAAGTACACTGAGAGCCGTACCAAAGTTGGGAGGGTCCACAGACGAGAACGTGGTTGTAAGTATAGGTCTGTAGCGAGTAAACTTATACTCGCTCCATTATCTCATCATCTTAAATTAATGGCATAACTAATTACACAAGCTATAATCCTATCCCTATTTACAGGTAACGGTTTTTCCACCCTCCTATCTTACTGTGAGGTGTAGTAACCGTATATAAGCCAGTGACTTGAGAATAGCAAACCAGTACAATCTCCAGACAAGAATGTAGTACTCGGCGTGGGCAGTTCTAATCGACCCAAGACGCTACTGCTTCGACACGGTAGACATCTCCCGTCACGCAGGGTGCAGTCGCACCTCCACAGATCTCCAGTATCATCTATTGATACTGGTAATGGCTCAAAAGGGCCACCACTTACGGGCTATTCATGCCCGTGCCACCTTTTGGGTGGCTTCATCTTCATCTTAACACATTCACAAGGGAAACATCTCCCGTCACGCTGGGTGCATTCGCACCTCCACAGATCTCCAGTATCAGCTCTTGATACTGGTAATGGCTTAAAAGGGCCACCACTTACGGGCTATTCATGCCCGTGCCACTTTTTGGGTGGCTTAATCTTCATCAATCATCTTTACAGCTTCGACACAGAGCAGGCAGCAGACTACGACCTCATCCAGCTACAACACTCTCCCACAGAGCTCCGCGACTCCGGCCACACTCAGCTCTCTGCTCTGCTCCAGGCTTCGTCTCAACGTCTACGACACTGCTGTATCCAGGACTACTAAATAAATATGAAACTCACTAAACACTGTGTATCTAATCAACCCAACAACGTAACATAATCGTACGTTACAGGTCCACAGACATGGGTCCCAGTGCCCATCATCTGGGTTGGAGGGCAACAGTGCATTGCTTTGCTCAGAGAGTATAATGCTGCTAACACAGCCCTGTCTTCAATATGCAAACTTTTCAGGATTATTTAATTAGCTAAGATTTACCTGAATTTACCAGAGGGTCACTATCTCTCAGTGAGGATAGGAAGCCGACGGCTTGTCAAATGTTTCCTATTTGCCCTGGTGATTTTATCGAGCAATGTTTTATCATTTATGGCTTCGTTGGGAAGGTGGTTCCATGGTTTCCCTGAATTTACTCTATGGTGGCCCTCGGGCAAATTCTGGTATCTCTCTCTTGTGGTCTCGACGAGGACAGGAAGGTTGTCTGGGTGTATTATTGTTCTCAGACTGCTTGTAGGTAATCCAAGGTTATCATTAACTCTTTTTTTTTGAAGGGAGATTGCTTGGCTGATTCATCTGCTGTATCATGCATTCCGAGGCCAACACGAGATGGAATCCACATTCCATCTCGAATCCCATGGTCATGTTATTTTCTGAAAAGAAGCCTCAGTGGCGGACACAGTTTATCTGCTAGTTCCTTAACGACTTTGGTTTGAATACCTTCCACGAGCTTCAGAATCTTTCAGTTTGTTAATACCTTTCCTGATTATATCATGTCATAGGGATATCCCATAACTCATTCTCTTCGCTTGCTGCAAATATTTATGTGGGTGCCCGCATGTCTCGTCAATAATATTTAAAATAGTATTATTATAAAGACAATAGAAGTCAGTCCAGGATAAATGACACACGACACAACTAAACACAAAATTTTTACTTAAAGATTGTAATAAATAACGTGAATAAGATAATTAAGCCTTCAGTTAATATATATATATATATATATATATATATATATATATATATATATATATATATATATATATATATATATATATATATATATATATATATACCCGCAGGTAAATTTTGTAATATTAATGACTGGGAGGAAGTAGAGACAGGCAATAAATAGGCAAGAGAGAGAGAGCTGAGGAGCAAAGTAAGTTTATCATTTATCTTCCTTTCTCTTTCCTTTTCTTTCTCTCTTCTCCCTTTTTCTGTTCATTGTCTTCTCCTACGCTCCCTTGCTATCCTCTTCTTATTCCTATCTCCTTTTCTTTCGGTGGTTATAATAGGAGCTGCCTCGTACGGGCCAATAGGCCCTCTGCAGCTCTTATTATTGTTACTATCCCCTCTACTACACCTTACTTTGCTCCTCAGCTCTGTCATGCCTATTTATTGCCTGTCTCTACTTCCTCATCGGTCACGGGAGACATCTCCCGTCACGCAGGGTGCAGTCGCACCTCCACAGATCTCCAGTATCAGCTCTTGATACTGGTAATGGCTCAAAAGGACCACCACTTACGGGCTATTCATGCCCGTGCCACCTTTTGGGTGGTTTAATCTTCATCAATCTTCCTCATCACGGGAGACATCTCCCGTCACGCAGGGTGCAGTCGCACCTCCACAGATTTCCAGTATCACCTATTGATACTGGTAATGGCTCAAAAGGGCCACCACTTACGGGCTAGTCATGCCCGTGCCACCTTTTGGGTGGCTTAATCATCATCAATCAATCATTCCTCATCACAATCGACTTGAGAATGATTGGGAGCACATAAGTACACCTCAGAAGGCATACATACATAATACAACAAGTGATATGTGCAATATCATTGACATATATAAGAATGATTGACCCTACGCATGATAAACTGGTGTCGCCTATGTTAATGTAGAGAGGTTCACCAGTTTGACTGGAATTATATTACAGTATATTCAAGGAACCTGTTCAACTTGCCATGTGTTGTGCGTGTTAGTGAAGTATCAAGACTGTACTACACACCCATCAATGGGTGAACTATAACAACCCATTGTGTCATCTTGTATATGAATTAATAAATAAATAATTACATGAGGAGGGTGCAGGAACACTAACAAAATGTTCCTGATAATTTTAATAACAACTTTTTCAGTGACTAATTAAATATTGCAATGCAATAGTATCAAATTTTACGATATTAAAAAAATGTTTAATAGTTTGAAAGGGAAATGAACCGACAACATATCTCTGAATAGATTACACGAATAAGCAATTTGAACACCTTAACTATTGACCTTAGTCACTGTAGGGGTTTTAATAGTGTTGGTGCGGGGAATATGAGGCTTGTTCCTCCAGTACGGCCTGGGGATGAGGCGAGGCGCCTCCTCACAGCTCGGGTCCTCATCACCAACAAACCAGACACTCTTCTCAGGAGACGCAGCATGAGCAATGAGGCTCCGGTGGTCATCATGGCTGGTGTTTCCCTGGGACACATCCTCAGTGTCTGACGCATCATTCTCGGACGAGTTTCCGTTTAGATCTTCTTGTGTGGACCATTGAGTGATGGCCTGCCGGAGGTGGTCATCTGGGTCACCTGACCCCCTTGCCAGGCTCCTCCGTTGACCTCGCCTGAGAATGAGGTCAAATTCTGGTCGCCTGAGGGCTCCCAACACGAAGCTCGGACCAGTTGCCATTGACTCTGCAATATTATCACATGTGAGTTTAACACAGATTCAAGATTTAAAGCAGCCTCTGGCCTATGCAATTGTTTATGGTGAAATATAAATAGCAAAGATATTAAATGGGTTTGTAACTTCTATATTTTTAATGGAAAATTTGGAAAAAAAGGATGAGGATCTCACAGGATGAGTATGGAGTACACAATAAATTACCAGCCTCTGGCGGCAACAATCAATCCCTATAGAACACTCCTTCCTCAAGCCAAAGAATACATTGGAGGTGTAAATAATAGGGATGACAGGCTTCTTCACGACCTTCCTACGACCGTGATCCTTTGTTGACGTCGCATCAAGTAGATTAATGATCAAGGCGGCCCTCCACCTTAGGCTGCTCACGTGGCGACACACACAATGGCATCACTTGATACAGTACCTGGTCTACCTCCCTCTCTCAACACTACACCCACAATTCACTCATTACTCTCACCTCCACCCTGCATTAAGCAGCACAATGTACGAGGAATTGGACGATTTGCCTGACCTGTTTGATGTGCCTGAGTGATGGAGGTGAAGAGCAGATGTTTCTCTGCCTTTAAGGAGTCCATTGTGGCAGGTGGAGCACCATCTGCCCCAGCTGCTCCAGGTGGCGCACCATCTGCCCCAGGTGGAGCCGTCCCACAGGCACTAGCCACAGAGGTACACTCCTGGCTCTTCTTTCTGGATAAATGCATGAAAGTTATTCCGATTAATTCCATTAATATATCTATTAAATTATATACAAGACAACATATTAAATATATTTGTTTATGTTTCAGGCAAAAATGTGTTTATACTATTTATTTGTGACTATAAGATCAAGCTGTGAGCTCTTTGACCCTGTCTTTCTAACCGATGGTTGTCTAATGCACTCACTCCCAAGCTATTTTCTTCTATCATATCTACTACATATTTATCTCTCTCTCACACACACACACAACCAGGATGCAGCCCGTAGCAGCTGTATAACTACCAGGTACCTAGTTACTGCTAGGTGAACAGAGGCATCAGGTGAAAAAACTGACCATTTATTTTTGCCACAGCCGGGAATCGAACCCGGACCCTTAGAAATACAACCCCCGAGCGGTGTCCACTCGGCTGCAAGGCCTTATGAGTGTATGTGTGTGTATTCCCCCCCCCCTCCCCTAGTGGGGAAACTAACTTCCTGTTTACCCCCCCCCCCAACCTGTCCTACAATTTATGGCATCTATCTTACGCTGTTACATAAGGCCAAAAATTGTTGTACTATAAAATGAAAGCGGCTGACGAACGTGACGTACTGTCCCGTTTTCTGTTTTGGATCCTCTGGTAGGTTAAGAGAGGACACATTACATTGACCGTTGTCTTGACATTGGGAAACCTTAGAAGGACAGGCTGTCACCCCCCCCCCACACCCAGTGTCTACACACACACTATCTTTCCCCCATTTGCTTCCCCAGATCACTCATTTTTCCCGACTCAGGTCCTCCTGACCTGAGGAGGTCTTTACCTGGGTGAGGGGAGGAACTATCTGTCCCCTCTCTAATCCTCTCACCTGAGGGAGGTGCGGTGCCGCTGAGCCTGGCTGAGGAACTCTCTGGAGTGGGAAGTAACCGCTCGCGCGTCCAGGTATTCTGCAGGAAGATTACACTCAACTTGATGGTTATAGACTCTATATAGATGGTAATATTGATGGTTATAGACTGGTTGATGGTTATAGATTGGTTGATGGTTATAAAGCACAATTAGGTGAGACTCCCAGAGTCTGACAGTCCCCCCCCCCTCCCCCACCTTTGAATTTTATTATCGGTATGATTCCACACAAAAAACTAAGATCATATATAGGCCAGAACAATTGTATAATTATATTGGTGGGGGTGATTGTGGCCCCGTGTAACATTACCATGGTGACTAGGGAGGGTGAGTGAAGGTACCTAGGGAGGGTGAGTGAAGGTACCTAGGGAGGGTGAGTGAAGGTACCTAGGGAGGGTGAGTGAAGGTACCTAGGGAAGGTGGAGCGGAGACTATGAGAGCTGGACGATAGCGCCTGTGTGCGGTGACAGGGTTGCCCACCAGCACCGCCTCCCTCAGGTGTCCCAGACGGCTCACTACGGCTGTCAGGTGACCCAGAGACGCCAGGTCATTGTCCGCGGCGCGCAACACCTTTAAATAACAATATAATATATTATATCAACGAACAGTGTGGCCAACTGTTCCACCAAACAGTACAACATATATCTCACATAAATCGGCAATTAGAACACTACCAAACTCTTGGCCCAGACAGCACTCGGCCCCGCTTACTTAAATCTTTGAATGTATTAGTTGTTAAGTCACTGCACATCCTCTCAAGTGTACTTTATATATATATAAACCACTAAACAGCAATGCTAATCCCGATCTTAAGCGCTTCCTAGAGGGTTGTAACAGAACCCATGGGCACCACACTGGAAACAAATATCTATTGATATTCCAAGAGTGCGACTTAACCAAAGCAGAAATGGTCCCCAAATGGGGAATGACCTTCCTAATCACATCAAAGACTGTCCTTCTTTCAACAAGTTTAAAAGATAGCTAAAAGAAACTCTCACATAACCTACCTTACTTCCTAAATGTCAACCTATGTTTTGCTGTTATGGAACATAATTACCGAAAGTGTAACGAGGGCACAGAGCGACTGGCTGTACTCACCTCTCAAGCCTACACTCCTGACGCACCAGTAGTAATCAGACCCTGACTCACCACAGCTGAGTAAGCAGTCCCTGACTCACCTGCAGCTGAGTAAGCAGCCCCACAGCTCCCAGCTCTGTGAGTCTGTTGCCGGTAACATCCAGGAGTCGCATTGTATTCTGGAATTGCCAGACAGCCATTTAATGCACAGTTTGTCCTAATTATTTAGGAAATGTGCCAACCTTTATTTCATCACATAATTAGTTTCGTGAAAACGAAAGTGGTGCGTAAAAGGCAATACAAATAAAAATAATACTATTGGCTTTTGGCTTTCGTTCCCAAAAAGAGTACCAATGATGCCATTATTAGTCTGCTTAATATACTCTACACAGTTCTTGACAAAAATGGGTTCCAAATTGGCTTCTTAATTAACCCGAGAAAGGCCTTTGATACTGTAAACCCTTACTACATCTTACTTAAACGTCATCACTATGGTATTCGAGGCCTTGCTCTGAACTATATTAGTTCTTCTCTCTCAGTGACAGACACCAATATGTAGTCATCGTATATCCACAAGATATATATATACTCTATATATCTTAGTTTGAATGTCATATGAAACCAACCAAATGCATGCAACTTCTTCTCTAAACATACGCATACAAACAAGATAGAACTACATGTAATTACCTTGTAGATAGAGAGATAGGTTAGTTTAGTTCCATTTATAATGCACCCCATACCTATCATATGGACGGTAGCGGAAAGGGTTTCAGAGGCACATAATGGGCTCAGGGACTGAACCCCACAATTCATTTAGCTAAGATTGAGAGTTAGATAGATTAGATGTTCCCTTTGTTCGTGTAAGTAATTTCTAGTAACAAAGGACAAAGGAGCTAGGTCCATCGGGACACTACTTGTCCCCTTAGCTATGGCGAAACCCAAAGAAACCTACTTGCACTACGGGAAGGACAAGTTACCAATGATCTGTCTGTACCATGACTATGTCCCAGTTACCATTGATCTACCTGTACCAATAATAGGACAAGATTGTACCCTACCATAGCTAAGGGTTGAAGGTCGAGGGCAGACGTACCTGCACCGTTGTCAGGGCTTGAAGGTCGAGGGTAGACGTACCTGCACCGTTGTCAGGGCTTGAGGGTCGAGCACCAAGGCGTCCCCAGGGGGAAGCCTCTGGTGCTGGATGTGCAGTTCGTGCAGGCCACGAGGCAGGCCCTCCACCACCCCCACCCTGTTGCCAGGCACCAGCAGGCGACGCAGGCTCACCAGCTCCTGTAGGCACTCCAGTCTGTTGGGGCAGATAGTCAGCAGGTCACACCACAGGCGACATCCGCTCGTCGTCAAGGTTGACCGAGGAGAGTCAACTATCTCGGTGGGTTTTGTTCACGTATTATGAGTTAGCTTTGTTAGGCTAGGGACGAGAACGTCTCCGCTAACACCATGAGAGCACGCGTATACACGCATGGAGCGGTAACTTTACTAAATTAGGGGTCCCGGTAGTGTAGTCGCGGTCGTTCTCGACTCACAATCCAGATTTCCGGGTTCGAATTACGGGCGGGAGAGAAATGGTTGGGCGCACTTCCTGTCTGAACACACGTGAGCACCTAGTGTGGCCTCACCTGGTGATGTGGTTGTCCTGGAGGTAGAGCTCCTGCAGGTTCCTAAGAGGGCGCAGGTTGGCCAGCCGGGTGAGGTGGTTGTGCTGAAGGAAGGCCACGCGAGCGCCGGGGCACGCGCTCACATTCTCCTGAAACAATCATTGTATTTAGCTAACTGTGTGTTCAGAAAAAAAGATGCTAAGTAAACTCACATTTCTGAGCACACAGTAAGCTCAGCTAACCCATATATATGAATTTCAGAACCTTTCTCGTTTCGTTACAATAAGTTTGGTAAACATTGCGATTATGATCCGTTTTAGAGACGGAACTTCTGTACTATCTACGAAATGATTTACAATTGTTCGAAACTGAGGAAGAGGTTTAAGACACTCACGATATGCGTGATTCCCTTCCTCTCCAGATGAAGATGCGTAACACGGGATAAGTAGGCCTCCCTCTCCTTCCTCATCTCCTCTTCATCTTCCTCTTTCTCGTCGTTATCCTGTATTTTCAGCTTCAGAGTTTCCTCCGCGTGTTCTTCCTGTTCCCTCTCCTGTTTTGCCGCCTCCCCCACCTCTGGCGCCCCCTTCACCCTGGCACCTGTGGACCGAGCGGCCCCCGGGGTAGGCCTGCAACAGTGCTCTCGGTAAAAGACAGTCACCACTTTGTTGAAATACATACGGATAATATATGCCTTTAATACTTACGTATTTTCATTAATGATTTAAGCATACAAGCAGCGATCAAACACAAGGCCAATGGTAGGCATTCAGGCGGCTTCTAAGATAAACAGTTGCAAACACATAAACGGAGACTCGTGAGACAATATACATGCAAACTACACAAGCAGTGACAAACACTCATGCTAAGGTGACCAACATATAGTGACACACATGCTAAGGTGACATCACATATAGTGACACATGCCGAGGTGACATCACATACAGTGACACATGCCGAGGTGACATCACTGTATGTGATGTCACCTCACAGTGAGGCACATTCTGAGGTGGCCATACAAGCAGTAACATATTGACAAAGAGTAGAACACCAGCTACAGTGACAAACACACAACTTCGCATGACAAGGTGGATCTTATCGAAACTATTACAATACTGAATAATTTGGAGGATGTTGATCCAGACAAGTTCTCCAGAAGGTCAGATGTAACAAACAAGGAGCAATGGTTTCAAACTCATCAAGCCACAATGTAGGACAGAAAACATGCTCTTACACTCTGTTATAAACCCATGGAACCGCCTACCCGCCGAAGCCGTAAATACAAAAAATCTGCTGAATTTTAAAATCCAGCTTGAAAAAAATCATGAGGACAAATGGTGGGACCTTTGATAAGCCGCAGGCTACCTGTCCTCGCTGAGGCCACTAGAGTGTAAGTAACCCCTTAGGTAAATTCAGGTAAATAAGAAAATGCGGTAGACATACCGATCAATATGAAACAGGTTTTATGCAGGTGAAACTATTTTGATCTATGTAAATCTATTCGATTTTTTAAATTTACAAAGTTTTTAGCCTCAACAACGCTACTCGGAAATTTACCACCTTATTATCAACTAATATTTGCCTATATCTTCTTTAAATCAGAATTTATATGCAGACGATGAGTCACATTAACGTGGCTGAAGATATGATGACCAAACCCGTCGACGTTTCAGTCCTTTCTGGACCGAAACGTGTGACAGACGAGAGGAAGGTTCAGGCAAATGAATTTATATCACTTATGACCAATGTTATGATTTTTAACTTGGTCTGACAGTTTTAAAACCTTGTTTACGTCTCTCTTGTAAATGCCTTTCATCTACTTATTGATTCCTGTCTGCCCTGGTTCTCCGTCTCTCAAGAGAAAGTCAAGTTCTCCTCGACTGTTTTCTTAAAGAGTTCCCTAATACTCGAGAGCAACTTTGTCATCGTACGATGAATAGTTTCGATAAAATCTATGTTCATTGTGTAATACAGTGACCAAAATTAAACGGAATAATTGAAGTGTGGGCTTTCAAGTACAGGATATAGTTGAGATTATATTGCTAACGCTTGTAGATATGTAAGCAAGTATCTGTTGGACTGGAAGGTACAGCGATGGTTTCGCTTCTTCTTGTTCCTGTTATAGGGAATGGGTTCGATCCCCGATGGTGCAAGTGGCTGGGCACGTACCTTCACTCCGTCCTCATATCCCAGCTCCTTGCCCTCCCTGGCACCCTGCAAGGTGCCAGATAATTATCCTGGCTTAGTGCTTTTTACTGGTAATTACCTGACCTTGTTTCCTTGTTTCGTGCTTTGGTGTACTGATGTCGAGTACTTGTGCAGCGTCGCTGAACTTTGTGTTGACCTTACTGTATGTCCTGTGCCACCTTTTAACATTTAAGTTCTGGTATTTACGGCTTCGGCGGATAGGGGGTTCCATGGGTTTACATCCATGTGGGTGAAAAAAAACATCTGTTTTCAGTCCTACATTGTGGTTTATTGAGGTTGAAAGCGTTGCTCCTTGTTTGTGTTACATCTGACCTTTTGAAGAAGTTGTCTAGATCAACATCCTCCAAATTGTTCAGTATTTTAAAGGTTTCGACCAGATCACATTTTAAATGTGCGAAACACATTTAAAATCACTGAGCTTGTAACACCAAACACAATACCAAGCCTTTAGCTTGGCATCATCAAACCTTTAGCTTGGCATCATCAAACCTTTAGCTTGGCATAGCACCATGTCTTGATCTTGACAGTACCAAGCCTGAAGCTCGGTAATACAGTCACAAAATATTCTGAACTACCTTGGATCTTTTTTCGTGCGTTTTGAGGAGCGTCGAGGATGGTGGTGTCCGAGCCAGGCCCACAGCGTCTCAGCGTTTACACTCACCATCACCTACAATGTCACACCTTCGTGTTTAACACAAGCATTTATAGGGAAAGAAAAAGGGGGAAGAGAGGGAGAAGAGAGGGGGAAGAGAGGGGGGAGAGAGGGAGAAAGAGAGAAACACACACACACTGACTTTCCCTCCTGATCTCGACGATGGAGTAAATATTATATATTACCAAATATCAGCTAATTAATATATATTCCATATACCATTTCCCAGTTACTAAATGCACTTTAAACATAAGTGATCCTATGTTTGCATTGTGTCATACTGTATATACTTTCTATACTGGCACGGTGTCATACACTCCTACAAGCTGACACTCACTATACTGGCACGGTGTCATACACTCCTACAAGCTGACACTCACTATACTGGCACGGTGTCATACACTCCTACAAGCTGACACTCACTATACTGGCACGGTGTCATACACTCCTACAAGCTGACACTCACTATACTGGCACGGTGTCATACACTCCTACAAACTGACACTCACTATACTCTATACTTACACAGTAACATGCTAAGCCTCCCATCTGACACTCACAATACACCTGGCAGTCATCTGACACTCACATACACCTGGCAGTCATCTGAGTAACAATACACCTGGCACACCCACCTGTGTACACGAGGTCGTCTCGACGATAACCAGAAAGGTGTCCGCGAGTGTGAAGGGACAGTAGGGCCAGGAGACGCACCTGTCACTCTGGAGCCGGTGATTGACTGGTGTGTGTGTCCGGCCGAGGGGGATATCCGGTCTCCAGGACCATCCCCTCAAGTGTTGACGCGGTTGCCATGGCGACCGATCAGCTGGGGGGCGCCACTTTGTTTACCCTTAGATGATTGCCAATACACAATTTCCTTGTGTATGATTACATACACAAGGAAATCCCACTAACCTGATATATCAGCGAGAAAATCAATTTGAGCAATAATGGGATTCGAACCCTATGATACTCCCATAATGCAAATGCTTCATGTATGAACGTTGAATAAGGCTAACTCCAAGCATATGGCCTCCAGCCTTAGACAGAATATCATTATAATTATTGTATAGATTGGGTATCTAGATGTGCCCAGGTCTCTCTATCTCCCTCCCTCATTTCCATTTTCAACACCCCCCCTCCCAGCAGAAGGGGAGGGGGGGGGGGTTAACAACATGGATGGTAAAATACTAAAGAAACTGTTCATGACTTTTGTGAGACCAAATTGTAATATGAAGTAGTTGTATGGCGCCCATATCTCAAGAAACATAAATAAACTGGAAAGTGTGCAAAGTCACGCTACAAAATGACTTCCAGAACTGCAGGCAAGAGTTACGAGGAGAGGCGTTAAATATGCCAAAGACAGAAAATAGAAGAAAAAGGTGATATGATCATCACTTACAAAATAATAACAGGGAACGATCTAATTGACATGGAGGAATTACTGAAACCAACAACTTCAAGACAAGAGGTCACAGATTCAAGCTAAGGAAACAAATGTGCCAAAAAATATTAGAAAGTTTTCTTTTGCAAACAGTGGTTGATGTTTGGAACAAGTTATGTGAGGTGGTGGTGGAGGGCAAAACTATCAGTAGTTTCAAAGTGTTATTTGACAGAGTATTGGGAAGACAGGACACCACGAGCGTAGCTCTCATCCTGTAACTAAGGTAATTACAGAAGAGCGATGAAACAGGGAGAGGACTGCAGAAAGTTACTAATATTTGGTAATATCATATTCAATAGAGAATTTATCTTTTTAACTTATTACAATATTTACACAGAAGTAATCCAGCTGGGGTAGTCAATACAGTATATAGCTAATACAGTAGTCAGACTCACGATGATCATCCTTCGGAATCAAGAGATGACTATGACGTCAATATATGAGAGCAAATGTTGGTGGCTGTGTGTCAGATGATGGAGGCAGAGTCCAATCTGGGTCTGGAAGGATCGTCCACACATGGTGCATGTGGGTGGATGCTCTGTAGAGGTGGAGGTTGCTCTGGCTTTGTGCAGTCCGTCTATTCTCTCTAACAGGCCCTTTTGTTAACTTTGTTTTCCAAGTTGAAGGGTCCTCAGCAAGTGACTCCCAAGTATTGGGGCTGATGTCCAAGTCTTTGAATCGTTTCTTCTGCCCCCCCCCCCCCCACCTCTAAATATTATTATAACAATATCAATATAGAGGTCCAAAGAAAAGATATAGAATATAAATTGTCTGGGGTAAATATTATGTACAATTGAATCAAATCTATAGCTATTAAAAAATGCATGTGAATGTAAGTACTTAATTAAAAGAAGGCACCAAACCTAGAAGACCATTTAGCACAGACTGTGTCACAGAATATTAAACAAATTCTTTGGCATCATTCAGGATGCCAGTGAGCGAGCGAAGAGAGAATCCTAGCAATGTCCAAAGTATCGGACACGGAACATCTTCATTAAGGGCTGACACAAAAATACCTGTGCATGCAACTTGAACATGTAATGTATCTGGATTGATAGCAAACATTGTCATCTCTTTCTGGTTGATCCATATCCCACCTACAATATTTAGAGCATTGGTTCTTGTAGAACATTTACAGCAAAAAGCATGATGTACAGTACGTGATACTTATTTTAAACAAAGTTTTAGGTTATCTGGTATCTATATCAAAGGAACAATATTACAACAGATTTGACCTTCCTAGTGATAGTTTTATTTTTAAACTAAATGTAAGCAATATACTGTACCTTTATTTGAACAACTGGGAAGTTCCTAGAAGGAACAAAACATCAAATGTCGATATAATTAGGCATACTGTGTATCTATGTATAATATCTGTGTAATAGTTATAATAATATCTATGTATAATACTGTGTATCTAAAACGTGATCTATGTCCTAAACTCACAAGTGAGGAGCCTGGGTTTGATCCCCAAGTGGAACAGAAATGGTCGAGTAAGAAATTATCAAAAGAAGGCACCAAGCCGGGGAGACTATGGAGCGCCATCTAAGTTGCATGATGTTTAAAATGAGCTAGATAGCTCCAAGGATGCCAATATAACAAAAGTGCATAAAATGAGCGATACCAAAGGTATCTGATTCACCAAGGATTCTATGAAGAGACAAATGGTCGCGAGAGACAGTCGGGAAGGAAGACACGCACGTCCTGGAAGTCGGGACAACAGAAATGGTTCAGTAAGAGAGCCACTTCAATAAGATGGCATCTGAGGAGAGTAGAAGCATGAAAAATTATTTTGGTATATTAAGATACAAGATAATAGAAATCCCTAACATGACAGAACAGATCGTTGTTCATATTAGCAAGTTTAACATTTCTTTCATATTCTTAAAGCCTGTCATTAAGAGTATAAACAGTTTCACCACAATATTGCCTAAGACATATTATCTTAACTAAAAAAATCTCACTAATACCCTTCGTTCTTTTAAAACAATTCCTGCCTTTGGCCAAACTGGCACACTTCATAGTAATCTAATTCACACTGCTCCTCCTGCTTCCAATGCAGTTGGTGTTTATTATTATCCTGTTCTTCATGTTCTCTCCAATACTTTGGTAAGACTGGCCATACTCTTAATGGCAGATTTTAATACCAAAATAAATGTTAAACTTTTTGAGAGGAACAATGCTTAATCCTGATGCTTGGTCACCTTTCAAAATAAGTTTTCCTGCTTCTACTCTCCACAGATACCATCTTGTCGAATTTGCTCTTATACACAAAATGAGCCTAATCTTAGCTTTGTTGCTCTTGATTTGCAAAATTTTGATCTAATTTTAATGGTGAAAAAATATTCTGTTTGGCAAATGTACACTCATTTATATATTGTACTAACATCTTTTGACTTTGAGCAATACAAAAATAAATCAATTTGTAGACTTCCTCTATCAGATTTGTGTGTGAGAGAGTATAATATATTATATATATATATATACAGTATATATATGCAAACACACACACACAGTATATAATCATATTTTCTGGTGGCAAGACTGTACATGATGGTTAATGTCACTGAATATAGAGCATCTATTCATGGTTTTAAATGCATCTTGCACTAGCACTATGGTAAAGGAACCAAACCTTAGTACCTGCTTTGCTTGGGAGAAGTCAATCCTCTTGTATATTAAATAAGGAACTTAGAAGGTTGTTATAAGTTATGCAATGTATTTTTCTATTAACCTGACAAGAAATTCACAAAGTATTGAGAGCATAACTGATACTAAACTGTGAGAACTCTGGCATGAACAATATTGCGCATCATAATAGGAACCCACTTCCCGCACTCAAACATGATCTGCGTCATGTTTATGGCCCCAAGCCTTAAAATCACTCGAGTAACATTATCATAATGACATTTAATGATAACTCATCTCTAAGGTCACAAGTCACTAGTTGATAACCAGCCCACCAGGTCACAAGCCACTAGCTGACACCCTAATCACTACGTGATAACCAGCCTACACGTCACTAGGTGATAACCAGCCCACACGTCACTGTGTGATAACCAGCCCACACGTCACTAGGTGATAACCAGCCCACACGTCACTAGGTGATAACCAGCCCACACGTCACTAGGTGATAACCAGCCCACACGTCACTAGGTGATAACCAGTACACCAGGTCACACGTCACTACCAGGTCACAAGTCACTACCAGGTCACACGTCACTACCAGGTCACAAACTGTCAGCTAACATAAAGCCAAACAAGAGGGAGTATCACCACCAACAGCCTTATACAACACACAAGTGTAATGACACACTCATATGCTTTGGTTATTGTTTTAAACATAAAAAAAGGCAAGAATGAAAGAGGTAACATGCACAGTCACACACAACCCCACCTCCTTTTTAGTACTCCACTTGTTAACATTTACATACAGTATTTAATTATTATTTTCCCTAAATGAAAAAAAAAATTAATATAAAAACAAATTAGCTTATACTGTAAATCTGTAAAAAAAAAAAATCTATTTCCAGATTCCATCCTTACACAGAAATCTTGTTTTGTGCAAATATATACACTTCATCTATACACCTAAGTCACATTACAAACATCAAAGACAAAACACACTCACTCAGCTTCAATAATAAGGTGTTAGTACAAGGAAAAGCAGTTTTGATTATTATTAAGCTTGTTAGGGAAAAAAAAAAAAATCACTGGTACATTTGTGTCAGATGCACAGTAGCCTAAAATATTGAGGTTTATCTGGTGAAACAATACAGTGTTCATTTATGACTAAAACAAGGAATGGCAGCCAAGCAAACAAAAATGCATTAATAATGAAACAGCTATACAACATTAACTGACTATAACATTGTCATGTATATATTATACAAAAATGGTATTATGGATACACATTATAGTAGTATGCATGCCACAATAGTGGCATAAAAATCCTGGGAATTATCCTAAAAAGTTACATATTATACAGGGCATACTTAAATTAATATAATATATAACAAAGGTCAGCATCACAATAAACAAATAGGCGATTGTGCTTACCATGAGTGAAAACTATTGCAAATAAAGATAATAACTGGAAGAGGGGTAAATTAGAAGCTATCTTACTATCCTTATTTCCATAACCTTCACAAGTATACAACAATTCCAAGACATGTATGATGGGGTGGTGGGGGGGGGGGGGGGGCAAATGACTATATATCTTTTCTCAAGTTCACGTCTGCTGTAGGTCATCACTTTGATAAACTTTCTGGCAAACAACATTATCAACTACAATTTTGAGTAAAATGTGCTTTAATTTCGTGTAACATTATGAAAGCTAAATTTCTTGTGGTATCATTCAGTAATTCACAGAAGCTGTATGTGAGTTGCTCACTATGGTACAGCATATATACTCGTACAGAAATGCTTTGCTAATTAGTATATTTTAGTAAGCGTTAACTTACTTTCATATGTCTATATTATGTATATTTAAATTAATACAGACAATCAAAAATATTTAAATCATATACTGTAGCTTGTTGTGTGTGTGAATAATATATTTGTTAGAAGAAAAGTGCCACAGTTAGTTTTAACAAGCATTCAGATGTTCATTATTACGAACTAAAAACTGTCTTTACAGCCAATAAAGGCAGAAGTGTCATGACCATATTACTACAGAAGGATTTGCATTAGTACTTCTTCAGCATATGCCTAAATGACACGGTATTTGGGTAGTTACATAGTAAATCCTCACAAACAACTGGTATTTCCCTGCAAGATAACATGCCTTCTACATAAATACATTTTGAAATGAAGACAGTTACCTATGTACCCTTTCGGTGTATACATATATAACTTTCACACAATATCGTACTTACTATATCTACAAGTAAAAGGAGAAAAGAGAGCTTCTGCTCCACCGCTCACTATATTTGAAAGCTTGGCACTTTTCAGTCTTGTCATACAAAATATTCAGACAACTTCTTTGGGCATGCAACTTCATGTCTGACTGAGCCTCTTTATCAGACATATAAAACACTAAATATTGGGTCAACATGGATTCCCATCAAAGTGCATCATGAGTCTAGCTAGGATTGAAATTGTGAGCATCAGTTCTCAGATTCCCCATGAAATTCTCGACATGAGAGAACACAGTATGCCGTACTGGTTATATTGGGTGCAATATATCGACAAATCTCGAATAATAGGGATTAAAAAGGTTTTGGAGTAATGAATAATCACAATACTGCCTAGCGAGAAACTTTGATTAATAAAAATGATCTCTGATGCTCTTTCATGGGAAACTTTGGCCGTTTTGAATCTTACAAGGTCATGAACTCAAATTCGCTATATGGTCAAATTAGAGTTGTGAACTTTGATTGATAACTGGGCTGTAACAGATACAAAATAACTTTACATATTTGTTAAATTTCAGAACTTCAAGCACTCCAAAATAACTTTCATTATCCCAAAAGTCTTAGATTCTGGCACTTGTGTATCTAACAATTAAGGTTTAAATCACACGTACTGAACTGTATAAAAAATGAAATTACTAAGAAAACTATACTGGTGTTATAGTATGATCTTAGTTATATTAGATTTGAACAGCTCATTCATCAGATTGTCTTTCTTTTGTGTGTGTGTATTGTGTGACATCACACCGAAACAAACCACAATTTCTTAATATTGTACTACTTTTATAACTAAGAAATACATGGAGATATACTGTAGTTAAGTCTAATTTAAAGCTGATAATTTAAATCAGCCAGAACTAATCAGGCTTTAAATGTTGCTCTTTTGTCCAATTTATGGTAATAAACATTATGCTTATTAAGTTAAAAATTTATAATCTGTAGTATAAATCTACAAATTTCACACAGGGATATTTTGCCAACTGGTTGTGTTATCCTACGAATAACTCATTCCCGGTAAAAAAAAAAAAAGTCTCCAGTGTTTGCCAAGTGTTTCCATCAGCACGCACTTTCTAATTAGTCAGCCTTGGTTGTGTGTGTGTCGAGTGGTAAGCGTAATGTGCGAAGTATTAGGTAACAGAGCACCAGGCGGGTCCTTACTTCTAGGCTCAGGTAAAAACACACCTTAGTAGTTCTACTGAAATTTACAAGTGTGATATAATCAAACTCTTCCTGCCAAAAATAACATCTGCTTGAAACTATCAACATCCTGGAAAATTCTGTGGAAAACAAATTTGTAGTTACAAATTCTTGAAAATCGAAATAACCATTTTAGAAAATATCTGACATGGTTGCCATACTATACTGCAAGCTCAACACTTAATTTAATGTTGCCTATATACTTCCATTCATCTACAAACATCATGCTACTTTGAAAAAACAGATACCTGAATTTCTTCTACTCACTTCACAATCATTAGCACACACTATACACAAAACAGCAAGAATATCACATCCACTCCCTATTGTGCACTTGCAATTACGGTGAATATGTTATTTTATATGTTTCCTGCTTCTTAGTAATTAATACAGCTGCCCTTATATGAAGTAATATTCCTTCGACTGGATAATATCATTTGTAGCACTCTGACAATAACCTACCCCATGTAAATTGCAATAATGTATGTGTATAACCATTGGAGGGATATGCTTTCCTCAGATCAAGACAAATGATCCATTGTAACTCCAACATCTATATTCTAAAGCTTATAATAAAATACTCTTTTTTTTCAGATTCTATCTGGGGGTTATAAAACTGTGAAGCTAACATACACACATCAAACTGCCTCAAGACAAACTCACTCATGATAGTGAAGTACACAGCCTTGAGATGCATGTGCAAGCTTAAACAGTTGCTTCAAGTGCCTAAAATGTTATGTATAAATTCTCAGATAGTGTAAACAGATATTTTAATATCGGTATCTTTAAAGACATCGGTAAGGATCTCCCGCACGCGATCCCATACCAGACCATCGAGACCACACCCAATGCGGGGCATGGCAATAGCTGCAACGTTGTGAAGTATGGAATGCCGTTTCATAGCTTGTAGAGATGAACGTAGACTTATATAGGTGGGCTTTTGCCAATATCTTTCCTGAAAATTGAAGTAATAATTATAGTTTCTCTAAATTTGGATGTACATGCAACCTTTTAAAAAACAGAACATGGAACATTACTGAATTCATGAATTCAAACCTATGAAGAATTTTACATATTCACATGCCAGTGTTCAATGAACACAATACTGCAAAATGTTTGTACAGTATTGCAAACATGTCTTAATATTTTTGGTTAAACAGCAGGAATGAAGGTACAGACAGCCCTTGCTATGCACAACTATATTTCTTATATTTGCCGAAGAAATATAAGAAAATTCACTTTCGCAAACAATGGTAGACGGTTGGAACAAGTTAGGTGAGAAGGTGGTGGAGGCCAAGACCGTCAGTAGTTTTATAGCTTTATATGACAAAGAGTGATGGGAAGACGGAACACCACGAGAGTAGCTCTCATCCTGTAACTAGACATAGGTAATTACAAGTCATGTGCCCCAAAAAACACTTTGCATAAATAAATTGGTAGTACTTTCCAGCAAGAAATAAAGTGAATTATACACTCATTTGTACACTCACCCCACATATCTGGCCAATTGCACAAGGTGGCACCAGAGGCATTTCAATACTAGTAGTCACCCCCAAATATAACTATCAGAGCAAACATTCTATTTTATTTCTTCAAAAGGAAATCTAGGGGGGGGGGTGTGGGTGTTAGAACACTTGGCCAGCTCCATAATGCAAGAATGTACAGGTGCACCTTCAAAATCAAAGGATTATATCATTCTGTTCGCATCCAGATCTGTGAAATTTCTACAGGTATTCCAAAAATTTGCCCTTTTTTTTGCTAGTTACCACCAAATCTTTCCTGATTATATCTTAGAGCAAGTAATACATGTTTATGCATATAAACAATGATTTTGGTTGAGTATAAATATTGTTTGCACAGTATAAATGTACAAAAAATACTGAGAGACAGGATCAAAGAGCCAAAGCTCAACCCCCCACAAGCACAACTAGGTGAATACATACCTTAGTGACTAAATAATACACATATCTCTGGCCTCGTTTCAGAACAGCAACATCACCTGGTTTCTTGCCTTGCTCTGTCAGCTCCTGCACACCACCATATTTGGTCTGTATTGAAGAAACAAAATAAGAGAAAAAATATTAGTCACAAGAAATAGTGTACTGTACACACAAAGCATACTGTACCTTTACATTGTGAAAAGCCACATACAGTGAACCGTTGAAGTCCTGTATTAATTAACCACACACCACAAATGGATCGGCAATAATGTATTGTATATTCTATGTATATACATGTACCGTGGAACCTCGAGTGACGAGCGGCTCCAGTAACGAGCATTTCGTGTAACGAGCAAGCCACTCACAGAAAATGTCTCGATTGACGGGCTTTCTCTCAATTAACGAGCGTTTTCGCTGATTCTCAGACACCGCTGCCAACTGTTTTGTTGTTGTTTCGCAAGACAAGTTTTCCACATGACAAACTCGGTGCCAGAACGGATTAAACTCTTTAATCGAGGTGCCACATAATATATATGTATAATGTATTGTATATACTATTATGTATTTTATTTGCTGACTTGTTTCTCTTCATTGTTATCATACCAAACACCTAATTTTTATCCTTGTTACCCAATAATTTTGTATATATAGTAATTAAAAACATAGTACAGTACTGCAACTCCATAATACAATGAAAAATGCAATCAATTGTAATTTTAGGTAACTTTTAACAAATATTAACCACTGTAAATCTCTACAGTAACTATGACATGAGATGATATATCACAGTATATACAGTATATTCCTGTGAACAGCCACCTTCTAAATACACTAACCTTAAAATGTGTAGCAATACCCTTGCCCATTCGAATATCTTGTGATATGCAATGGGCAAGGGACGTTCCATCGGGACATGTAAACAAATCTCCACGCACTTCTGTAATTGCAAATCCTTCACTGCGAACATGATTTCCTTTAGATTTCTTGATATCTCCATTAGCATCCTGCAGAACATTAACCTATGAATTAACAGTAATTCTAAATGGGTAAAACAGATAACAGGAAGTATTTCTTCATACAGGTTAATATGTGAAACAGTTTACTTATTGAGGTCAATGAGGTAAAAACAGTACAGTACGTAGCCTTAAAATACAAACAGAAAATTTGATTAGATGAAAAGGGAGACATTTCACAAGCAGCAAGGCTTCCTGTCAACTATTAGGTACAGTAAATTTATATGAATAACGGCAAATATTAAATGTACCTAAAATATGATGGTATAATGCCTGATAATTTGCTGCCCCAACATTAAAATTGTTCAGCACAGTTTGCATAGTGACTTTCTTTTATGGGAGACAGAGTACCAGGATGAACGTGTCCTGGCAGTGTGACCTTTCCCTCTATGCAAGCTAAATATTATCTCTTCTTTCTCAAGGAATTTCACCTATTTCCTTACATTTCAACATTTGTGAACAGAAAAGATGTAATCTTTTAGAAAAGTAATCTTTACATGAACAAAGGCATATATTGCTACAAAAAACAGCATTGAATGTAATGAAACACCAATTTCTGGGTGAGCCCCAGTGGATCCCTGACATTTGAAGGACCCACTGAGGCTCACCCAGAAATTGGTATTTCATTATATTCAATGCTGGTTTTCTAGGGGGAGTCCCTTTGGCTCCCTGAAGCTACTATCTCTGCTATAGATGCCATCTATTAGGTGACATCAGTTGTGGAGTTCCACGGCCTACCAGGGACTAAGAGCCAGAACCTGGCCCCCCCCCCTCACAAAGGTGCAAGGAGTATGGCATTTATATATTAAGTTATTAATTTATGCCACCACCTAGGAAGGCACCAGAAAGTCACCGAGTCAAAACAAGCTACTGCTGGTATGTGTTGTCCAAACTATGCCCTCCACAGTGTTGTCCAAAGTCTCAAAATTCAGGTCCCTAAAAAACAAGCAGGGCAGCTCTGGGGCATCCAATCAGGCACACAACCTAGACTGCTGTAACACAAAAAACATCCCTAAGGAGCAGTTGCTGTCAGATATGCCCAAACATCACCACGAGGGCTAGTAAGACAAGTAACATAATGGGAGCACTCCCCATATGACTCAGGGTCGAAGTGTCACCAACCCAACAGGCAGCATGGAGGCCTCAGCTTGTTTTAGAACATGTTCAGTATGACAGTACTTGTCAAGCATCACTTGTCAGTGAGGCAGGCATCAGATTAATTTTGAGAATATGATTAAAGACTTTCTAATTAAAAATGTGGGAGATAACTTTTGTAGTATAAATAAAGTTATAAGAAAGCAATAGAAAACATTATTTTGCATCTTTGATTCATGCAGGTTAAAATGCTATCTTCACCATAAGAAAGCAATGCAATAATAGGTCCTTTTTTCATACAAATACTGATATTTATTCATTAGAATATATATATATTTCACAGTTTTTATTTGTAACTACATATACGATGTATGAGGGGTACCGTAATCTTTCCAGTACTTAGGGCCTCTAAAAGGTCTTAATCCAACCATGGAAGACAGCCAATTATGGTAAAAAAAAGGACATTTTGTAGGTAAAATGAACATTAGTGATGTGAATTGCTATTCACTCTTAGACCTAAGTTTACTAAATTAATTAACTAGCACTATTTAACACAACTCAAACTTAGGATATGCCCAGAGCTAGAGCAGGACACCAACATTTTTTGCGAGTTTCAATGTTTGTTCAGATATGAATGTAACTTTTTTTTTTTTTTTTGCATGCACAATTTATCAGTAAGGTTTGACAGGTTTGAGTACAGTAATAAAATTTGACAGGTGGAGTACATTTACTTACAAAATTTTCTGTAATATCATCAGCCATTTTTCTTTTGGGAGTTACCAAATATTTGTCCATTGCCACATCCACAGACTTGATCTGAAAATATTTGATTTAAAAAGTTAAGACAAAATCAGTTGGAGCCATGAGAAAGATTTGAGCCTGCACTCTGGATATTCCCAAGCACATGCCTTAAACCACTGCACCACAATATGCTATAAGTAATGTAACCTGGGATTCGACTGAATCTACAAGGGAGCCCGAGGCATCGAGCTGATACCAAGTCAAGATTTTACACATTATCCGCATACTCTGGCAAGTTATACGAGTTCTTTCCCCCAACGTCCACATCAAATGCACAGAGAAATCACATTAACATGATACATCACATTAATGTGATGTATCATATCAAGGAAATCACATTAATGTGATTTCTTGGTGCATTTGAAGTTGGCATTAAGGGAGAGGGGAAGGGGGAGAACTCTTATACAATGCCAGCGTGTACATGGGGCAGGTAGTGTGTAAAATCTTGCCTTGATATCAGCTTGATGCCTCAGGACCCCTTGTAGATATTTTTTTTATCAATACAGCATATTACTGTTATTTTCCTGTGCACTTAAAAGTTATGTCAACTTTTCAATCCTTTAAGAGATACCATTACTATTTCTTGAGATTGCTTAAATATCACCATCTCTATTAATCTAATTACTGTATCCATAATAAAGCTTTGAGTGAATGTGAAAAAAAACATTTCTGAACAAAATTATTTGGTTGCTGCTTTAAGGAAAGATCTACTATGTCTATTGGCCAGGATTATAACACTACATGGAAACATTCTGGCACCAGTAATTACCTAAGTGTAGTTACATGATGAGAGCTATGCTCATTAAACAAAATTAAAAGTTAAAATCTCACTTTTGCAGTTAAAAAATTTAACTGCAAAATTAAGATAAATTAAGATATATTTTTAACTAATTTTAACTCAGTTTTGTGCTTTATAAATTTATGCTTCTCTGTACCTAGATACATACATTTGTATTTTAAAACAATACACAGTACAATTAGCAACAATAATAATTGTATAGTGAGAGAACATCTGGCACAAAACCAGCCTTATACCTTGTTGACCGAGGAGTTGAACAAACACCTGTTAACCACAAACAAGTTACAGTAAGTGCCACTATAACCCGTCTTCCACTGCAAGTGTGTCAACTGCATGACCTATCGGTATTGCATGACCTATAGGCCAATACCTATAGTACCTATAGGTATTGGCCTCTAATAAGCTAACTGGGATAAATAAAGTAAAACTGTAAAAAGTGACTGGACATTAAACCTCTTTAACGCGTTCATCAATGCTATGACCTGGCTACATGAATACTGGGCGACAGTTGCTGAGACCACAGTGTAACCTGCCCACCACCACCCACAGCATGGGTATTGGGGGCACAATAAACCTCTGGAATCACCTATCAGCCGACACCGTCAGTGCAAAGTCTACTCCAGTTCAAAATTCAGTTATATAAAAAAAAAATCATTAGGAAAATCAGGGAGACCTTTGACAAGCCACCGGGTTCCTTTCAGCACCAAAGCCACTAGAGATGGTGGCTCTCAGGTAAAGTCAGGTAAATGAAGACAGCTAATGCCAGGGTGGCGATGGAGGAGCCGCCTGCAGAAGGGCATGGCTCCAGTCCCACACCACCACTCCCTATCATGTTTCACCCCATTTATCCCTGCTGTGCCCTCAACAGCCCCAGCCCCCGCCTCGCCCACACTGCCCGCCACCCACACTACCCACTCCTGCCCACCACCAACCCACTACCTGCGTACTTACCCAGGAAATTCAAGCTGAATAGAAGAGACACGCTGTCCTCATTTGTTTACATCCTTCAGCTGTGATGACGGCGCGCTCGCGCTCGCGCACACTCACTCCCTCCCCCTATATTATTCATTATAACACCACCAATAATGATTATATTTTTATTACAGACGCATAAGCATATGCAGTAGATATATGCATTGATTATTTCATAATGATAATGTCCACTAGATATATATATTAGGCAGTCTAATTATATAAGGAACTGTGTATAGCAACGGAAATGAGAGGAATATTAAGAAAGACCTAGAAATATGTAAAGGGTCCTAGAAAACATGTAAGTAATGCTATGCACGCATATGCTTAATTGCAAGCTATATATATTAGTCACTGATCTATTTCCTGGCGTGATTCACTGCCGTATGACGACTGAATATATTCAATGATAATATGACACGAGCCAAATATCAGTCAGTTACAATAAACAGAAAATAAATCCTTGTGAAGTAAAGCTATAAAAAGATCCTATTTTTAGGAGACCTTGATCATGGTTGGTAAGTGCTTGTATATATAAATATACATCTGTATATATTTATAACAGCGTTTAAACATTGATACTATTATTATTATTTGACCTCATATTCTTTAAGCAGGAAGCAACGAGTAGATTTTTTAGTAATGTTTGTGCTAGATAATAAATGACAGATGCCAACACAGTATAAACAAACAAAATATATCTGCAACTCGAACGTAATGATGAAACTCGGGACAAAAAGCAGCCAAACAACAACACCATCAGCTGACTGGTGAGGGGTGGGCGGCGACCTTCCTAAATAGTGAGTTTTCTCTGGTTTGTGCTCACTTGTGAGCCCTGAGCACCCAGCACGGGCTGCCTGGCGCTCTCCTCCTGGCACAGGTAGTATACTCACACCATTTTGATGGCTATGAGTGTGTGAGGAAGGTGTAGTGAGGCGGACCTGTCTGTCTGGCCGCCCCGTCTCGTTCCTGTCTCACTTGTGTAGCAATAGTTCATTGTGGATATTGTATTATTGTATATTGTATGTGACAGTTGTATTTTTTGAGATAGGAGTTTTTTTGTAGGTTGTAGATGGCTTACATTGTTTGTTGAATATATTCACGTGTGGTTTGACCTTGAGCTTTGTTTTGCAATTGAAATAATAATATTTTATTTCTTCAAGAGTTCATACAAATGATACATTAACAGTGGAGAATTACATAGGTAAGACAATACATAAAGCTATTAATATGCAGAGCAATTCAGGCATATAAAAAAAGAATAATATACATGCTTATAGGGTAATGCTTAACACTAAATGAGGTAAGGTAACTTTAACTGTTTAAGACATTTAGAATAAGATTGAGTACCTACTTACTGTTAGGTGAACAGGAGCATTAGGTGATAGGAAATGTGCCGAACCATTTCTGTCCCGCCCAGCATTCGAACCTGGAATTCTCGAGTGTAAGTCGAGAACGAACTGACTAGTACTGACTGGTACTGGTGGGTAGTGTATGTGTGTGCATGGTAAACCATACCATGCACACACATGTACTACCTACAATATATACATGTTAAAGTTACAAAATGTTTAGATTGAAGAAAAAACAAAAAACTTGATCAATTAAGTGCCTTGAGACATCATTAGTTGAATTTGTATTATTCATTTTTCTCATTCGCCTTTTTTGTCTTTAAATATTTAACAGTGAACCTAAACCATCCAAGACAATGGCAGAGTTTTTGAAAGGATCAATGGGTCTAATGCAGCATAAAAATGCCAGTAAATCTCTTGTGTCAAAGAAAGAGGAATTTGTTAGAAATGAAGATGATGCAGAAGAAATACTGGTTACTCAAAGGGCTGAGGTTGAATCTCTGCTGTCAGAGTTGGTCAACACAGTTGGCGCCGTTCTCACATCAAGACCAACACAAGTCTGGCAGGTATTGTTGCACACATTTATTGTTTTTATTTTTATCATCTACTTGGATTGGTCAGTGCAGTGATGGCCTTGCTTCTTGCAGGACCATTGTTTGATCACTGATGGTCCAAGTGTTAGGGCATCTTTCTATCACTCTGTCATCATAACCTCGTGTCCCAGCTCCTTGTCCTCATAACGTCATTCCCCCTCCCTTTCAAGTGCTATACAGTCAAACTGGCTCAGTGTTTTCACTTGATAATTATCTTACCCTTTTGTTTATATATACAGTAGTACTGTGCAGTATGTAGAATGCAACATACAGTATTTAGCTATTTAAATTTTAACTGTGTCACAAAAGATTCCCTCTTGTGTACTTTATTTGTGTAATAAATAGTGATTGAAAAGATTGGAGAGGGTTAATAAATCCTTTGCTTAGGTGTGCAATACTGTACATTATAGGTGTACCTTGTATAGGTGCCCACCACCACCGTGCTCTCACTCCTCACCTCCACTGCTACAGCATGAGAGTCTTTGCCACATGATGTTCCTGAAAGCCATGTATATCTTTTAAGACGACTCATTTTCCAGTTTTAATGACTTGAATTCTGAGAGTAGTTTTAGCATTGCTGTGGTAAGTGGGAGTGGTGGATGTGCTGTTACCAAGTCAAAGTTTGCAGCTTCAGCTGCTTGCCCCACTAAACACCAGTGTTGTCATGTAGAAACGTGTTGTTTTATAAGATTACTGCTGATTCACATAGTGTAAATAATATGTAAACTCGCCATGCATAAATATATTATAATCCCTCTATCAGTATTCATTCACTCAATAAACTATTCCAGCCAACTGAGTACTGTATATATAGACAAAAAATTAAGATACTGTATTTTTCTGAAAATCACCAAAATAATTTTCCTTCTGCAGTTGTATGGAGGGTTTCAACGTATATATGAAACTGTAAAGAACATTTTCTGCCATGGCTGCAAACATATTGATGTGCAGGTGAGTATTATAATTCTTATTGTCACAAATATAACAAATAAATCATTTTAAAATTGTCAAAAGTTTTCTTTTTATACTGTGGTTTGTACCATTAGTTAATTTCTCGCAACTAACTTCATTTTCCCTCCCTCTCTTTCCCCTCACCCACCCACTTCTCTCCACCTACCCTCTTTCCTGCCCCCCCCCTTTCCCCTCTGGCATATCATCTCTCCCATTTTCTCCCTTCTTCCCACTCTCCCCACATTCTTTCCTTGTGGCCCTTTACCCTGTTCCCCTTTCACTGTTCCCCTTTCCCAAATACCCTTATAGCCTCCAACCTCAGAAAAAAAAAAAAAGAGAGAGAAATCTAGGGACATTGTCAGCCACGTTTCACTGATTACATGAGATGGAGGGATCACCTTTATGCCTGACCCCCCTCGTAATAGAACTAATAGAATTGACTCTGTCCAACCCATGTCCATCCCATACCCCAAACCATTCACCCTACAAAGTTGGGTAAAGTTAGCCCCAAGCATCTAGCCACCAACTTTAGACATATATAATTCTCTTATACCAATTCTTTTTTGTAAGAAGCGTGTTTCTCTCATTCTCTTGTCTTTGGAAGCATAACCTCTTTATGGGCTTATCCATATATTTGGGGCAAGTAGATTTTAAAAAATTTTCAAAGAAATGTTAAGTGTTCTGTGTAATAAAGATACTCTATAGCTTATTAGAATTCCAGCCTAGTGTATGTTGTACTGTATATTCAGACAGAAAATTCATAATTCCTTTTTTCCATGTATCACCTCATTTTCTTATAAAAGGGTTATTAGTTTCTCAACTTTGAGAGTAAATTGTCTTTTAAGTCTTTGACGCTGCTCTTATTCTAAGCATTCCTTTAATGATTGTTTAATAAACTTTTCAGTACAGATTTTCAACATTTTGTACTTCTCGTGCTTAACCATTATAAGAATTAAGAATATCTTATGCCCTTAACCCTTAGAATGCAGTTATTGTAATGTAATGGAGCTTACCTTTTTTTTTTTTTTTTTTTTTTTTTTTTTTTTTTTTTTTTTTTTTTTTTGCACATGGGCAAACGTGTGTGACTATCCATATCCATAACTTAAGGGTTAAGTTATTAAGGTAGTATTTCTGGGGGGAGCCCCGTCGGCTCCCCGGAGCTATCCCAGGCTGATATGCTAATGTCAGACTTTGGCATCAGTCATGTGTATGGAGTTCTTAGGCCTACCGGGGACCACGGCCAGAACCGGGCCCCCTCAGAGAGGCAAGGGGAGCAATGGCCTATAGAAGCCCCCGTGTAGTTGGAAGCATTCTATGTCTGCCATCGACCGGAACAGGCACCCAGAAAGGTAAGCGCCCCAAAACAAACCCCTATTCTGGTTAAAATTGCTACCTAAAACCGAACTAGTGGATAGAACTCCCCAACCGAAAACAAGCAAACTAGTGTGACGTCACACACTGCCGCGCCGCTGTCTGCGCAGCTCCCCCCTCCCCGGGAGGGGGAAGGGGGAGCCCCAGACCCCCCGCGCCGGCTACCCACACCTCAGTTCTTGAGGCTGATGCTATAGGCGATGGTCGTGTGCTCTGGCTCCGGTGTCGCTACTGCACTGTGCTTTGAGTGTGGTGTTAGTTTTGTGGGTGCGAGAGCCAGGAGTTATCTTCAGTACTCGGGCTGCATGCGCCTAGGGCTGCCTTCCCTAGGTGCCCTGTAAGTACTGCCCTTGGGGCTTGGGGCCACCTTCCACAGGCTCCTCGGGGTCTGCCTCTGCTGGTCCGTTTTACCTTTCGGTTTTTCGGCCGCCTGTTGGGCTCTTGGGTGTTCTGTTCTCCCTTGTTACCGGCAGGTAAGAGGCAGTTTGCACTGGTAGGGGCGCAGGGTGCTGCTCAGCTTGTAATTCCCGACATCGCGGCCGGCTCTGTTCCTTGGGGTTCGCTGTCCTCTTGCGGGGTTTTGTTTTTCTTTTTGTTTTTGCCTGGTGGGGGGTTCTGTCATTTTATTCAGTTTGTTTTTGCCCTTCCACTGTTCTCCTCGGTGGCGCCCCCTGCTAGGTCCCCGTGAGTGTACACGTCCCTGGGGTTCAGCTTTAGAAGTTTGCTTGGTAGTTTTGGGCGCCGGTTTGCAGCACCCTGCCTGGGACTACCTGAGCGCGAGTCCTCTTAAAGTAAACGCTCAGGACCCTGGGAATCCCCTAGGGGGCGCGTGGGTCCGATGGATGTGACCCCGGAGTCCCCACTCGCTGTGTGCGAGTTTGAGGGTTGCTCGGTCCCCTTGTCTCAGGGTGACCCTCATTGTTTTTGCCTCTGCCACGCTGCCTGTTGGGTCGGTGATACTTTCGACCCTGAGTCCTGTGAGTGTTGCTGCTTGCTTGTGACTCAATTTACCCAATCCTCTGATGATTCTATTCGGGTACAGGCGGCACGTGCGTTGCAGTCTAGGTTTCGTCTGTTGCAACGCGCTCGGTTGGTTGCTTCCCCGGATGCCCCGGGGCTGCCCCGCTTTGCTTTTCGAGACCCGGACTTGGGGGGTGGGGGTCGCTTCGATCCTGGTTCAGTCCGCACCTCCTCGTCCTTCCCCTTCTGTTCGTTCTGGTCCCCCGCCCCTGCTTCCGGCCCCGGAGCGTCTGAGGGTTTCGGGGTCGGAGCAGGGGTTACTTGATCTCGAGACTCGGGCAGCTTCGGGGGTTGCCCCTTCCGGGGGGGTGGCAGAGGCATTCGAGTCTTGTCTCCCGGCCGAAGCTTCAGGGTCTGACCAGTGGGCCCCCCTTCCTCCAGCTTTTCCGGCTGCTCCGTCCTTGTCTTGTGGGGTCGGGGCTTGGGGAGAGGACTCGGCCTCGGGTCCTGTGGTGACGGACCTCGAGGCTGGGGAGGGGCTGACTTGGGGGCCTTGGGCCCCGCTGGACCCCGCCTGGGTTTTTCTTCCCACTGAGCGGGGCTTATTGTTACAAGGAGTGGGGTTTTCTTTCCCCCCCTCTGCGTACGAGTTGGATTTGGTGTCGGCCCCTCCCCGGGTACGGTTCCGTGTTCCCCCGGGTACGTCGGTTTCGTCCTTCCGGAGGTTTTCGGCTTCTCGCATCCAACCTGGTGTGGTGCGAGCGGCCTTTGCAGCTTACCTCCTGCGTGACCCGGATTATGCCTCGGAAATGGATCCGTCCACGTTCAGGTTTGGGACTTCGTTCCCTTTCTGGCTCCGTTACGAGGTTCCGGAGTCGTCCTGGCTAGCAGACTGCCCCTTGTTTGGTCTGGATTCCTGGCATTCTTTCTGTCGTTCCCGCACGCTGGAGTGGCGGGAAGCTTCCACGGTGCTTCAGGTTTTCCTGGGGGGTGAACTTGAGTACCTGAATGAGTGCTTGTTTTCCCCTGCCCTTCCCCGCGATGTGGGCGTTATTCAGCTCCATGTGCAGGTTCCCTCCCTTTCGGCGGCGCTCGTGGCGGAGGACTTGCGCGCTCGGGGCCTTTTGTGTTCGGCCTTGCGGTTCTTTTCCCTCCTGGAGCTGTCTTCGGATTGGCTCATGGAGGATGTGGGGACGCTTGGGTCAGTCCCGGGGTCCGGCACCTTGTCCTCGGCTGCGCGTTCGTCGGCTGCCTTGTTGAAGCTGTTCACGCCGATTTTGCGGGATGCGGTTTCCCTGTTCTATGCTTCCCGTCTCGCGTGTCGGCAGGCGGTGCTGGGTTCCTCCGTGGAATCTGCTTGGGCTCTGGCTCTTAGGCGTTCTTCACCTTTTTGTCCTCTCCTGTTTGGGGAGTCGGCTGTGGCGCAGTTTATTCAGGCTGCGTCGGCGGCTTGTCGTCCGATGTCGGACTTGTTGGTTTTCCGGGGGTCCCGGGGTGGGTCTTCCCGGAAAGGTCGTGCCAGGGCTCGGGGTTCCTCTCGTCGTGGTAGGCCTCTGGTGTCAGGTTTGGGGTTGGCTCCTCCTGCGGACCCTCCCTCGTCTGGTCGGCGCGGTGTTCGCGCTGTGCGGGGTTCTGGGTCTCGTAAGGGTCGCCGGCCCTTTCGCGGTTTGCCCCTTTGACGGGGCGATGGGGGGGCGGCCCACGATTCGTGGGCCTTTCGGGTCGTGTCTCGCGGCCTGCGGTGGCGTTGGGTGGCCCCTCCCCCCTTTGGGGGGTCGGGGCTGGCAGGGCAGGCTTCTTCCCCTGCGCTCTGTCGAGTCGTCTTGGAGTGGGTACGCTTGGGCGTCGTCGAAACGACGTCGTCCCTCAGATGGGTTTCCCGTCTGTTTCCGGTTCCGAAACGGGACTGCGCGGACCTGCGGTTCATTCTGGACTTGTCCCGTCTGAACCCCTGGGTTCATTGCCCCTCCTTTCGGATGACTACGCTGTCTCAGGTTCGGCTCCTCTTGGAGCCGGGAGCTTGGATGGTGTCCCTGGACCTCCGGGACGCTTATTGGCATGTTCCGATTCATCCGCGGTTCAGGGACTGGCTCGGTTTTGTAGTGGGGCGTCTGAGTTACCGCTTTCGTTGTCTCCCGTTCGGGTTGAACCTGGCACCTCCCGTGTTCACACGCCTTACACGGGTTGTGGTGGCTCGTTTGCGTCTCCTAGGTGTTCGGGTGTTGGCCTACCTCGACGACTGGCTGGTTTGGGCTCCCAGCCAGTCAGCTTGCTTGCTAGCCAGGGATTTGGTTCTTTCCCAGCTCGTCGGGTTCGGGTTCTTGGTGAACTGGAGGAAGTCCCATCTGGTTCCCTCTCAGGTTCGGACTTGGCTGGGTCTCGTGTGGGACTCTTGAACCGCCTCCTTGTCTCTCCCTCCGGAGTCTCTCCTGCGGCTGCGGTCCCGCCTTCGTCTGTTTCTGGAGGGCCCTCGGGTCACCCGGCGGTTGCTCGAGGGGCTGTGCGGGAGCCTGAACTTCGCGATGGTGGTCTACCCGCCGGGTCGGGTTTGGCTTCGACGGCTGTTCTGGTTCCTTCGGGGTTCCCCCTTACGCCTCTCTCGCGATCGCAGAGTTCGACCCCCGGGGGACTTGCGTCGGTTGCTGCGTCACCGGCTTCCTCTTCGGGTTTTTCGGGGTTCAGTGCCTTGGCGCCTACCCGAGCCCTCGCTCGATGTGTACACGGATGCGTCGTCTCTCGGCTGGGGTTTTGTGACCAGTGCTCACCAGGCCGGCCAGGGGCGTTGGGATCCGTCCTTCCGTCGAGCTCACAGTACGGTGCGGGAGTTCGCGGCAGTGTGCTTGAAGGCCACCAAGGGGCCTTCTGGCCCCTTGGTGGCCGGCCCAGCCTTGGTTTCAGGCGCTGGTTGCTCGGTGTCCGAACCCGAGGGTTTTCCCGCAGCTCCGCCTCTTTCAGCAGATCGGGCCGGTACGTCACGTAGCTGGTTCGATCTTCTCCTCGAGTCTTCGCGTATGGTTTTTTTTTTACTCGAGTCTATCATCTCTATGGTGATCAGGTGGCCTCCTTGTTGGTGTCCCACCTGAGGGCTTCTTCTCGGCGGCAGTATGAAGTTTCCTGGCGGTCCTTCCATTTCTTTTTGCGTCTTCGTCGTCTTAGCTCCTTGTCTGTTCGGGTGGTCTTGTCCATGGGTGGTTGATGCTTGGTTGGTCAGGCCGGGGGTGCATCATGTTTTGTGTCCGGTTGCGGCGCTTCGCCGTTATTTGCGCGCCACAGCTTCTGTGTCCGGGGACGCGCTGTGGGTTGATCCGGTTTCCCTTCTTCCCTGTTCGCGGGTTCGGGTCTCTCAGGTCGTCCGCAGGGTTATTAGGTCCAGCCAGCCTGCGGTCTATCCCCGTGCCCATGACGTTCGTACGTTCGCACGTTCGCGGCTCTTGCTGCCGTCTTTGGGAATATGTCTTGGTCTGATATTCGGGCGCGGGGATTTTGGCGGTCGAACAGGGTCCTGGCTGCTCGTTACCTTGTGAATGTCCCTGGGCCTCGTCGGGCCTGTGTTGCTTTGGGTCGGCGGTTGCAGCCAGTTGTCTCGGCTTCGAGTTGAGGGGTGAGCGACGATCGCCTCCCGGGTAAGTCCCTCTTTTTCTGTCTGTGGGTAGTTAGCTCCGGGGAGCCGACGGGGCTCCCCCCAGAAAACCAGCGTTGAATGTAATGAAACGCCATTTTCTGGGTGAGTCCCGGAGGCTCCCCGGCATCCCTCCCTCCCTCCGGTCGGCGGTTTTTCGCGTTTTTGACATCCAGCCTCAAGAACTGAGGTGTGGGTAGCCGGCGCGGGGGGTCTGGGGCTCCCCCTTCCCCCTCCCGGGGAGGGGGGAGCTGCGCAGACAGCGGCGCGGCAGTGTGTGACGTCACACTAGTTTGCTTGTTTTCGGTTGGGGAGTTCTATCCACTAGTTCGGTTTTAGGTAGCAATTTTAACCAGAATAGGGGTTTGTTTTGGGGCGCTTACCTTTCTGGGTGCCTGTTCCGGTCGATGGCAGACATAGAATGCTTCCAACTACACGGGGGCTTCTATAGGCCATTGCTCCCCTTGCCTCTCTGAGGGGGCCCGGTTCTGGCCGTGGTCCCCGGTAGGCCTAAGAACTCCATACACATGACTGATGCCAAAGTCTGACATTAGCATATCAGCCTGGGATAGCTCCGGGGAGCCTCCGGGACTCACCCAGAAAATGGCGTTTCATTACATTCAACGCTGGTTTTTTGTTCATATCCTGGAGGCAAAATTGATACTGTAGGTAATTAATTCTTTTTACCATGTCAATGCAGAAAGTTTCTAAATCCATTTTGGTTTTGAATCATGGGTGGAGATAATGCATTGTGAAAATGAGCTTTATAAGCTTTCAAAATTATTATTTGTTTGAATTGCAGGGGAATGCCGATATGTGGCCATTTGTGGTTGGTCTACGGGTTCTCTATCCAGCATTAGGACCCTGTGTAAAGATGACAACTACCCCTCGACCAGCAGACAATTGGATTCATATGTCTTTGGAGAAACTGCAGCTTGCGGCTAAAATTGAAGCCCTTACATCTGATAGGTACTGTGTCTAATCTGGATTTTTGCCAGCTCTTATCTAGGTTTACTTGTATAGCTCACTTGACACTTTGTCCCCTAATTAGTTATGTTATGCTACATTATATAATAAAATATTTTGAAGTCTTTATTTGTTTTAATTTGATTTTCTGTTACTTGTGCAGTTCTCCATTCCTACTAGTACAATTTTGTGTTTGTTGCAAAAAACAAAAATATTGCTGAAACTTGTATAGCTGTAGTGTATGTAATGTGCTATATGTTCAGGGGATCTCATCTGTACAGATCTTGTGAAGCTTTGAAATATGTACAGTACAGTATTATGTAAATTTAATAAATGATCTTTTTATGTGTTATTTAATACAAGACTTATTTTAACCTCCATGTTCAATCTTGTTCTATAGAGATCATGTTGAGAAGCATTATCATCCATGGGCACTGATGTCTTCTCAGGATCACGTTTCAGCTGTCATAACTTGCCTTCGAGCTCTGGAAGAGAATTCTCAATCTATCTTGGCTGACATAAACTCAAGACTGGTTAGTAAATTGTGCTGTAAAATATTCAACAACATAAAGTGAAATAAACTTCTGGCTATATTTATTGCTGTATCTTATCTCTGTGGGTGATCGTAACAATCCACAGCTCCTTGTGGCTGTGAGAAAGTCGGACTCTTTGTCTGGTCTCTGGTGGGCCAAACAAGACTCTACAATTGATGTAACCCAGTAGTGGGCACCCATCTCGGGGAGTTAGCTTCAAGGATCCACTGGGGCTCCACCAGAAAGAGGCATTATATACAGTATTAAAAAAGATAAAAAAAAAATTACAAATGGTAACATTTTGAAACGTTTAGTAGTTTTATAAAAATCATATACAGTATATTGAATAGTATTTATTCTTGTTCATGAATTTTTAAGGACAAATTTCACACAAAGTCTCACCAGGTGTACTCATCTCTATGCTGATTATTATTATTATTATAGAATAAAAAACATATAATTCTAATAATTCTGCATAGATGTGACGTCATTACTGTGATAGATATTGTGTTATCTTGTTGTTGGGACAGGGAATGTCAATAGGATTTAACACTGATATTTATCTGCAGCTTGTTGGGACATACCAGCCACTTCCTGGAACCACAACTATGCCTCACAATGATTCAGCTAATCAAATGGGCTCACGAATAAGACCGCGTCTCTGCGGCATAAATTCAGCCGATTTGATGAGTAAACCTGATCTTCTTAAAAGGAACACTTCATCTCTACCAACGAGTCCAGTTACAGAAAAGGAGTGCCCAACATTGTTTTCTCAGTCTAACAATCAAAACAAGAGCTTAAATAAAGAAATAAAAAAGGAATTAGATATTGTACCTTCATGTTCAGAAGTTGTTAAATCTCTTAAGAATAAAGAAATTGGTAGATCTAGAGATAACACAAAACCTGTAAATGTAAATGTGGAAAGTAAAGATGTGACTTTAATGCGTCGAGAGAGTCCAGATGGCAGTTCAGATTGTTCAGACTGGCCTGCAATGATGAGTCCTGTTGATCAGTCTATAGTGTTCAATACAGATGAGTCTCCTCGGGTATCTGATGGCTCAACTTTTTCTTCAATATCAAAACTAGTTCATGGCAAAACTATTCATATTTTAACTAGTGAAACTGGAGCAAGGCCCAAGGAGTTAACCCCCATCCTGCAATCAGATCTTCATCCTGTGTCTTTCACAGAGTTTTTGAATGTAAGTGACAGTGGTAGTGGACCAGGGAGTACTATTTCTCCAAGCCTCTTACAGGTGAACTATGGAGGGGAATGTTCTACAAGTGATGGGGACAGTAGTACAACTGGTAGCTTCCAAAGATCAAGGGGTTCTCAAGGGTTCAGAACTCCACAGTTACGACACCGGGCTAGTACTGGAAGACTGACATCTTTACCTGCAGATAGTGACCAGGACAGTGAAGAAACTGTGGATGGAATTTCTTCTCAAATTCCCAGACGAAGACGACGGTTCCCATCAACTCCTCAGCCTTCAAGCTTATCTGTCAAATTATTGACAGATAGTAGAGGGATATTAAAATCTGACAGTAACCTGGAGATCAGTTGTTCAAATGATTGTTTAAGAAAGGGTTCTGAGCAGTCCAGTTCCTGTGATAATTTAAAAAGTTTGGTTCATAAACCTGTTGTATCGAATGCCTCTACAAATAATAATCCTTCCAGTGTTGTACCTCCATCATCTGAGTTACCACAGACTACCGAGTGTCCTGTAGTCTCTACACCCTGCAATTTTTCCAAAAGTGTCCTTCCACATGTTACTTCAGCTCCAGTTTCTACTAATCTTTCTGCTGAAATTATTGATAATGTAGCATTTAGTGCACCTGTGAGAGATTTTAAAGGAAATTTATTAGCCAGCGAGGAAGTTAAAGCAAAGAAAAAGACCCATGGTCGCTCTCGATCTGATGGCTCCCAGGAATTGGTAGGAAAATTATGCCTATCACAGTCTAATACCGTACCAGAACTAGAATCTAAATTCAAAGCAACAAAACTAGGCAAAACAGGAGACTTTGGGATCAGTGCACCAGTTCCAGTGCGTAAGCGTTTTATGGAAGATGGGGGTCATAGTATAACCCCAGCAGCTGACAATGGATTCTTCCCTCGTCCCCAACCAGGACAAAGTCTCATTGGGTTTCTTTCATCCAAAGAGTTCCACAAGCAGTATGCCGAGTTGGATAGAGAAAATGCCCATTTCAACATTTCTGAAGCTGTGATTGCTGCTCTGACACAGGTAATGTGTGTGTCCATTTTATGTTTAAGCAAGATATCACTGTATTATACAGTGTAGTGTGCATTTAATCCTATAAGTCAGCTCCTCATTATCTAGTTCCTAGTAACACGTCTCTATGTGGAGTGGATGAAATCTAATCCAGGTATATTTGGTAGTACTGTACCGTATTTTTAAGTATAGTGTCCACATAAAATGGAAGCTCTAGGTAATTCAGACTTATATTGGCAATAAACTTGAAAAAAATATTACAAATGTACTTTCCCTATCTGGTTGTGGTATCAAAATATGTGCACACATGTGTTCTCTTGTTTAAAGCCAATAAAAATAAAATTAATTTGCATAAAACAGCAAAATTCAAAACCTATGGATTATCTGGACCTGTGACTGAACTAGATCGGGTACAGTTCCAGTTAAATCAGATAATGAGAAGTCCACTTAACACAAGGTAAACATGACATAACATCTCCCATTCTCATGGAGTAAGAAGATACTTGCCGAGAAAGACGAGTGTCCGAGGTACGCAGAGTGGGTTACCTTTCATTACCATACATGATTAGTAGTTTTAAGCGAGTCTTATATTTCCAAGTTTTATTTCTTTCATATAACTACAACTGATAAAGTAAATTTAAGAGTCGAAATTGTTTGCGGCTTACAATTTAAAGTAAAATGTCAGTAAAATCTTGCCTTACTAAGCAAATAGGTGTACTACTCAGGAAAATACTTTTCATGTGCACTCAAAGCTTTATTTTTGTATTTAGATGCAGTTTGATGCCTGGCAGCAGAAGTATAGCTCTAGTCCAGGAACAGGTGATGAGAGTGATGAAGAGATTCGTAGTCTTCAGGCTCGCATCAGGGAGAAAAGAAGGCAAAAAATATCTGGCTCTGTCTTGTCAGCAACTACCTCTACTAATACTGTAATTGAATCCATTTCTGATCCTCAGAAATGGGCCTCTAAATCATCAGGAAAATTAGAAAGTAAGAGCACTTTAAAGTACATGTGATGTAAGTTTTGCTTAATACATTGATGTATATTGTTTTTTTTTATATCTGTATGGCACATAATGAAGTTTATAATTTTACTAAGCAGTAGTAAAATTATAAATTTATGAGACTTATCAGTGCTCAAATGTGTTGTGTTGGTGGCTTTGCAGGTACTACTGATTACAGTGTGTACGAGTCGCCACAGAGCTCGGCCTACAATAGTGAGTCTGATATGGTTTCGGAGTTGGAGGAGGAGCTGGAGAACGATGGATCATCAAGCTGCGAAGGTGAGGACAGTTTTGACTCACTGTCATGTGGGCCCATTTATTTACCGAAAACAACAACTACTGTTGAAAGAAAAAAGAGGCTTGATTTGGCAACGCTAGGAAGTTAAAGGTGTATTGCTCACTTGATAATGTTCTAAAATGTTAGATATTAAATAAGTAAGATATGAATTTAACTGGTATTGTTGTTTATTTAGTACTTAACTCTCTGCTTAAGCACATTTTCCCGATGCCTCATATCAAGCTAAGAATGGTTGTCACTTTTTAAGAGTGTAGAACATGTTTACATTTCTTAGGCAGAAGTGGTTAAGCATGGAAAAATGCAATACAGTACAGTACTGTATATTGAGTCTTGTTACCAACAGTTAATTTTACTTGTGTGACAGGCTAAAGAAGACACTCAACAATAAGATGGGAAGTGTAAAGGGAAGTGTTTTCTTAATTTAATTTATTATTGTCTAGTAATAGTACTCCATTGGCTGTCATTTAGTATGCCTTTTGCTTTGTTCAAGAATCTTGTATCCATTCTTTTTATCAGACACTCCAATTTTGCAATCAAGAACGACTTCAGAGAGTGAACCCTCACCTTTCAAGACTGACCTAACCTCAGCAGAGAATGTTGCTTTGAACTTGCTTAAACACTTCAATGAACAAAGGCTTCCCAAAGCATGTGAGCTGGAGTGGCTCGTGTCTGAACAGGATGTACCACAAAAGGTTAGTAGATGTACAAGGTGTGAAAATTTATACAACAGTTGGTTTTTTAAAGACATTACTGATAGAATTTTGTATTATTATTTTACCTCTATTTTTGCTTGTCAGTTAATTAACAATTATTCTTGCCATTTCATTCCTTCGTGTATTTTGTAGTTACATGCAATATTCACAATTTGTGTGGTAATAAGAGGTGATTATGTAGAGCAAACATTTTTCTTTACTATCAGCTGTTGCCATTGCCTACAAGTGTGGCAGTTAGTCCTGATGATAGTGGAGCAGGGAAGGCATCACTCTCACAAACTCAGCTCCGTGGAACTTCTGATTGGGCTCCGCCGAGACCTCAGCTCATTTTCACTCTTCACACCAACACAAAGTAAGGGAGTACAGTACAAGATTTGATTTGTTATATTGATTCCTTATCACAGCAGTAACAGAGCAGTTGGCTTCAGTTGTCGACATTTACCTATCGGTTTATGCAAAGAATATGGCCTAGTTCGATATGCCCCGCCTTTTAACTTTTTGTTTTCGGTTCTCAGTTGGGGATCCTGGATTTTATTCCAGGGTGGGACAGAAAATGATACACACATTTGATTTTGCCTAATGCCTCTGGGGGGGATGGGGCCTCAGGACAAGTCTATTATATATACATACACAGGCTTCCTGTCCCTAATAACAGGAATTATATATCTATGTTTCTCATATTCCTTCTGAAGTGGTTTCTGCTATATTTTCTTTTGATGCATTCAATTTCTTGACCACTGTATGAGTACTGTATATCCTTACACATCTACTCACTTATATTTCCAGTTTCCATTGATGTCCTTTTATTCTATTTTATTTAAATTTAATGGGGCCATCCTTGTCCATCTTATAGATTCCTTTCAGCAGCTTGTATGTAGTGATCATATCCCCCCTTGTATACCTAGAGTTCCATTCTTACCAAGACTTAACGTGAATTTGAAGAATAGTTTAAATTTGGTCAAAGTCCAGATAGTCCTGTCTTTGCTATACCTTCTGATTTCCTGGTGTGGGACTGGAACTGGTAAATGGTCTTCCATGACAACTGAATAGGATTATATGTCAAGTGATTGACATTTGTATAAAATCTGAGAATCATATTTTCATCTGTAATGAGGGTAATTAGAAAAGGGAGAATGAAAATAGTTACATTTAATTTTGTTTTTAAATGCTATACAATTTCTTTAAGAATTCTGCTTCATATTTAAGTAGCATGGGTATATTGTTAGTAATAAGAATTTAATGTAGCGGTATGTACTGTATTTGCATAATACCAGTTTGTAATTGTGGCGTGTAATCTTTATATTGCAGGCGTTCGGTGTTGATGGGTGGCCAAGGGTGGCGGTGTGCAGGCTGTGGTATGCGCGTAACTGAGCGTCTTAGCAGGCACTTCCGACTTTGTAATTACTTAGGTCGATACTTCTGCACAACCTGTCACACCAACCAGACTGCTATGATTCCGGCCAAAATACTTCATAAATGGGATTTCAAATTGTAAGGAAACATTTATATAGGTTTTTGCAGTTTAGTGTGTATTATTATAATGATTTTTTAAATTTTATTGACCACATTTATGATTTGAATTACTGTAAATAATGGATTTTAATTTTGTGCACATTTTAGACTACTTCAGCAGTTATTTAAAAAAAAGTTTGAGTGGTGCTTAGTCTTATCAAAGGTTTGGGACACCTAAAAAAAAATAG